TTATATATCTTCCGTTCTCCTACCATTCTGTATACCATCTAGGGTAGATAGATGGTAGCATATACCATTCCGTATACCATTTATGGTAGATAAATGGTAGGGGATCACGTGACTGATCCTTTGGGTTATCAGCTGGAATCCCTGTTCCTTCTGTATTTCCATTATTCCTTGTAACCCAATGATTCTGCCTTGTCTCCCCGCATAATCACGTGAGACTGATGTGGCTAGGTCTGTAACAGTGTCATCAATCAGCTCTGAATTCCTATGTTTCTGAGTTAACAGAATATTAAGCTGACCTAGTACGATAATGGCTTTTATATTGGGACACCCGATACCTGTCTATGATTCATCTTTTTTTTAATGTGCAGAGGTGCTTTAACTTATCAATGAATGCATCATTGATCTGATGTTTGAAAGCGGGTTTTTTCGTCGGTCAAAACAACGAATATGGGTGCGATCAATCAGATAACATAGAGCTTAATTGGCGTGGAATGCGTGCGATGATCACTACATCTAGCAGTCTTGAAAGGAGGATTCATCCAAAAATTCATATCCTGGGTCGCATGAAAGTGAAGAAAAGAACCATCAATGTTGCAAGACCCTTGGATCTCAAGTCCAGCTGTCATTTTGTCATCCAGCTAATGTGCTTTTTATGGTCTAATCATTGTGCGTTTGTCCGGCCGGGCAATTGATGTTCCTAGTAAATATTATACTCGGCTAAGCTCTTCTTCAGCATGGTTTATGTATTGGTCATGTTACCCCTCACCCCTTGTGATTGTAGATGAGAAGCAATGATGTAACAGCGGATGAAATCCGGGGACGGTTGGATCGCGAGGTCCAAGCACAGCACTGAATCTGCGGTAGTGTCAGAACTCAAAACATTTCCTCCACAACAGAAGGTTCTGGCATTACTCTGTATGCATTACCAAATGTACTTTGTCGGGCGAGCTACACTCCGAAATTCCCGAGCCAGTTTTGGGAGCGTATGTACGGTAACGGCAATACAGACATACCGCTAACAGATAATTATTCTTGGAAACCACCGGTTTTCCCGGGGGGGGGGAGTGTCAATTAAAGGTACCGAATACTAGCGCATACAAGTACTGTACTACTAGTGGCTGTATGTATGGGGGCTTGTTCTGTTGATAAGAACCAATCAGGTGCAGAAGTTGAAGTAGATGTGGGGGAAATGGCGGGGAACCTTAACGCCGATACGGCCGGTGGGAATGGGTCGCTTGTTGACAGGACCAATCATGCTGGTATGGTTGGGGTGGTCCAAGGGACTTTTTCTGTCCTTTTTTTTTCTTGTATTGACCGGCTATTCTCGACCGGTGTAAACGATGTAAGATTATAATACAGAATGGAAAGTAAGGAGATTTTTATAGCATATTAAACGAGATGCAGATGTAAGCGATCGGATTGGGAAATGCATCAAGCAGGGCGCATGCATATTCTGTAACACAAGTTGCTAAGTCTGGAAGCCTGCGAGACAAGTTCGTTCGACGATAGCCTCTTGTGGGGCAAGGGGAATTCTACGATTGGTTGCTTATCCTGGGGTCCACGTGGTGGTGATACTGTTGCCTGAGGTTTGATACTGTACAAAGAAATGGAACTTATGTGGTATCAATGTATCAATCGTCCTCGATCACCAATACTTGACTGAGATATCACAAAAACTTCTCTTGAAGTCTACCATCAACGAATGTTTGGATGTGTGGCGGCGTCGTAATATCATCACCGGTGTTATTGGTCCGTTCCAACTTAGGAGGTAAGGACTGGGTAAGAATCTACATTCCTTTTGATGCAGTTCCCACTATGGTCTGGTTGATTCGATAGTAATGACCGGATTGACGGTAAATCTGGGGTTCCGTTTCCATCTCTCTTTGTCCAACCCGCCTGTTCTCCATTTGCAATAGTCGATGGCTAAATGCAGTTACACCTACCCCCAGTCCATAGCATGCATTTTCGTGCCAATGTCTTTGTATCTCGTCTATATATCAAGATTCTGGATTATTCCAATAGGTGTCCATAGAAGAGTAAGGCCCTCTAGTATGAGCATAGAATATGGTAAAAGGAGCGGTGGCCTGGTGACCGGCTCTCAAGACGTGAAGTAAGAAACTGGTCATGCTATTCTTACTTTACAGCAGTCCAAGATATCGAGTCGGCCTCCTCCGACTGCATTTATTTTTTAAATCACTCATAGTTCTGTGAGTAACCAACCCGGCCAGATGCGGCCATACCAATGCAACTCTGGTTGTAACGGCAATATGATCTCGAGTAAGCTTATCTTTATTCAGAGTACAAGTGATATACAAGTCTGGTATCTTCCAGAATCTAATATAATAATCACTCCAGTCTGGTGTTGAAATTTTATTCCTCAGGTATCAATATGTAACGGTATGTAAAAGTGTACACCCCACTGCGGTGGCCGGTTCCTAATCCAGACGGGCCCACCTTACAACCTTGTATGGTACAGTACAGACATAGTAAGAGTAAACGGTACATCCGCTCTTTTCCAATGGCATGATTTGTACCCAGAATGCGAGAAAAATGGTAGAATCTTTCTCTATTCCTCTCTCGAAAGATGAATGGTATAACATATATTTGATTACTCAGATCCCCAAAGAATACTAATCGCTCGGGCCCGCGCAACCCGCTCTCTCCGTCATAGCAACTCGGCTTACAGAACGGTTTTTTCCTCTTTCGCTCACTCTCTCTCCTTCAACTCCTCTTCCCCAGCTTATTTCCCTTTCTTCTTTTTCTTCTCTTCTCTTCTCTCTTTCTTTTTCTACATTTTAATTTCCTAATTTCCTCTCTTCTCTTCGACACTCTTTTCTTCCGGTCCTCCTCCGACTCCTCAATTCCCCGTTTGTCCATCTATCCTCTCAGCCTGATTCCGCCGTATCTCCCGTTCTTTCACCTCTGGCCATCTATCGTTCCACGCTTTTCTCCCTGTGTATTCACGGATTCTTGGGAACTAGAGTATCAGTCATTGTACCCGATACCCACGATTAATAGCCTTCGCGTTACTGCCTGCGCACGCACCCTTCCTTTTTTGGCCCAACTGCGCGCCGCCCCATTCGTATCGCATCTGTTAGCCGTTTGCGCATCGTGCCTTCTCTCCTGTCGCCAACACCCGGGCCTAGTCATCATCTCCTCAGTCGCTGCCAGATGAAGCTATACACTATCGATTAAGAATTCTGGTGCCATCATGGGCTCGTTTTTTAAGAGCTTCCGGGGTAATGGGGTATGTTTTAACCGCTCGGTCGTTTGTAGCAGAACGAAAGAGAAGATTACAATTGAAGTCACGGTATAAATGCTAACGCCACTATATGTAGGGGTCTTCCACCTCTTCGAGCGGGGCGTCTCCCGCAAAGAAAGAGCCTCAAGCACCTCCGATGAGTCCGCTGGAGAAGAAGCTGCAGGGAATGGGTCCAATTCGGAACGATGGTAGCGATAAGTTTTTCGGAATGGAAAATGTGAGTGCGACACATTCCCACGTTTCATGCGTTTATGTTGGCTAACATGATCCTTGCCCTTAGTACGGTAGCACCTGGTAAGCGGATGCGTGCCTGCATCACACTTGGCAACCAACCAAATCAAATACTAAAAAGCTAATGCATTTCTTCGAAACAGTTACTGCAACTCCATTTTACAATGCCTCTTCTTTTCCGTTCCTTTCCGAGAAGCCGTCCTCAACTATCCCACGCGAACACCGATCGAGAGCCTGGAGGCCGCGCTGGAAAAATCTCTCCGTTTTCAAGATCCCAACGCTTATTTAGAAGCCGAAGCACAGGCCCAAAGAGAGAAAGCTGCCAACCCTCAGCGTATTGGCGCGCCACCAAACCAACCTCAGAAGCCCGAAGACAAGGAATCGCCCGAATACAAGAAGAAAGTCGCTTTACAGACCCTGCCACTCCTAGAAACTCAGAACAATTCCAACAGCTATGGCATGTCGGAATCATTATTTACAGCGTTGAAGGATATCTTTGAATCTCTGGTGGGAAGCAAGTCACGAATAGGGATCACACGACCGCAGCAATTTTTGGACGTTCTCAGGCGTGAACATGAGATGTTTCGGACTGCCATGCACCAAGACGCCCACGAGTTTCTAAATCTTTTACTCAACGAAGTCGTCGCGAATGTCGAAACGGAAGCTCTTAAACAACCCCCTCCTCCCAAGAGCCTCCCGCTCACAGAAAGTGCAGATTCATTTGACCTGACCAACAGCTCAGGCTCCAAAACGCCGAATACCACGCGGTGGGTACATGAGCTATTCGAGGGGACATTGACATCCGAGACTGAATGTCTCACCTGTGAAAAGGTCTCCCAGCGCGATGAGATCTTTTTAGATCTGTCTGTTGATCTCGAGCAGCACTCTTCCGTGACCTCGTGTTTAAGGAAGTTCTCTGCGGAAGAGATGCTGTGCGAGAGGAACAAGTTTCACTGCGATAACTGTGGAGGGCTTCAAGAGGCGGAGAAGAGAATGAAAATCAAGCGACTGCCTCGGATATTGGCCTTGCATCTTAAGCGCTTCAAGTACACCGAGGATCTCCAACGGTTGCAGAAATTGTTTCACCGTGTCGTGTACCCGTATCACCTACGCCTCTTTAACACGACAGACGATGCCGAGGATCCGGACCGTCTCTACGAGTTATACGCTGTGGTGGTACACATTGGTGGAGGACCCTATCATGGTCATTATGTGTCGATCGTGAAAACGGAAGACCGCGGTTGGTTGCTCTTTGACGATGAGATGGTGGAACCAGTGGATAAGAACTACGTTCGCAACTTCTTCGGGGACAAACCTGGCTTGGCCTGCGCCTACGTCCTATTTTACCAAGAGACCACTATGGAAGCGGTTCTGAAGGAGCAAGAGCAGGAGGATTTGGCAGCCAGTATGGATATCCCAATTCCAAACGAGAAGCAGCAAAATGGTGTCCCGCCATCTCCTAGCTTAAACAATTTCCAGAGCTCATCGCAGCTCTCGTCACCATCATCCGAGTTTATTCGCCCCAATGGTTTTTCCCGGCCGCCTACTGCACCTCGGCTTTCTACTCAAATGGAGCGCACGGAGCCTGACATTACTTCTCCACGGACCCCTATCGTTCACACACCGCCGCCTGTGCCACCTATACCTGCAGCTCATACTATGCACCTGAGTCCGAAGAAGAGCGATATACAGTCCAAAAAAGACCGTGTTCGAGAAGAGAAGGAACGAAAAATTGCTGAAAAGGAAAGAGAGAAGGGTGAAAAACAACGACGAGTTTCCAATGCCCGCGAACACCGCGAGCACCAACATGAAAGTGGTCCGAAGCCCATTATCGACACAAGCAAGCCAGAGGAAGATCGACACAATGCCCCGGATAACGGCAATGTTGACTCCCTGAAGAAAACACACCACAGTTTTCATCGCTTTAGGAGAAGCAGTAAGAGTCTCAGCCATCGCTTCGGCATGGACAAGGATTCTCGCACATCGACTTCGGATCTTCCCCGAACACCTATCAATGAGCATATGACCTCTGCTGGTGTTTCACCTCCACGCAAAAGCGAACTGCCTGAACGACCATTACTCAACCACAAATCTGGGACTGATGCTCCCAAAGAACACAAACACGGAAAATGGAGAAGCTTTAGTTTCCGGAAGATGCTCTAAGGCTTTCTCTTTTCCGTTTCCTTACGGATTCTCTTCGACTGCACATATCCTCGAGATTCTGCTCGCACATATTTTCGATGTACCACCAATTCTTTTCCTGCCTTTCCTTTCATGGCAATCTTCTTATTTTCCGGCTAGATGTGAGTGTTTTCTCCTTTTTTACCAGCTTGTTTTCGCTCATTGATCCTGTGATATCCATGTCTGGGTCTGGGTCATATTTCATTGGCGCACACAAGGAGTTCACTGGATTCTTTGTTATTTCAGCTGTTGTTGCTTGCTGAGAAGGGTCTTCTGGGTTAGCAACTGGGCTATCTTTTTTATTTCAATGGGATTAACAGCACATGTTCTGGGAAGAAACACAGGAAAAGCCAATACTTCTACTGCTCCCCTGATTTACAAGCGTGTTCTTTGGGCGCGAGCATGGCTTTTTATTATTATCCCACATCTGTGCATTCTATGTCTCGGTGTATTGTAAATAGAGAATAGAGCCATGATTATTCTGTGTTGTCCGCTATATTCTAGGATCGAAGTATTGGCCGGTACTTGAGCTAAGTTCCATATACAGGAATCATATCCTTCCCTTGACCGCTATCCATCTCAACAGTGATGCTCCTGTGCCCTTCAGTATGAGGGATGCATAGTGTATGCCTTTATCAACCCAACGCTATAGTGCAGTCGAGAAAGTACGCAGCTGGAATCGAGGGCGTAGGATTCGTCAATCTCAAGGAGAAAAGTAGGTCCGGCAAATCCTCGATGTTTTCGCATTCATATCTGCAATACAGAGGTCTCAAAGATAGAGGAATATGGAAGGTAGACGAGAGAGGGAGGAAAAGAGAGAGGTATTCGCGATCGTCGTTATCAGTCGTAGGCGATTCTCACCAGATGAGTTTGGCGACAATGATGACGGAGTTTATTCCGATTAGGGGTACTATTCAGCCGAGGATATTGTGTTAGCCCTGCTCGATTACAGAGGACCAAAAGAACCATAGGAAATCGGACAAGGACATACTCCGCATCACCGTCCGGACACTCGCGATCAAATCAATCGTCTTCGCCTTGACGCTTGTGCTATCGTAGGATGCACCAAAGGTATCTTGTTGTTGTGAACGACCCCATCCAACTATATTTTATTTAGCGATTTGCATGGTGTATTATTTCCGCCAAAGGGGGACGTACTCCGAGCGAGGAAGCGGTCTTCAGAGAGGACTGCGATGGCGTTGATGATGAGGATGATGACTGCGTGATTATTCTGTAAGCAGAGCTTGGTTCGAGGAGTAGTAGGAGTAGCGTACCGTAAACGAGTTTCCCGAGACCGAAGAAGAACATGATCGCTGTTGGTGTATAACTGGGATGAAGGAGTGAGGTTGTAAGTGGGAAAGTTTGCGGAGTGCCAGATGGCGTTTGATTTCCGCCTTGGGATGACGATGATCTCTCTTCCATGCATCTCACATATTGATTGATCCACAATGAGCAGAGATATTGGTCTGTATATACCCTATATACCTTTTATCGATCGTTTGCTAATAAACACAGTATTTCTGTTCCTCTTTCTCCTCGTCCCGGGGCTAGTCCTGCTCCATCTCTTGGTTGCGCCCTATACAAAGGTCGAGGAGTCGTTCCATGTCCAGGCCATTCATGATATTGAAACATACGGTATTCCGTCAATTGGTGATGCTGCAGCCTATATGCAGGAACACTATGACCACTTCAAGTTCCCTGGGGCAGTGCCCCGGACGTTCATCGGAGCGTTGGTGCTGTCGGAATTGTCGCGGCCGTTTATATGGTTAAATAAGAATGTTAACCGGCAGATTTTAGGTATATACTCCTTTCCCTAATATTACTCAATAGCGATAGTCTAATTTTTGTAGCACGAGCCATTCTAGGCTTGTTCAATGCTTCTGCCCTGATGTCGTATGCTTCCGGGATAAAGCGGGCATTTGGACAGCCTGCGGCCATTTGGTACCTGCTCTTCCAGGCTAGTCAGTTTCACGTTCTCTACTACGCCTCGAGAACATTGTCCAACATGTTTGCTTTCGGGATTACGACTCTGGCGTTGCGGTATCTTCTATCGGAACCTGGTGTCCGCCACAAATACAGGACCCGGTGCCGGCTTTCCCTCTGTCTATTGACTGTGGCTGGCATCATCTTTCGATCTGAACTGGCTCTCTTCCTGGCGATGCATACGCTCTTCCTTCTCCTGACGGGTCGTGTCAGTTTAATAAAGGAGGTCATCCCTGCTGGTATCCTGGGACTCTTCATCGGCCTCATCTCCACCGTATCCGTGGACTCATTCTTCTGGCAGCAATTTCCTCTCTGGCCCGAGCTGGCAGCATTCAAATTCAATGTGGTCTCAGGTCAAGCGTCCGCTTGGGGCACGCAGCCCTGGCACTTTTATTTTTCCAACGCTATCCCTCGTCTTTTGTTAAATCCGTGCACCTATCTCATTGGTATCCCGGTAGCGCTCAGTCTGTCCTCAACACGCGCGGCGACAGCATACCTCCTCGCTCCTTCGTTGGCGTTCGTAGCGTTATTCAGTTCTCAACCACATAAGGAATGGCGGTTTATTCTATACGTCATCCCACCACTCACTGCTGCAGCTTCTCTGGGCGCTTCGTATATCTGGACGCACCGGACGAAGTCTTTCATCTACCGCTTACTATCTCTCGTCATGCTCCTTTCTCCTCTAGCCTCCTTCACTATCTCGACTTTTGTCCTCCTGCCTTCGTCAGCAGCCAACTATCCCGGCGCACACGCCTTGCGCGCCCTTCATGATAACCATGGAGACACTTTTCAACCAGAGATTTCAGTCTACTTAGGAAACCTCGCTTGCCAAACGGGTGTAACCCGGTTCCTGCAAATACCATCAAAATCTCCCACGGAAGCATGGAAATACGATAAAACCGAAGACGAAACCATCAAATCCTCCTCAACCTTTTGGGACCAATTCGACTATGCACTCGTTGAAGCCGTCGGACCTGAGGAGTCTAGACTCACTTCTGGGCCAAACTCGCGTTGGGAAAATGTTGAGGTCGTTAACGGTTTCGCTGGTGTTAGAGTTCTTCGTCCGGGTGAGGAGGCGAGGGGGTCTGTTGAGGAGAGTTTTTTGAGAGGCATTGGAGGTGAACGTGCAATTGGGGTTTGGGAGAAGGGACGGGAGTTGGTGAGACGGTTTGTAACGAAAGGATGGTGGGTTGGTTTGAGAATGGAGCCTAGGATCAGAATTATGAGGCGGGTTGAGTAGTTTATATAATAGGAAATTTATTTACCAAAGGCGTATGTTCAAACTATGTCCAACGGGATATCGCAAAAGGGGTATTGACCAAGAGATTAAGACATCATGCGCCGCTCCCCTCCATCCGATCCAATCTTCTCTCCAAATCTCTCACCCAAGGTTCAACCAACTCGATATTACTCTTCATTGAAGCCTCGCCTTGTCCCATTCTCTCCTCTACCACCCTAAGCCCCTCGCGCCACTGCTCAATTTCCTTCTTCATTTCCCCCTGGCGGCGTTCCAACTCGTCAAGTGATTCCGCAGCCTGCGCGGATCCCGCATGGATAGCACGGAGGGATCGAAGTCGTTCTAACACGCTCGGGAGGAGGGGATGTAGCGATTGGATAGTGGGGAGAGTAGCATAGAGGGCTTGGATCTTGGTAGCCTGTTCGTCGCGCTGATTGGCGACGGGGTCGACCTCCGTCGTTGACGAGGAGGAAACGGACATGTCTGATGGTTCGACAGGAGCGGGAGCGACCTTTGCCGTTTGCGCAGCTTTGGCGGCATCGAGAGCGCGTTTGCGCGCAGAGGCCAGTGCCTCAGCATCCGCGGTGAGCTTACGGACCCGTGTGGACAGGGCTTCGAGGTTTGGTGTTGAGACGGTTGTGGAGGGCGGTGCAGAGCCCATGGTTGGGACGGCGGAGGCCGGTGCAGGGCCGACCAGGAGAGTTGTAAGGGTAGAGAGGCGCGAGGTGAGGTGGTCCATAGCAGGGAGGACGGGTTGGAGGGTGGGCTCAGAGTTTCCATCTGCGACAAAGGGGTTCGACGAGCTGGAGATGCCCATTGCTGCTTCAACGAGGGCAAGGCGGCCGTCGAAGGCGGCGGCGTGGGATAGGACACCGGAGGATGCTGACGCCGAGGCCTCCGTCTTGTTTTCTGGTGCTGGGCTGCGCGGCGGCGTGGAATCGGGGGCTGCATCTGTCGCGATCTTCCGAGATAAGGTTGCGGCCGCGGAGTGCGGCCCTGCCGCGCTGCGAGAGGAAGCATAGAGGGTATCCAACGCCCGACTGAGCTCCTGCACGCCGTCGTCCAGCTTCTCCTGTCCTTCCGCGGATGATTCCTTAGTTTCGGCATCTGCCTTTTCTTGTCGAGCAGTCACCTCGTCCTTCAATTCCTCAACTTCTCTCCGCAATCGCGCAAGTTTTCTTTCCATACTCTCCTCCTCACTGTCACTCAGATCCCCCACTTCCTCCAGACCGTCATCCCGTACCCGTCGGCGGCGGTTCTTGCTTTTGTATGACTTTCGTTTCGCTGCTATGCTATCGGAGAAATTCACTTCGCGGGCGTCGACCGTAGCCCCCATAAATTGGGCGCGTGCTTCGTCTGCATTAACACCTTGTCGGTCGATATCAGAGTTGGAGTCATCTTCGTCCGCCTCGGAGGACGTGCGGATTGTTTGTGTCTGTCTTATTAGACAGAGTGGACTGAAATTGAGAGCGCCAGTGACTCACCGGAAGAGTGGAAGCTTCGTCCGTCAGATCGGGAGTCTCGTAGATATCAGGTGCTTGGTCCTTAATCATGTCAACAATGACGATCACATTCCATATAAACTATGGGGCTTACCAAATCTGGAAGACCAGCATATTTCTTGTTGAGTGCCATATCCACAGGAAAGTAGCAGAATCAATTGCAGCTGACAAAATGCTGTGCTCTGTTGCTCCGAGCGGTATTGATACCAAAACACACCTGGCGGCGGAGGGCACGTGAAAGGGGAAGTGAGCATAATATTAGCATAGCAGTCTGAGTCAGCTATGCTTGTATAAGCACGTGTCACCCGGCTCGGAACGGGACTTGGACCAATCAGGAAAGTGCGCAGGGACAGTAGCACATGAAAACAACAGCTGAACGTGATTCTCTTCGTTTACTCCGGCTTACTTAAATACGCCTTTCTCGTCTCTTTCTTCTCATCTTCCTCCACATTTCCATCATCCTAGATACATCTTTATTCTATTCTTATACTCCTCTCCATTCTTATATCTAGAACCCGCATCCCATCATGGCTGCCCCCGCCGACATCACCATCAAGAACCTCAACGGAGAATGGACTCTGGCATGTAACCGTCTTGCCCTGAGTCTATTCGACTCGAGCTAACCTTATTGACAGGACAAATCCGTCTCCAACGACGCTGACCCAGTCCTGGCCCTTGTGAGTACTTATATCCATGATCTACATATGACTACCCACTGACAGTCTTCCCTTTTCAATAGCAAGGAATGAGCTGGCTCACCCGCAAGGCAATTGGTCTCGCAACCCTCACCCTCAAGGTCCATCAGTACCCCGAGTCCGCAAACCCCACCGTCATCAACATCGACATCGACCAAATAGCCACCGGCGGTATTAAGGGCACCAGCGAGAAGCGTGTCACCGACTGGACCGCCCGTCCTCACTCTGACCACATCTTCGGTAACGTTGAGGGCCAGTCTCGCGTTATCCGGGGCGTCAAGGGCGCAGATGGCAAGGTGCGGCCGAACCTGGAGGTCAGCACCAAGGTTGGCAATGATGACGACGATGCCAAGGTTGCGCGGTTCTTGAGGGGTGAGGTCCTGGCGGATGGATCTGAGACTGAGGGCTTCCAGGTGGAAGCTCTAGGTGAAGAGTACGGCGATGGAGAAGGTCTCTATATCCAGAACTTCGTTGTGAACAAGGACGCTGGGTATGGCTGGACCGCAGAGCAGGTATTTTAGACCCTAAATCCTCCTTCTTATGCATTTGTGGCTAATGTGTGTAACAGGTTTGGGGGTTCGAAACTGTTCAAGACGAGCGTCGTTACACCCGCCGTATCGTGGTGGCCAAAGACGGCAAATACCAAATGATCCGCTTCGTGTACTCCTTCCTCAAGCATCGGGATGCCTAAGCTGTTCATGTGCTGAGTGTGCTATGAAAAAGAGATTCGCGCTTTGGCCAAGTCTGACCAGTAAAATTACTGAACTTGACAGACAAGTGACAGCGTCATGAATTGAAGAACTTTGACTAGCGTTTCTTCTTGTTTATCATATTATAATACATGATTCCGGGCACCTAGAAAGTATAACAGAACCCAACGGTTTCACACTTCATAAGAAGAGAACATGTACCAGTGAATGAGCAATATTCTCGAAGCCCTAAGCCTCGAGATTCACCTGACGTGTCTAAATCCGGTGTCAAAAGTCCAGCATGCTGATGGACAACCTCGAAATTTTTATAATGGTAGAAGTAAAGATGGATTGGACTTTAGATCCTTAGAAGAGACTAAACCATGTATGCGTTCCTTGCTGGAAGATTCAGCGCGACTGCTTTGGATATAGTATATTTAGAGTGATATAATCTATCACAGGGCAGCTCGCAAGGTATATAGGTGACTTCAGAACAATTATCTATAATAGTTTAAATTTTTAAGTATTCAATAATCATGTCATTATGCTTCATAAAACAAGAAATACCACAGATAAGATCATGAGTTCGTTGGCATAACCACCTGAGCCTTCGTGCTAACTGCATCCTCAGCCCTCCACAAACTTGTCACAGTCTTCTGTTGCGTGTAGAACTGCAACCCCGGCTTGCCGTAGAATGTGTTTGCACCACCACCAGCGATACTCTTCTTGTTACCAGTGAAAGAGAACATCGGTAGGGGGACGGGGATGGGCACATTAACACCAACTTGGCCGGCTTCGATGTCCTTCTGGAAGCGAGATGCTGTGGAGCCAGAGCGGGTGAAGATAGCGGCGCCGTTGCCGTATTCGTTCTTGTTAATTAGGTTAATAGCATCGTCGAGAGTGTCGACGTTGAGGCAGACAAGGACGGGGCCGAAGATTTCTTCGCGGTAGCAGCGCATCTCGGGGGTGACGTTCGTAATGATGGTAGGGCCAACCTAGCGCCATATTAGCAACAAATATCGAGAAAACAATAGTCAATTAGGGGAAACATTTACAAAGTTGCCGTTAGGGTACTTCTCAGGCTTGTATCCACGACCATCCAAAAGAATAGTCGCACCCTCCTGCTCAGCACTTGTAATCAATTCCTCGACTCGCTTCTGGCTGTCGGGGCTAATGACGGGACCGAGATCCGCCCCCTCTTCAAATCCACCGTTGACATTCAGTGCCTTGGCCCGTTCAGCCATCTCAGACAGCCAGTCTTGAGTCTCACCGACCATCACAGCAGTACTAAGAGCCATACAACGCTGACCGGCAGCACCAAATGCAGCCCCCACGATAGCATTGAGGGTCTGGTTCTTGTTGGCATCGGGAAGAACAGCAGCATGGTTCTTCGCGCCAAGGTTTGCCTGGACACGCTTGCCATTGGCAGAACCACGGTTGTAGATATATTCACCGGCCCGGTTGCTGCCAACAAAGCTAATAGCCTTGATGGCAGGCTCGTCCAGAATGAAGTCCACCGTCTTCGCAGAACCATGGATGATGTTAATCACACCTGGAGGGAAGCCAGCTTCCTTAGCCAGTTCGGCCAGAATCATTGCCGCTCCAGGGTCCCGCTCGGAGGGCTTCATAACGAGACAGTTACCAGCCACAGTGGCAACGGGAAGACACCAAAGAGGAATCATGGCGGGGAAGTCTGATCGACGCGGTTAGCCTCGGGTCAGATTATACGAGTTCTCCTAGGGAGATAGCAAAACTTACTAAATGGGCAAATTGCTGCAACAACGCCCAATGGCTCACGGTAGCTTCTCGTCTCCATGTCCTTGGCGACCTCCAAGACTTCACCGGTAATCTGAGTGGTAATACCACAGGCAGTCTCCGCCACCTGCAGACCACGGAGCACATCACCTTTAGCATCTGGGAAAGTCTTACCCTGTTCCAAGGTAATGGATGCGGCAAGACGGTCCCAATTGGTCTTGATCAAGCTGACAAACTTGAAGATGATCTGTTGCCGAGCCATGATGCTGGTGGCACGCCATGCTGGGAAGGCCTTCTCGGCCGACTCGACGGCGGCGCGGAGCTCCTCATCAGTGCTTTGGGGCACACGGGTGATGAGGTTGTTTGTAGCAGGGTCATGCAAGTCGATCCATTGCGTAGTCTTGGAAGAAACGAATTCATTATTGAGGAAATTTGCGGTGTCAATGGGGTTGGCAATTCGCTCGTGGGTGGTCGGGTATTCAGTAGCGGTGCTAGCCGCAGAGGTGGTTGCGGGGGTGAGCTGAGCGGCGGTGGCATGGAGCCTACGGGTTGCCGTCAAGGGAGAAGAGACAGAAGAAGGGATCCTTTGCGAAGGCGGCATAGCGGAAGATGGCCTGGACAAGCTCGACAGAGAACGTGATGCTGAAGCCGAAGCAACTCGAGCAAAGGAAGCTGTAATGCGGGGAGACGCCGCGCGGAGAGCGGGGAGAGATTGGGCGAGAGACCGACGGGCGGCCATGATGAGAGGTAGGGGATGTATATAGAGTATAGACGAAAGAAGAGAGGGGCGAATTGATAGGCAGAAGTGGTATCAAGTCACGCAGGGATAGGTTGCTGTGTACAGCAGAGGGGTCTTATATATACTCGGTCTGTACGGGGTATACGGCGGGAATTGCGGGCCGCACGATTGGGGAAGAAAGTTGGGGATCCCCAAAGCGTTAGGTAAGCTCCGTGCTCTATTTCGGCGATCCCAGCCAATCACTTTTATTTTCATATCGGGAATGTGATAAGCTGCAACTAACATATGCCGGAACTACATGCCTGATTCTTTCAAAGCGAAAAAGTGGAATTGCTGGATATAGAGTACCCTACAAATCCTTCGGAATCGCCTTCCTTTCTTGTTAGAATGTCATATCTCATAATAAAGTGACAGCATCTTCTCCGATAAGTACTGGACCTTTTCATCCCCAAAGGTCAAGATATAAAGAATCAAATAGAAAAAGGCTCAGAAACAATTAAACAGCAATAAAAACAAATAACACTGGTTGCACAGGGGCTGTTTTGGCCCGTTTTTTTTTTCTTTTCTTTAAGATGAACTAAGATCTCCTATGATCGACGCTTGGTAGCACCGCCCTTGCCAGTGTCCGCAGAAGAAGAGATGGCTTCGCCTTCCTTCTCCTTGGACTTACCAGCAGCTTCCTTACCCTTCTGGCTGCCAGAAGGAGCAGGGCTGCTGGCGCCAATGGCTCCAACGATGATGAGGATCATTGTGACAAGAAGGGCACCCAGGCCACCGGCCACCTCCGGCACTTGCTTGATAGCGTGAACGGGGTCCTGCTTGGCCAAGCCAATAAAGTAGTCAACCTTCTCACGGACGTAGCCAACGGGGTCCTCCTTGAAGCTGACGCTGGGGGTGGCACCCTTCTCCTCCGGCTTAGGCTTAGCGGCCTCCTCCTGAGCGGCCTCCACAGGGCGCTTGACATCAAAGGTCTCCTTGCGGAGCTTCTCAGCATCCTCAGCGGAGTGACCAATGTAGATGTTGTCGAATAGGATGTCATTCTGCATGGTCCAGATTTCGAAGCCGATCTGCGAGCGTTAGTTGGTCTCATGTTTAACAATGTCAAGATCAGTCTGGGAGGAAACTTACAGCACCCATGGGCTCAAAATTGGAGGGAGTCTTGTCCTCAAAGTAGGAAGGATTGGCAATCTTGCGAGGGGCCCAAGGACCCTTGTAGGCCGGGTTGTCAATCAGAGGAGCGCTCCACTTGCCCTTGTAGGCCGGGTTCTTCTTCAAAGGGGCCGACCAGGGACCACATCCAGAGACTTCGTTGCACTTGGGGTTGGCGACTGTCGGAGGGATCCAGTCACCATCCTCTTCGTCATCCCAGTCTTCGGGCTTCTCAGCCTCGGGGTCAGGGATGCTAGTAGGCTCGTCTTCCAACCAGTCATCGGGAATGCTGGCATCCTCATCGACGATCTCGAAGGGCGCCTCCTCATCCCAGTCCTCAGGCTTCTTGGCTTCGGGGTCAGGGATCTTGGACTCATCAACCCAGTCAGCCGGCTTCTTGTCCTTAGGGTCGTCGATCTCTTTGGCCGGGTTGACAGGGGGGTTGAAGTCGTCAATAAGGGTGCCCTCCTTGATGGACTCGCCGTCAATGAGGATTTGGAAGGACTGGTCGGGCCGGACGATCAAGGTGTAGAGGGAGGTGACCTTGGAGGTGCGAGCAGCTGGGGGAGCCTTAAGGTGCTTCTCCTCGTACTCGCCGGTCTTGGGGTTTTTATGACGGAAAATGAAGTGAACCTAGCAAAGTCAGCGTCGAGCTCTCACTTTTCGTCGGGACCTTTCTAGCAATGTACAGGCAGTTCGTACCTTGTTGGTGGCACCGCACTTGTCGGGACCAAACATGATCACGTAAGGCGAGGCGTTGGAGAACTCCTCGGCGTGGAGCTTCTTATTCTCCTGGAGAAGCTTCAGGTAGGCACCACCACAGACAAGGGAGTCTATAGAAGGACTTTGTCAGTATCTCAGCGTTCCATTTTCTGTGTTCTCGCTCGTGGAGCGGACTTACTCTGCGGCTTGACCTCATACTGAACTACCAACATCTTGCCCTTGTTATCAATCTTCTTGGGGAACTTGGCAGAGATGCCGTGGTGAGCGGCAGGATCCTTCACGACGAGACCCTTGTCGCCTTCGATCCCTTTGAAAACGGAGGGCTCTTCGACTGCCCAGTTACCGACATAAGCCCAGTCATCCTCCGACTTAGAATCCTCCTTTTTGGCGTGGGAAGGAATCCATCTGGACTCCCAGCCTTCAGTGAATTGTTCAAGGAATGGCGCTTCCAGGTTTGTCGGCTGTATTTACAAAAGAGAGTTAGCAGGTGCTATTTGGTACTATAGATGACAGCCTCGGCAACGAGCGACTGATGAGAGATAGCTTCCAACATACCGTGAAAATAGGCTTCTCGGCGACGGACGACGAATCGGGCTTGTTCTCGGCCTCTTCAGCATGGGCATAACCCATGAGTGAGGCCGAGGAGACAAGCGCCGATGTAAAGGCAGTGTTAAAACGCATGATGGGACGACAGCTAGTAGCTACAAGAAAAAGTAAACAAAAGTCACGAATCAATTGGCCCTCCTAGAGGAGGAAAGAAGAGGCGACAATCTAGATAAGAGGGAAAAATAGATTGCCAGCTAACTAGCTCACAGAAGTGGAGGGAAAGAGAGGAGAGGTGAAGGTGGAAGAAAGAGCGCGATATAAAAGCCGACGATTGAAGCCAGAAGGTCAAAGGTGGCCTCTTCCACGGTAGTTGCCCAATCAGGTTAGTTCGCTATTCTTCAGTGTTCGATCGGAAGAAAGGCTGCGGCTGGACTCATTGTTGCTTACTATAACCTATGTACAATTATCAAAAGTGGACACTGAGGTTCAATGTTTTAATTGTAAGCCTCGCTTTATATACAGCCTCCATTGTAAAAGCTGTAGGCAATTGGTCTCTTTTCACTCTATAGTACGGAGTATTACCGTAGATTGCGCGATCATCCATTTATCTCCGCGCGCCGTTTAAAAATGTTTCCCCGCCGGTGCTTTTCTGTCGTTCTTGGTCGATCTTGACTCCATCTTTCTACATTTGGCTTACTGGATATATTATCTATCTAGAGTGTCTTCTGATTGATAGGAGGTCAAATTGTTAATCTTATCAGCTCATTCGCCTTATAATCCAGCCTCTCCTCTAGGAGACCCCCACCATGGCCGACATCCAGAACGAGAACAACGACCATTTGGTCCAGTCCGATGACCCCGAACACCCAGCCAACAAAATCCCCGATCTCTGTCGCAGATTCTATAACTGGGGTTGGGTGACTGGTACTGGTGGTGGTGTAAGCAATCCTGAGTGCCTTGCTTGGTTTGCGACAGAGAAGTTGCGATTAACACAAGGCTGACTTCAATGTCTACACTAGACCTCAATTCGCCAAGATGACCACATTTTCATCGCCCCGTCCGGTGTTCAAAAGGAAATGATGCAACCTCACAATATATTCGTCCTACAATGGCCCACTCCGAAGTACCCTCCCTCCGAGCGCAAGTACATCCGCAAGCCCCTCGCATTGAAGCCGTCAGACTGTACCCCTCTTTTCCTTTCTGCGTTTGAACGCGGCGCCCTCTGCAGCATTCACACCCATTCGCAGTGGGCCGTGTTAGTGACTTTGCTGGTCGAGCGTGAGAAGGGTCCCGATGGCTGCTTTGAAATCAGCGACATTGAACAGATCAAGGGAATCCCTCGCGGCCGGGGTAAGGGTATGCTCGGCTTCCACGACACCCTCCGGATCCCGATTATTGAGAACACTCCTTTTGAAGAGGATCTCACAGGAAGTCTGGAGAAGGCGATGGACCGGTACCCGGACGCCTACGCGGTTCTGGTCAGAAGACATGGAATGTGAGCGCCACCGTTTATCCTATAAGATTGAATATACAGGATGCTAATGAGTGACTCAGCTATGTCTGGGGAGACACCGTTGCCAAAGCAAAGACTCAATGTGAAAGCTTGGATTATATTTTCCAGCTAGCAGTGGAGATGCATAAGCTTGGTCTTCCATGGGTCAAGAACTCCCCTTAGTTGGCAGGGCTTGCTATGTTCAAGCCTACCATGAGGAACATGATGACGATGCATATGATAGTTCATGATTGGACAGGGATGTAGAAAATATGAAATATAGTAGTATGACCTTGTATATCTGGGAATCTATTGGATCCTCGTAAACTGAAGACTTCATATATAGCAGGTCTAGGGTTATTGCGGTATCAACATTGAGGTACTCCCGTACCGTTATACCGAGTCAGCTGTAAACTATTTTTATGCGATTAATGGTAATTGCATCCTATTGCTTTTATTTATACTTTCTCAAGCTATATATTTATATTCCAACATACATCCATCGTATATCAAGTGCTCTGCAATCTACATTGGCGGGGGAAACCTAATCCGTCGGCCGTTGCTTCTCCGAACGCCAGACGTGCGATCCCGTCATCTCCTACTCCGGACAGTTCGACCACAGCAACCAGCGCCCTCTCGACTTAGCAGGTGCCTGTCCCTTAACTCTAAACTAACCCCGCCTTGTTTATTTGTCATACTCGAAGCCTACGAAAATATGGATTTGGACGCTGGAGACTCCCCGTGGGGCGGTAAGTGGTTAGGAAGGCACCGCTGTTTGTTCCCCGTTGTCTAACAATCACGAATGACAGATGTCCCTTCGCAATCGAGTGCAAACATTGGCACCTCGAACCCTGACACTGAAGAAACAAGTACGTTTGTCCCGCAAACCCAACCTTCCCGTGTCCTTCTTCCAGGCTATCTTTCCCGTCCGACCCTGTCCCAGAACCTGACGTCTCATTGTTTCAGACACAGAACAACCCCAGCAGACCGGTTCAAGCTCCTCAGGTCGACGAAACCCACGAGTCAACCGACGAATCAATGCGCAAGCGACGAAACTAGAAGCTGTTGGTGATGAAATTGATCCACTCGGTCCGCTTGGGAATACGGCCGTTGAGAGCGGACCTTCGCCTATCGAACAAGCACCTGAGCCCCCTCAAAAGGAATTCGCAGCGCGCAATGCCCGTCCTACATCATCGACGTCACAAGCATCTAGTCTCGCTGGAATGGTAGATTCGGTGACCCTGGAAGAGAATGGTGCTGGTTATAGGAACCCTCCGCCAGTGCAACCCCCGGCTGAGGCAGAGGGGGCAAAGAGACCATCACAACCCAGCGTCAGCATAGAGGAGGCTGCTAAGCCAACGTTTGAAATTGTGGTGGGGGATCCGCATAAAGTTGGAGATTTGACAGGCAGTCACATTGTGTATCAAGTCCGGACCCAGGTAGGAAGAAAGAAACCGGATGAATTGGACCTGTGAAAGGCGGCAAAGCTGACACTGGCATTACTACAGACAACCTCCAAAGCCTACCGGCAGCCAGAATTTGCCGTTAGTCGTCGATACCGCGATTTCCTGTGGCTTTACAATTCACTACATAATAATAACCCCGGTGTCGTTGTGCCTCCGCCTCCGGAAAAGCAAGCTGTCGGTAGATTTGACACGAATTTTGTCGAGTCAAGAAGGGCTGCACTGGAGCGCATGCTCAACAAAATTGCTGCACACCCTATCCTGCAACACGATGGCGACCTCAAGATCTTCCTAGAAAGCGAGACCTTCAGCATTGATGTCAAGAACAAGGAGAACCGAGAGCCGGACCTTGGTCAAAACAAGGGCATGTTTAGCTCATTTGGAATCAACGTTGGCGGAGGCACCAAGTTTGTCGAGCATGACGATGTAAGTTGCTGCTCCGTCGTAAAATCCAACTTCCATTCCATTGACAATTTATGCACAGTGGTTCCACGATCGCAAGATCTACTTGGATGCGTTAGAAAACCAATTAAAGTCGTTAATGAAATCTATCGACACAGTAGTTGCGCAGCGGAAAGGCCTTGCGGAAGCAGCTGGCGATTTCTCCGCCTCGCTCCATGCCCTGGCAACTGTTGAATTGTCACCAGCGCTTTCGACTCCTCTGGATGGGCTGTCAGACTTGCAATTGCGCATCCGGGAATTATACGAGCGACAGGCAATGCAGGACGTTCTTACGCTCGGTATCACAATTGACGAATACATCCGCTTAATTGGAAGTGTCAAGACCGCCTTTAATCAACGTCAGAAATCGTATCATAGCTGGCATGCAGCCGAATCGGAAATGACAAAGCGAAGGCATACCCAGGAGAAGCTCCTTCGGCAAGGGAAGACGCAGCAGGACCGTTTGAACCAAGTTAACGCGGATGTGGCCGATGCGGAACGAAAGGTGCACCAGGCAAAACTGCTGTTCGAGGACATGGGTAAACTGATGCGGAACGAACTGCAACGATTCGAAAAGGAGAAGGTAGAGGACTTTAAGTCTGGTGTTGAGACGTTCTTAGAAAGTGCTGTTGAGGCACAAAAAGAGGTAAGGCCGCCAAATACTTGAATGTACATTGACTGCTCGGTCTAGCTGACTCTTCTTTCTAGTTAATCGAGCTCTGGGAGACCTTCCTCCTGCAACTGGATGTGGGCGATGAAGGCAATCCTCTCTTCTCACCACAAGCTCCTAGTAACGAACCTGCTGCTGAAACGACTGCAAGTGCCGAGGCGATCACGGCCAGCGAGGGAGCTTAGCGTTGCGTTGTTTTATGTAAAGATCCGTTACTTTGTTTTATACCTCAATCGTGCGAATGATTGTCAATTACATGCACGGCTCGGTGTTTCAATGTTAGAAACTGATGATGATGGTTCAACTACTGAGTAATGTCTTGATGGTCATATCGAGAACTCGGGTCTAGACTATGGACGCTTGTGTCAATTCAACGATGTGGTTGAATTTCTCAAGGTTAGAACGTATACATGTACATGACAGCCGAACAAATATTTAAACAATAAAACCCACAAATCCCAACCTCATAAAACCAATCAGGGTATGAAAGTCGATTGTTCGCAACCTCGAATATCGTACAATTGCTCACAACCGTAAACCGAACTTCCCCACGCTCACACTCATTTCTTGTTCCCAGCTTCCTCCTCCTGCCCAAACGAACTAATCAAATCCAACAAATTATCCTCCTCCTCCTGGTCCTCCTTGGCCTGCTCCGCCATTAACCGTGCCTTCTCAACCTCCGCAGCCTCATTATTCTTTTCCAACGTTTGCTCCCCGGCCGCTTGCGCCGCCGCCGCCTCAGTATGAACCTTCACATCGTCCTCCTTCTTCTTCACCTCCTCCTCAGTCGGCGTATTAGCATCCCAGCTGCGGCCGAACTTCGCGCGGAACGCAGCCAGCCGTCCGGCCTCGTCCTCCTCGACGTTCATGAGTTTATGGCTGGATGGGTTCCACAGCAAGGAGTTACGGGTGTCGCGGGTGGAGCGGTAGACGGGGAGCGGGGAGGTGGTGCGTTGCGTGTAAGTGCTGCCGTCGGAGAGGGTGACGAGTTGAGTGAAGGTGTAGGGCCGCTTGGGGCGCCGGAGGAGGGTGGCATGGCGGCATTGTGAGCAGATGAAGGTGGTGGGTGTTCGGATGGTGGTTGTTGTGACCGCGCTGCGGCGGAGGGGGGTTGTGAGGGACATTATTGCTTCTCTCTCCTCTTTTCCGGTGGCGTGAGGTGAGATGAAGGAATAGTCACGGAGTATCGGTGGTCAATCTGTTGTAGTGGTCTGCTTTTGTCTTGGACCGAGAAATTTCGCGGACAAGATACGGAGCTTATATAAGCGGTATCCCGACTTTTTCCTCTTCATTCCCTCAGAGATGTCATACAAATACTACTACTATTGTCTATAACGACGACGATGGTTGTCAATTGAGCGGACTCTTCTTTACCATTATCTTCTTTGTCCTCATGATGACTTGGGAGGGCTTTTACAGTCTCTTCAGTGATTCTATCCACTCGCCCACCATTTCCTGAGTTTCTTCGAGCTCCTCCGCTACCACCGGCGGTATGAAGCTCTTTGCATACTCTCAATCGGGACTCTTAACGGGCCAGGCAATTGCACAGTTGAATGGTATTTACTATCCATGTCCTATTTCCTTCATATGATCCTAATAGATGAACGTACAGCGCCGCAATGTCTCACCAGCCTTCCCCGCCATCCCGCCGTTCAATTCGGACTCGGGTTCAATCGACCTGTGCAACCATGCCAGCGTAGAACCCTCGCTGACACTCCCAAACCCTCCCTACCAGACCAAATCCGCCTGCTCATGCGCCGAGTCCCCTACCCCGTCGCCATCATAACAGCCACAGACCCGCACACCCACAACCACAAAGACACCCAAATCGAACACTCCTACCGCGGCATGACAGTCTCCTCCTTTAGCACCGTAACCCTACACCCCGAGCCCGTGGTCTCGTTCAACGTGAAACGACCATCCGAAACGCTCAATGCACTACTCTCCTCCGGACGGTTCCTCGTGCATCTACTGGCACCCGCAAAACCAACAGCGGATTTGGCAAGGGATTTCTCGATGGGAAATCATAATCTGTCGATTTTGGACGGGGAGAGTGATTTTGGATTTGCTGCGCATGCGCAAACTGGGAATGAGAAGGAGAGTGAGAGGCCTCTTCCGCTGCTGCGGAGGAGGGTGGAGAGTCGGGGCATCGTAGATTTCCCGTTTGTTTTTGAGTGTAGGCTTCTACCGCAGCAGATAGAGGTGTTCGATCACACGATTGTTTTAGGTCGTGTTGTGGATACGATTCTGCAGTGTCCGTTAGATGCTGAGGTCAAAGGTCAAACTGACTCTGGTGAACTGTGCTTGACGTATGCTAATACCAAGTTCTGGGAGATGGGTCATGAGATCAAGGGATGACACATGATTGCCCTTTATTAACGAATGGTGTGCCCTGAGATGTCGACATGGCCACCTCATTGCTGGCATTTGTATAATAGAAAGATTAATAGTCGTTTGTATATACAAGTCTGGAACTTTAATCCATCTACGCCTTCTATTCATACAACACCAACACCACAGATAGCAAGTGATGTGAGAAATTTGCTAAGTAGCCTCAGCTCGAATTGGTACTACCCTTGACTATACTCCAATACCATGCTATGTACCCCATTATATACAAAACAATTTCTTCGTTTTGCTGCGCTGCTAATGATAAAATTCTCCAAGTAGAACTTCCACCTTCATGGATATCGGATTTGCTGTACAACCTATGAAACTTGGATAGGATCCAAAACCTTTTGTCCTAAAAGTGCCCTAAGAGATCTACATGTAGGCCATGCAAAACGCAAGAGAGATCGTCCACAGGCGATGCAAAGAGAAACGAACAAACGGAAAGAACACGACTGATCCGAGTACTAGAGGCTGGGAACGAGCAAGCACAAAGGCTCCGGAGTATACACACGAGCGCAGGCACACACCATTTGATACCACTTTTCCGAAACACCATTGGCAGAGAAAAAAAAAAGGAGAACCTGGGACGAATATGCCACGAGGAACGTCAACACCGCTGTCCCACGAAAAGTACCCCATTTTGATCCAACATGCCGAACCCATCAACTGATTTAGTTGCCTTGACCGCGCGCAGAGCCCGGGCTGCCACTGCCACTGCTACCGCTTCCACTCCCACTCCCACTGCCACTTCCACTGCCTCGACTACCTACCCGCTGGAACGAAGTCGGAGACGGGCGCGTGTTAAAGCTCAGAGGATTGTTATTCTCAGAACCAGAGCTTCCTCGCTTGTCGGTAACCAATTCGGACAGGTCGAGCTGAAGAGGCGGCAGGCGGCTGCCGTCCAAAAATTCGGCAGTGCTGTTGAACTGTCCGCTTCTGGCCGATCGGTTGGAGAAGGATCGATCCCGGTAAGCAGAATCCGTGGAAAAGTACGAATTGGTATGGGCAAGTGGGGAACTCGGAACGTGCTGGTGCAAGTACGACGGCTGTGGTGCCGGACTAGTCGGGTGAGAAGGGATCGTACCAGCGGGAGTTGCCGAATGTTGAAGCGGGCTAGATTTCAATGGGGGGAAACTGAGACCCAACAGCGATCGGTGGTTGGAAGCAGTGCTGGTCAAGGGGCCCAAGGCCATGCCATCGGAAATGGGGGCTCCAGGGGTTAACTGACCAGGGTCAATGAGCTGCTGCTGTTGTATAGCTTGCTCGATTGCGGCAGCTTGCTGCAGGAGTTGATTCGTGCGAACGTGGTAATCTTGAACGGACTGGCCAATAGTGGCAAATTGATCATTGTAATTCGCCTCCAGCTTAGCCTGATCTTGCTCCCTGGCAAATTGTTCAGCCGCTCGACGCTCACGTTCATTGAGACCCTGGGCATTAGCAGAGACAATTCGCTCATGCTGTTCGTTGACTCTGGCACGACGACTTTGAAGACGTTCGCGCCGTTGAATCGTCGAGTTCAAATCAGATTCCAAAGATGACACTTCGCGGGCAATGGCAGTACGGGTAGCAGCAATTTCATCTTTAGCATTGGCAAGCTGGTCCCGTTCACGCTCATAGTCGGCTTTCTGGGTCGACCATTCCTGCAACTCCTCCTCGGGGATCTGTGTTTTTGTACTCAGCTGGGCCTCCAGCGTGGTCGTTGCTTCCTCCGTCTGGCGAATAGTGCGTTCCAACTGGAGAGAGCGTTGTTTCTGTTTGTTTTCATCCGTCCCACTGCTTAGGCGATTGCCCAAACTTTCCATGTCTCTCTTAATCTTGTTCAAGACACGTGTATGGTCGGCCCTAGTCTTCTTCTGCCGAGCGCGCTTCTCATTGAGTTTTGCTTCCGCGTTGACAATGGAGTTTTTGAGGGTGGTTGTCGGTGACGACGGTCGATAAGACGGTTGCGGTGGCGTGGGAACTGAAGATACTGAAAAGAAAATCAAGACAATGGATTAGAATCACAAGAAGAGGCATAAGGAAAAGTGAGTCTTACCTTGTTCTGCGTCATTGGCGGCAGGAGTCTTGACACTCATGACGCAAATCTCTTCATCGGTATCGCTGCGTACGAAAGAACAAGTGTAAGCACAGTTAGGAGCAAGACCTGAGATCTCGCCACGCCAATGAACCGCATTCGAACCATTAGAAATATCCTCGACTTTGTAGACAGTGGCAGTGGCCCACAGTGCACCATTGACACATACGTAAAACGGTTCCATTTCGTCGTTTCCCAGGTGCCCGGCTTCACAGGCAGCGCCCGAAACAGCAAAATCATCCGCCGAGGCAAAATCACCCGCGGCGTATCTGATCGAGGAACCGTCCACATCCGTTATCCAAATAAGCCCATCATCCAACGAAACGCCTTGCAGATCCTCCTCTGTCATCATAGAACCTCTGGTAGTTTTTGACATCGCTCTAGAATGCTCGTACTCTCTCATCACAGTGACCTTTGTGCTTGCAAGTGCCGCCCAAAATGGTTGACGACTCCGAACCTGGTTTGCTTGTCTCCTCCGTTTCTTCGCCGAAACAAGTCGATCCCGGCCGTCCTTGAGGGCTGAGGGCGACGGCGCTATTTGGCCATCAGTACCCAGTATCGAGGAAAGGCTGGCGCCCGACTCGAAAGCCGAATCCGCCTGCGTTTGCGAAGAGCCCGCGGAAGCCTCGGTGTCGCCGCGCTTTCCAAGGCGCGGGGGAGTGGGCGAACGATTTTGGGCCATCGACCGCCTTAACATGGCCGTGCCTGCTTGGGCCAAAATATGTACTGCCAGTAAACTGCGTATCCAACTCGGAGAACCCTGAGTTTCGGTATGTCGAAACTCTGTGGGTAGGAAATGGGAATACTGAGATAACATGTCCGGAGAGACCATTTTTGCGGAGAGGAGATAACCCATAACAAAATCCTGTATACCTTTACTGCGAAGCAGATGCAAGGCGAGTACTATACCAACACATACCCAACTAACCCCTTCGCTTTTCCCCGACCCTCCACCGCCCAGCGTGATGGCCACCTGCACATGCGCTAAATCTAGTGCAAAATTCTGCGCCCAAGTCCACATGAAAAGGCCCCAAACGAGTAGCGAGAACCCGTCCGCTGCGAGCATTGTCGCCAACGACGGTGTACCAGCCGGACCTTGGAAGATGTCGAAATTTGACGTAAAGGAACCGGCTGACGCACCGCTCGGAGGCATAAAGGTCAAAGACGCAAATAAGAATTGAACCAAGGTCAGGACAATCGGCGGCAACTGGAGGAGGAAAATTAGGATGGCAATGGTGTCATACATCGGGCATGACTTGAGAATGGACGAAGCCAATTGTAACGGATTGATAGAGGCATTCGAACCCGATCTTTTAGGACCCATGGCAGTGGTAGTCGTGGGCGCCTGTTCAGTGCGACGCGAGGCCGGACTGGTGAGTCCACTGTTCGGCGGAACGGCACCATTCGACATGTCTGCGTTGCCCTTGGTATACCCATTCAGAACCCCGCGCACATTGCTGTCGGACTTGGAAGGCGAGGACGAAGGATCTGCCGTTCCGTTCAATTTGGCTGCCGCTGCTACCGTGGGAGTGATGGCGGGATCACTGGAAGAGCGAGACGAGGACAGATCGACTTGAGAGGAGCTCGAGCTCGAGACAAAACCACCAGCGCCACCGTTGGCGTGTCCATTCAAATGTCCATTCGATTTTTGCTTGGTCACTTTCTTACCGGAACCAACGGAACCATTCTCATGCCGACTGCTTTGACTCTTCCTAGCCGCGGCTGATGAACGTGGCATGGACGAGGGAACCAAACACCCAAGTCCGAGTCAGCTTGGCAGATAGCAGCCAAGGACCAGAACCGGGCGTTGAAAAGGGGACGAAACCGACGACAAGGGGGAGTTTGTTGAAGGAATGGGTGGTGGTAGTTGGCGGATGTTATGAGTAGCGGAAAAGGAAGGGAACGGGGAAAATGTGCGGCGGAAAGGGAACGACAGAATTGCTTAAAAAAGACGAGAAAAAGAAGAAAAAGAACGGAAAGAAAAGGAGAGAACTGGTTGACCAAGTGATGATGATAGAATATCGAGGAAGAATGGAAATATAGAGAGAAGAATGGGGGGAGGGGAAAGAGAGGGAGGAAGAGAGCGTGGCGGGGAGGAAAGAGAAGAAGTGAAGTTAAGGAAAGGGAAGGGAAAAAATGGATTGGGATAGTTTAGCAGCAGAAAGGCGGGAATTGTTGCGGCTGTCGATCGGTTCTTTGTGCCTCAGGCATGAACTTGCCTGTAACAGTCAGTACAGTACGGTATGATACATGCTACTGGATGAGTACTAATTTGTCTGTGTTCAAAACCTCTGTACAAAGCTCAGAGAATGGAGTATAAGGACAGATCGCAGGTATCAAAAGCTCACTGCAGTCACTCAGCCACAGTCGCTGTCAAAATTCACAGCCCGTCTTGAAACGAAGCCGTGAGGTGAGCAAAGCCTCGCTCCTTGTTCACGCTGCTATTGTATCGAATCGTTCTGGTCTACAGTGAGTCCCCCTCATTTTGACCGCCGGATTGCTCGCATTTGCCCCGGTAACAGAATGATGATCTTGAGGGGCAAAAGGCAAAAGGGGACTGTCACTTTTGGCTACATATATGACCTGCGACTGCTATTGTTCCCTGATAGGCCAACAACACCGTTCGAAACAAACATTTTTTCAATTGTTGGCACACTTTCGCGCTTTAGCAACCCTAGCACAGGGCCGGTCTGCGTTTTGGCAGGCTCCGAGTCCAACTGAAGCGCCGCTAAGCCGGATGATCTGATGATCTTCCCTCGTCTGTTGCGGGGTCAACGTTGTGCGATAAGTAATCCTGGCAATAGTATAGGCATCATGTAGGGGAGCCGGTAGTTTACTATGTATCTTCTCTATGAAGGGTAAACGCATAGAAGCAGTTATAGAATCGATGGTGCCAATATAAGATGAGACGAAAAGTTACCACGGAGTACTGTGGCAAATATCAGAAAGCCTCATTGATGGTACGGAACGCCATTGCCATGCTCAGTCCATCTTCAATTATAGTCATGATATCAACGGCAAATGTAAATGGCTCTTTGCAGTTTATAGTCCCATGTATGTTTCCGAAAAGTCACAAACAGGTACAGTGAGACTACCTGTAATATACCTAAACCTGCAGTTGATACATACAGTGTGCAATCATCCAAGACCCTAGAAGATGCTGCTGCAGACACAATAATACAACTTTCATGATTAATGCATGGTACCAATCCGTACTGTACAATACCAGAACGTGGTATTCTAGATCGGTAACATCCCCACCGCATTGCTTTTGATCAACGGTCAAGATCCTCACAGGGGTTGAGTATTGGTACTCGAGTATACAGAGTATGCAACACTCAGCACGAATTGACTATTCTTATTGAGCAGCAAAGAATAGGAATCGCGTGCAGTTGTTAATTCTCGACGCTAACTCGCGTGGACCCTGTAACAAGGATCTACCGTCTAGGGTCCCAAAAAGGGAATCGCGCCTAAATTAGTTCGGCGATGCACGTGCCCCGCCATAAGGCTTGTTGTCAGGTGATTCTGCCTTACCTCATGGTTATCACATGACAGTTAGATATAGATTCTCTTAAGTATAGAAAATGAAGTCTGCCTCAAATATTCAATGGTTAGAAAACAAGATAATAGTAATACATCAACTTGCATCACCACTTCTCTCAGTAATCGACTCGACCCACGGCCGAGGTTGGATTCTGGTCGGACAAATTCTAATTGATCTCAAGATCCCCGGTAAGGTATGATCTCCGTCCTCGAGCTTCTTTCTTTGTATGAAGGATATTCTGAGATTTTCGGGTTCCGCGGTTCGGTGCTCCATAGCTGGAAAAGGAATATAGACCCAAGTTATTGGTTTGATGGTGTGTTATGCAGCTGCGGCTAGTGTACACTGCGAAATACTATTGGAAGCGCTTCTATCGAAAAACATGATAAATATTAGAAGCATTTGAAAATCACATGGATTTTCATCAGTTTCAACTGTCTTTTTTTCTTTTTTTTTGGGGGGGGGGGGGAGAGAGGGGGGTCTCCCAAGCCAACCAGAATCTGCATACCCCACTGGAAAAAGAATTCCTGACAGATCTGGACTCGAATTTAGGAAAATTCTGCAAAACTCGGATGGAGCCCGCTGGAGCAACTGCACCATCCACTTATCGGAGCCGGGAAGTGTCCAGCCACTGCCTTGTTTCCACCCGAAGCCGTTTATGATACATTATACGATACACGATATAATATACAATACAACGCGGGACTAAGGCATCCATCAGTGATGGCCTTGATGGCCGGTAATGTAACCCACTAGCGAGCGGCCACTACAAGCCAGCGGCCACCCGGAGTATTATATACAAAATGGCACTTCTCAGGACCTCAAAATCACAAATAAAGTTATAAGTGTTCTGTTAAAGGTCATAACATTTAATATTGATGCATTGTAGAAGCCCCCTTGTTTTGTCTAGAACATCTAGAATTCTTTTGTCATCTGAAATACAGTGTTATTCCCAACACAGCTGTATTTAATGCTGTTTCTATGTATTGAAAAGAACCGAATATGTTATGAAATTATGGGGTTAACCTCTGCTTGTGTACGTCGAAAGAAAATGATATTCCAGATTTCAGGTCCTACCAATGTGTTATTGCTGAGATATTGAGGTCTTAAAAAAGTGCCATTTTGTATGCAATACTCCAGGTGGCCGCTCGCTAGTGAGTTACGTTACGCTATATTATTGATATTCTTTTGGTTGTGTACTGCAGATTAGCATTGGCCAGGACCCGGCATAAAACAAGTTCTCGGCGCTTCAAATCAATCCAATACCATATCTCCAGGCGCTTCAAAACTGGTCGCGACACGTTCGAGATAGGACAGCACATTGTGGCTCAGAGCTTCGAAAATGGTAAGAGCCCATGGCCGTTAGCGAATTATAATACTTAATGAATTGTATCTACCTAGTGGTTCGCTGTACAAGTATGCACTATACATTACGCAGTAGGCAGGAGGCATGCAGATACATATGCAGGGCACGTATCAGTGTTCCAAATGTCGCAATGCCCCTTCTCCAATCTACTTCTTCGTAGATCCCGTGTCCTCGACAGCATCTTCACGATCCCAACTGTCAGTCTCAAGGGTCCGTACTCGGCCCTCAATCTCCAGAATTCTCTGCTGCCAGGTCTTCTTTGCTTCTTCTTGCAACGCCCATGCCCTCTGGAACTGTTCCATCATGAAACGAGGCATGGGTGTCTTCTTTGCCTCTCGATAGTTATACGTGACAATATCCTCGTGACAGCGTGCGGCCGGTCGTTGATGTGCCTCGGAAAGAATGACAACTTGAAGCTCAAAGGCCGACTTTTCAGCCTGAGAAGATGGGTCCTGTACTAGTTTGTGATAAACGCTGATCTTATCGGGATATTTCATGGGCTAGATGGCGTCAACGAACTGGGAATCACTCAATCAAGAAGGATGGCGTGTGGACGCACGAATTTGTAATCAATCTTGATGCTCCGAAGGATGAGACCAATCCCGGTCGAACCAACGAGATTCATCCATGCCTTTTTATTCGCCGGATCCATGTGAGTTGCGAAGTTGCGCATAAAATTCACTCTCGCTGTCTCGGCGTATCTGACGTACATCACGTTGTTGACATGTCCTGGTTCAAGTCAGGTGCCGTGAATATAACAAAGTTTCCTAGGGCAATACATACCCTTTCCAGACAAGTCAGCCATTAAATCAAATCAAGGGACATCATCGTAGACTTACCATAGTATCCTAATGCCAATGCACAATATAGCTATCAGTAAACCACCTCACCATTCGTGCAATAATTACAGAGGCTGTCATCATACCATCTCTCCCCATGCCACATTATGCTGGAATAACCCTCTAACAGTTTCATTCGTCAAAAAACCCTCACTGCCCGAAACCAACTCCCTCCAATCCCTCGCGATCTGCTGTAAGACATCACCCGCTTCCTGAATCTGCGGCGGCTTCAGTCCAAACATCATACACCTTCCGATCCTCCGCTTTGTCAGGGTAAGCCATTTCGGGTCAATCATGTGAGGTTTCGTGGGTGTAGGCGTCGATGTTGATGTCGACTTCGTCTCCGCATGAGCTGGTGAGATTGAGAAGAACCGTCCGGCGGCAATTGAAGGCTTGATTATAGTGGAAGCTGCGAGAGCCTGCTGCCGTGGAGCCTGTCTCATTAGTATTCTCATTCTGGTGCTATCAAATCTGTGAGATGTTGTATTTAGTTGGTAGGAATTGGATGTCGCTGTTCACTATTGAACCTCCGAGCCCGGGATTTCGGTTAACCCCGCTCTCCGCTCCGCATACTTTGAGCACGTAGTTAGATAATTTGATCAAGCTGGATCGGATTTGTTATAAGACCATATCAGGAAGACGGAGCCATGGATAGATTGCCGGTTAAACTGATTGATTGCATTGCAGAACCGACTGTTTACAAGTTCTGTTCTATCCGTAGTTTATCCGCGGCGACGTCACCGCCGATATCTCGAAGCTGAGGAAGGTAACCCAACTTCTCTCAATTTACAGAGCTCACTACAGAACACGCATCTCTCTTCAATCTTTCTTCGAAACAACAACCCAGAAAATCTAGCCAGGACTTAGTGTCCGCTTAATGGATACACCATGACAAACCCAGCATTGCGCCGGGAGGTAATCAATATCTACAAAGGTAAAAATGTTTCTTCCAAGAGACTCTATTGCTCTACAGTCTAGGTGTTGACAGCGCACGCTAATACAGAGCTCCTCAACCTTGGCCGGGCGTATCCCCTCGGGTACGATTATTTCAGAAATCGACTGCATAAAGCGTTCTCGAGTCAGGCGCACTTGAACGATGAGGAGCAGATTAAGAAGGGCATTGCGAGGGCGGAATTTGTCAAGAAAGGTGCGCTGTTTGGTATTGGTCTTGCTAAGGGTACCCTTTACTAATGCGACCAATCGCCATTTAGAAATCGAGGCATTGTAAGACCAATTCCTATGCTCTTTGCCAATCACGGTTATTTCACGTCCATCACGCCTTCAGAAAAAACAATACCACTTGTGGAGCTGATTAACATATCCATTCGCTATCCTTATCGTCTATCATAACATCATGCAACACTCTCGAAACAAAAGCTGATACTGACATGTCGCCAGATATTACCTGAGACGGTATCGCGCAATGAAACAGCGCTATGAAAACAATTAAAGCCCATAATCCCGCCGGGCTGGTATTAAGTTTCCAAAATGAAATATTCAGGACATATACTCCGTACATAAAAACCAAAAGAAGAAACGTAGACTCGGGGTATCACCAATATGATGTGAGCAAATGGCCACGACTTTTCCGACCACCAGAACACCAATCACTTTTTTTTCCCTTTTTGCGCCTGTGTCTACCAAAATTTTGGTAATATGGCTTTTTTATTTATTTCTTTCGACCCCACCAGGCACTCACTTCCAGACATTCCCCGCTGGTGAGGCCATCTTTCTGGAACAGATCCGCGGTCATTGCAGTCCACCATCTGTCCCATTCATCTCGGCTCTTTCCACTGGCCTCCATGAGCATAGGCTCCATGCCTTCGATCATCTGGATGACCGTGAGAAGAGCCGTGCGTCGTATTGAGAACTGATCTGTGTTTAAGGGTCTCCGAGTACGGCCGATAGAATCTCTACCTTGTCCTTCTCGTTCCCACCGCAATTCCCCTAGTGGGATCGCAATGCGACGGCTATCCACATTTTCTAGATCGTCAACTTCAGCATTGAAAGATAGACCGATTGTTGCGCATGGCATCGCGGAAAGTTTGCGACGATCAAATGCCGCCTCGAGCCAAGAGTTGTAGTCCTGCAGGTATTTGTTTTGTGCTCTTGTGAACGGAGTTGCGGATGAAAATGTGTACGTCGCAGTGGCATCGGCTGTTTCTTGTTCCCTCGATGCTAATTTGCGAGCAGGGGCAGGGTTCGGGATCAATGATCGGAAAACCCAATCGGAGTCCCATATTTCTAAAACACCTCCCGACTTGAGAACACGCAATGGCTCACTCAAGCCCGATGCCTGTTGTGCTGGACTTGACGGACACATCCCTGCATCTTTAATGAAAACGAAGTCAAAGTAGTCATCGGGAAACGGTAGGCGCGGTTTACGTAAATCATGTCGTTTAAACTGCCAATTCACACCTTTTTTCCGCAGATCGGGGGCGATGGAGACGATGTCAAGACCGGTAAAGGAGACGTTGGGATTCCCACGACGAGCGAAGTAATCGTGGCAGAGACTCGACCAAAGACCCGAGCCGCATGCCAATTCCAATACTCGTTTCGGGGGATTCTCAGCAAGCGACGGAGTGCAGAAAGGGCCGCCAAAGACGCGAATGAGCATAAGGGTGCGCAGGGATTGGCGATGGATTTCGGGCAGGTCGCATGGTAATGGGTAGAGGTTTTCGGGGTCTCTGAGATAGGTTCGGTCGCCATGGTGTATTAGAGGGTAAGTGCTGTAGTCATTCTGTAGGGAGGAGAGGGAGGAGGTTGACGTCCCTGCCCAGCCGGGGCCGGTGGAACTGAGGGTCGAATTCAGATCGGAACCAGAGGCGGCGGCTGTCATCGCGGCGGGAGTGGGAATTGTTGTGCTCGAGGATATCATGATATCCATCTTTTTCTTTCATGGGTTTCTTTCCTTCTCTGCTTCGTGTGTCTCGTCAATCGAGTCGAATTAAATCACTGGCCAAGTGCATTCTCAAGCGATACACCAATTGCGAAAAAAAAATTTTTGGACAGTCGAGATAATTGATTGGGTAGGTAGGCGCGTATGTATAGGTGACACTGGACAAGAGGGAGAAAGAAAGAAAGAGAAAGGAATTGCAAAGAATTAAAAAGAGAAGAATAACTCGGTATTGTTATTGTTATTGTTATTATTATTATTATTGATATAATTGAACCGTGGAAAATGGAGTACGAGAAAGAGTAGGGAAGAAAGAGGGGGGCAAAAAAAAGGTATCAATTCATGGTGGTGGACATGGCGGCCAGTTCCACATTCCCCCTTTACGGATGGAGCATTGTGAGTACTCTAGACACATTCCAGAAATCCAGAAATCAAAAGTATAAGTACAGTGGATGATCCTTCAATGAAGAAGGGACCATGATTCACATTCTCTGACAGGCCACTGGATCGGTTTTGAGTTACCAAAGTGTCAAACTCGTATACTGTAACCTCAATAATGTTTGTGACGACTGTCTGGCTGTAAGTCAATGTATCATCCATCCCTGAGCATCACAGTAGTCCACTGACCCTGAAGATAATCCCAGATTGAGCTCGCAAAATTTATTTATCAGAAACAGGGCTAACCGGATCAAACTCTCAGCTGGATCCGAACTAAGCGAACGGCTTTCCCGTGTATTATCCACCACCGTCAAATCAAAGCGGCTGTTCATACTCAGACTTTTGGACCCAGTTGCAGAGAAGATATCGGAACATACGGAGTTACAAACGTCCTCAATTTTTCGCCTTTTTAATTTTTTTTTTTTTTTCTTTCTACGGAGTATTACTCGAGATCCCAGCACAAGCCGACAATTGAACCCAGTGTTTCTTTTTGCCTGCCCAGTGCGAGTAGATTCTGCCCAACACACCGGGTTCAAGATTCGACCATGACTCGGTCCAATGCTTGATTACCAATTGTTGATGATTGTCATTCATAGGTCAAACACTCTCCATCAGCCCTTTTCGAAGATGTGCCCGTTTTCGGTAAACATATCGAGTGCCATGATGTCAAGGAGTTTATTTTTATTTTATTTTATTTCTTTTTGGTTTATATCTCGAGTTCCTTGGATACCGGCTTTCTATTCATGGTACGCTATAGTATGGAGTACTACCCTGCACAAAGTAGTACTCCATACTGGTACAGGATCACAGACCAAGACCAAGACGCCGTTGGCTGTCAAAGAAGAAAAATAAAAATAAAGAAGAAAAGGAAAAGGCGCATCCGAAGTGTCGGAAGCCGGAAGGTGGCTCCGTGCAAAGACCAGACAAACTATTGACGGGTCTCCTTGGACCATCTCCGGAAAATGGAGCCCTGTGTAATACCATTCGTACTCGCACATAGCATGGAACCACCTCTGTAATCTGAGTATCGCATACACCACAAGTACGTCTCTTCAAGAAATTTATAGAATTCAAAATGAAAACAACTCTGTTTATCCATCATCAGTAGAGACAAAAAGAGGGGTGTGATAAGTTGTAATACGGAGTAATATTGACATATGCGTGACTTTTGAATTGGAGATAGTGGTCCAAAGACTATACCCAGTTAGTATTAGTTTATTGTTAGTAGCGTATGTTCCTAGATGTACTGAGTATTGCTGCTCTGTAGTACTATTATGTACTTTCTAGACGAGTATGCATGCAATTGTACCTTTGTTCTCCGAGGAAGACATGTTGAATTGAAGAAGCGAAATGAATCGCGTAGATAGATCAGCTAGCGCTTGGTGATGAAGCATCGCTACTTTGGTTTCATTTGAATTCTCAGGATCACGGTTGGATACATTGTAGTTCAATAATTTTTATATCTGAAATAGTTGGTCTCTTTGATAATTGACGCTAGGTATGACTTTCCCATCGGCTCTGTTTATGAAAAGATCCTCCGATTAAGCTGGGTCCAAGGAAATATAAACCATTATTCTCTTTGATCCCTCATGATGGCAGTGACCTCACCCAAATCATTCGTTGAAATAGTCTCATTGATGTCGCATGTTTGGTCTCGAATACCTATAACTAAGAGTGTTCAGTAATAGATTTGGATGGTTGAGCCACCGCTCCTAATACTCTGGGTATGCAACATATAAAAAATACAGTCCTTATGCTCCCCATGGCAACCACTGCCTTCAACAAGGGATTCCGCTGGGTTTGTCGAAATGAACCACGAACACGAACAGCTGGCCAGTTTCAAACATCAGGTAACAACCAAGGCCAAGATGGCTTTTTTCTAGGTTATATTCAGCGGTAATCTAACTGCCCAACCCCATTCTTCCTTGCAGCCAAGGTCCAACTGGGGATGAAAGGAGGGTTACAGGTGTGCTTGGCCAATGGGAATTCGATCCGCTGGTATCAGCGGAGCGGAATCAGCAGCGGGAGGGATTCTACTCGTCTGTTCAGTGAATGTTGCTAGTGATTCCCCAAAGCAAGACAACATACCTGCAAGTTGTCAAACACCACCTAATAGGCCTTTCTGGAGTAGCACACTGGCCAAAACTGGCTCATTTTACATTATTATGGCGGTGCAAATGCGCCACGCCTCAGCCTACCAGGGGTAGGTATAGTACAAGCGCTCCTCGACATTCCGTATAAAGTAAGATCTGTTGTATAATTCCTTTTTCTGTATGCAAGAACCCGGTCATGGTTGTATATCGTTCCTAAGCTTGATCTCGCTGGATATTTTGAGAGATCGCTATTTGTTTCCGCTACACCGAAACCAATAAGATACTGTCATATACTTGAATGGTTTGTGGGTCGCAGTTGACAGCGCATTGTCCTCTTGCTTATTTCTCCAAGAGGGGTGGTGAACTTAGATGAGTGTTGACACTTTGTCCTGTTTCCAAACTCGATCGACACCTTACTTCTGAAAGCAATAAAATGACATACTATCGAATTTGCTGGCACTTGAAAGCCTAAATGAACGCTCCCAGGATTGGACGAACCCTGAGTGATTGGAATACTCCGGATGTAAAAGGGACTTGACATATTGATCTGGGGCCAAGCTAGTTAGCGGAATTCAGGGTCTTTCATGTCCGTTGTTTGTTAGTTAAGGAGCCCATGTAGGAATGATAGTTATTTCTCTTGACTGGCCACGGCCGGGAAGCTGGATGTTCATTGTCAGATATAGAGCAGAGATACCCCGTCCTCCCCAGAGCCGTTCGCAAGATCAGTGGACCGGGCGGACGAATCACGTCCCCAGCGATTGTATCACGTGATCAGACGACTCCCGCCTTCGATGCAAACCACTTCGCAGCAGCCTCAAGACACGCCGGAAGAGTTAAACATCTCGACCAACACACAGGTCTTGCCGCATCCATCAATTCGCTAAACAGTGCGCCTTGTCCTCCCTATCTAGTTTCTTTTTCCTTACTTTCTTTGTTGCTCTCGCCTGCGAAAGGTTGTTTTTTCTCTTTCTCTAACCGCCCGGTATTAAGCAGACTTGCCGCCAGATCTTCGTCCCTCCGACGTCCTGTGACTCGTCTCGCCCCCCCGACGCCGGTTTCGATCGTTCGACCATCGTGTCTTTTATTCTTCCACTTTTTCATATTAGATCCGGGTATTCATCAGATTTTACTCCGAGGACGGCACAAGGTTGTTTGGGTTTTCCCTCTCTTTTTCTTGTGTGTCGCTGCAAACCGGTGATCTTGGACACACAATAGCCCGGGGTGGTCGTTCCGCTCCAGAACTCCATGTGGAAGAGAAGGAGAGATCGTATCCGAACCCCGATTCCTCTTCTGTCTTCTTTCGCTGCCTTGAACCCGGCGCTCTCAGTTCGGGTCTCCTCATACACTCCTTCTCAAGTCGATAAGCTCAGGTCTCGTCTGCCACGTTAAATGGCAGATGGTACCTACAGGTTCCAGCAGCCTGGGGCCGGGCAGTTCTTCTTCCAGACGCAACCGCAACAGCAATCTCACCAACGACAACTTCTTCGAAACGGAACGAACTCTCCCTCGGGAAAGTTAAGATACACACACGACACTCCTTCTCCTGCTCGTTCTCCACCCCTCACGCAAGCAGCCGCCCTCAACTTCGCCATGTACAGCCAAGCTCACCAAAGCCAGCATGTCATGATGAATGGCAGCCAGGCCCACCAGCGTTTCAGCATGCAGATCCCCAAATTCCAAACGCAAACCCACCATGCACATGCGCAGCAAGCCCACCCTCACGCACACCATAATCAGCCTCTTACCCAGCATGCCTTCTCCGCGGCAGCATTGGCAACCACCACGCCGCATTTCACGCCAACTCCTATGCAGAATGGGATCCACGGCAATCTTGACGATGACATCGATGAGATGAATGAACATTGGCAACAGCAGCTGCAGTTGGCAGCCGAGTCGAGACAGGCTAGCTCCCCGCACTACCATGCTCGTAGTGTGGCACAACAAGCCAAGGGTATCCAGATCGCACCGAGTCAGATCGAAGTTCAAGAAGTCAGTACCGACGGACGGAATGGTGTGGTGAGAACAAAGCCAGTTCCGAGGCAGGGCTGGCATGCTCTTGATTTCGGTGGCCAAGGGTTGCGTGCACTTTCCACATCTTTATTCCACTACAAATTCCTGGAACAATTATACCTTAACCACAATAAACTGAAGGTTCTTCCACCGTCTATTGGGCAACTGCGGAAATTGACTCACTTGGATCTGTCCGGCAACGATTTGACCGACCTTCCCGAAGAAATTGGCATGCTGTCCAGCCTGAAGAAGCTCTATTTATTCGACAACAACCTTCGCACTCTTCCTTATGAAATGGGATACCTTTACAGACTGGAGACTCTCGGAATTGAGGGTAACCCGTTGAATGATATCCTGAAAGCACAAATTATGAAGGATGGCACGAAGGCCTTGATCAGATACCTCAAAGAGGAAATGCCAGGTTGGTTGACGTCTGCCCTTTTGAGACCATGTCCGTATCCTGATACTAATTGCTCCGTTTCTCAACAGTACACCTTCCTCCCCCCGATAGAGACTGGATTATTCTCGATGAAACCGCCAACTCTTCTAATAGCCCCACTGAGAAAGTTACTGTCATCTCGTATAACACATTATGCAGCACCTCTGCAACCCAATCGCACTATGGATACGCCCCTTCTCGTGTTTTGTCGTGGGAATTCCGGCGAGAGCTTATTTTTAACGAGCTCAGGTCCCATGGCTCGGATATTGTGTGTCTTCAGGAAGTCGATCAGGGAAGTTACAACGAATACTTCCGGGAGCAGTTGGCGTATAGCGGCTACAAGGGAGTTTATTGGCCACGAGGTCGTGCAATGGGCATGCAAGAGGATGATGCTAAGAATGTCGACGGCTGTGCGACATTTTTCAAGGAAAAGAAATTCATTCTCTTGGACAAGCAAATGATCAACTTTGGTCAGACAGCTGTGCGACGACCTGACGCCAAGGGCCAGGATGACATTTACAACCGACTTTGGCAGAAAGACCATATCGCAGTTGTCATCTTCTTGGAGAATAGGCAAACTGGCTCAAGGTTCATCGTCGTGAATGCACATCTCTATTGGGATCCTGCTTTCAAGGATGTCAAACTGATCCAGACCGCCATTCTGATGGAAGAGATTACGAAACTCTCAGATACTTACGCCAAGTGGCCTGCGTGTACTGACAAGACAGCGTTCCGGTTCTCTGAGGCAGAGGAAGAATCCGATGCGACGCTTTCAGAGCCTGCTCCGTCGATGGAGTATGCTAGTGGCGATCAGATTCCACTTCTCATGTGTGGTGACTTCAACTCTTCGCCTGGATCCGCCGCGTATAATTTGATCGCGAACGGGCGACTGACGGAAGAACACCCGGATCTCGAGAAGCGGCTTTACGGAAACCTCAGCCGGGTTGGTATGACCCATCCGTTCAAGCTGAGATCAGCCTATGGTACAATTGGCGAAATGAGCTTTACAAATTACACCCCAGATTTCAAGGATATCCTCGACTATATCTGGTTCTCGTCCACTTCACTTCACGTCTCGGCATTGCTCGGAGAAGTAGACAAGGAATATCTCAAGCGGGTTCCTGGCTTCCCGAACTACCATTTCCCTAGTGATCATGTTGCACTCTTCGCGGAGTTCACTATTAAAGGGAAGAAGGGCAAGGTTGTGGAGGCAGATTTTGGGCCACAACGGAATTAAGAGTGAAGGAAAGGTCATATTGTTTGACTGGTGTTTTCGTAACCAGCTGTCTTCTCAGTTTCTTCTTGTCATCTCGGAATCTTTGGGGGTCTCGTGTGTTGTTTGCTTGCGATGCTTCTTCTTGCGTTTCCTTTCTGCATCTTCTTGTGTGCTCATTGTCTACCTTCTTTTCATTGCACTGCTGTCGCCATTGGGCACTTGTTTCAATCGAACCCACATTTTTATGTTCTTGGAAAGTAGTCAATGGCGCAGCAAATTTCCTTTTCTTCCATTGGGATGCTATCTATCTTGGGCTTCTTTCCATTCTTCCTTGCGATTACTTTGCTTCATCTTTCTCATCCCACCTCATCTAACGTCCACTACAGTTACGGTGTTTACGACGTCTAGGGAGTTGCTGTTTGGGTTGAAACTTTCCTGGGGACCTGGTAGAGATCTTTTGATCGTCTGGTGCTATGATGGGCCTAGATGAAAGGGAGTAAAGGGAAAAACATTACTAGATGTTTATCTTTTCCCCTCTGCCATATTCCTCTTTCTCCATTTTAGGCGAATGGGGTTCTCTTCTGCTATATGAATGTTTTGCCTTTGGCTTGGTGTTGTCCTATTCTTTTTCGCTCTTCGGGAAATTATCAAGTAAGCCTTTTTTCCATGGAGTACTTTCAGATTCTCTTTTATCTCAATTTCAGGTATTCTCTTTGTAAGAGTAGTCGGCTCTGATCGATGGCTTTGGCCCCCTTCGTATCTTTTTGTGTACAGTTCATCAACCAAAGTTCCAACTCTATAATGACTGTTGTCAACCCTACGCCTGCAAAGCAGCCGCTCCTCTATTTACTAGGGGTATGTCCCTGGTAACCCCCGCATTTCGTTGGTGCTACTTCGGATCCTGGCCTGCTGTTGGGATGCCTTGTCGCTTTAATACCAACGTCTTCTTTTCTATAAGCGGTTAATATGCTGAGTACCTCTCATTTGTTTCAATTGAAAGTCTGGCCTACTCTCTGTCTCTTCATGCCACCCCTTGCTAGAGGTATCAGCTCACTTCTATCTCTCCTCAGTCAGCCTGCTGCCGCTGCACTTGATGATGTAAGTTATTTTGGATTTGCCCTCTTCACCAAACCTTCTGCTAAGAGAAAGAAGGAAGTACTGTCCCTAGATCTTCTGGAGGATAACTATCTTTATCGAATAAAGAAAAATACATGGATTGTATATGTTTCCGTCCTTGATGGAGATATCTTTCCCCTTGACTGCAGGACATCTAGACAGCTTTCCGATTTTTTCAAGGCCGCGGAAAGTTCCAAGGTGAAAAGAAGAATGGAAAAGCCTCACTTCTTGAAGGTATTGGAAGTATACCAGAAGAGTTCTCGCCAGAAGGATTGGACCTCGGACGATTTGATGCTTCTTCCGTGTTTTACAATCTTTCACGTCTGAGAACAGTATCTTGAATCAGCGGTCGTATCTCTCGGGGTAAGCTGTGATGGTGAGACGTGGATACTAAAAGTTGCACAATTCAGATATGGAATTTCATATTCACAGCAAGGGGTTTCGGTATATTTTTAACTGGTATCGTCTGGCTTTCCGCTCGCTACACGATTCATTGATTACGTCTATGAGGAAACGAAGGATTGGACGATTGGCTTCCTGGTAGAGAGGATTTTGGAAATCCACCAGGTACACATAATCTCTGCGAATGCATGAAGACAGTTTGCCTATTGCATACATTCGGAATCGTTCATGGAGACCCCAATAGATACAACTTCGTTTATTACAGATGGCGCAAAAGTTTTGGATTTTGAAGTTTCGGTTGCTGAAAAAGACGTCGGACTGGTAGCAGCTTAGGAGAAAATAATATCTCTTGAAGCCAAGCTGAAAAATAAATCAGGCATTGGAAAATGATAGATCCTTTGTTTAATCAATCAAAAAGTGCCCTTACGGATAAAGGGGGAGACTGGGAACTCACTTATTGGACCCCTAATCTATCTAGTGGATACCGCCAGAAACCATTACTTGTCTACACTGTATCTGTGTGCTCATGGATCATGACCATGATGTCAATAAACATACTTTTTGACTACAAGTACACAATAGACCATTATATGGACTACAGTCAACTAGATAAATATCAGAGGTTGATCACTTACTCCTCCATGAAGCTCAAGGCTTGACTATTTATATTCACAAGCAACTCATCACCCACGGTGAGAATAAGTCCTTACCGAGGGAGATTGGGAACTGGGCAATTGATGTCTCAGTTACAATTACAGTTCAGAGCTCCTCGCAAGTCTTCGACAGCGCAATGAATTGTTCTATAACATGCCCATTTTAACAACCCATATCTTTACATCAACACGTAACTATTGTACAAGGGGTAATCCTAACACAAGATTAAATAGAGGAGGGGAGAGAACAAAGTTTACTTCCTGGCAGAATCCTCGATTCGTCTCCAGATTCCCACAAATCCACCACCTACGATCCTAGTTCCAACCTTGGGTCTGCAGACCAAGACGCTATCTTCCTCTTTTAGTGCTTCTTCCTCGACATTCGACGACGACGATGGCTCTTCCTGATCCTTTTGAACGGCTCCCTCATCCGACTCGGTGGATGATGAAGACTCTGTCCAAGAAGACGGATCGGCCCGCGACTTCTTCATAGCAAAGCGGACGTCCCACTGACGGCCGTTACTAATACCAGCACCGAGTTCGACGACCTTCTCCTGAACAAATGGGAGTTGCTGTCGACGGATGATGTCGATGCACTCGCCGATTTGTGTGATGCTGGGCATGAACACGGCAAGGAAACCGTCCCGTTTCAGGATCTGAGCGACATGTGGGATCCGCAAATTGGAGGAGGGCATGTCCAGGATTGCGTATGAGAGGAAGGGGTCGGGGGAGGTATTATCGCAGCTTGTGAGGGAGGACAGAGGGCCTGTTGATGCTAATGAAGCAGCTGTGCGTTGCTTGATCTGCTCTGTGACCCAGTCCTCCACGTGGCCTACGTAGAAGTCGACATTTCCTGCATAAATCCCCCGTCGAAAGCCGCGGACGGTTTTCTCAGCATGGACAGAGAATTTTGGGGATACGTCGACGGTGTGAACGACAGCGCCACGAGACGCTCGCCAGGTATCCCATTGCCTCTGTTTTGGATCCTCCGCGGCGTCAACGTCGGATCGTTGCTCTTTTCGAGGCGTTTTGGGTGCGTCCTCGTTTGGCCGGAGTGGCCGGTCCCGTGGGTATTGGATTTGGGATTTCTCCGGTAATGGTGGTGAGTTCGAATTGGCCGCTTGAATTGCGCGCGCAAGATGCAGAGTTAGCGAGCCATGTCCAGTTCCGGATTCGAGAATCTCCAATGGCGCTGACTGCTCGCCTTCTGCGTGAGGAGTGACGTGGATGTCAAGGAGGGAGACGATTAAATTGGCATCGGCCGCATAAATCTACTTAAGATATCGTTAGCCGTTTCATAGCCCAGCACCCAACATATGAATGATGCAAGAAATGCGAATGCATACCGGCGTTACCAGACGAGGTGTCATGGCGACATATTCATCGAGATTGGGGAGGGAAAGTCGGTACTCGGGGCCTAGTCATTTGAGAATCAATGATTAGCTCGCGCGCCTATTCTTTGTCGCTCAATTGTGCCAATTAACCCTTATGTGCAGGATACAGATCGCGCACTCTCCGGCCGATAATAGTGTCATGGTACAAAGTTCCCCGACGAGTATCGGTCTTATGACCTTGTCGCAATGGTTTGCTCAGAATTGGATTCTTGCCATGAACGATGACGCGATCACCCTCTATAAGAAACCGGTTGAATCAGCATTTGCTTTCTAGCCAAAATCGCAATAAGAATCCATACCGCGAAAGATTGAAAAGTCCGTGTCGAGAGACCGTGAAAATTTGGGAAGCGCTGGCTTGGACGTATTCAGGCCCAGGACTCGACGGAGGGATTGCAGCAAACGAGCCATCCGAGCGAACTGGGTTGAAGTTGTTCAGAAATATGTTTGCGATTGAAGATGTGGCTCAAGAAAATGCTGTTATCGGAGATCAAGATTATTCTTTCAAGCGGTGGTCAATGCCGGCCGATCCATTTTGGGTATTGTTATTAGTAGCGGGCCCCCCTCATTGCTTTGTTCCCCGCCAAGGGTCTCGCTCTCTGCCATCTTCTCCCTCGTTTCTGAATCTCTTTTTCTCATCTCCCAACTTCTCCTAGCAATCCCCCTCTTTCCAGAACATCAAAAGAAACATTCTGGATTATCTAAGTGGTTCTACTATCTTCTGCTTAATCTCGGTGGGTCACATCACTTACATCATTCTCCCGGTTTGCTCTTTCCAACTATGACGCTCGCCGTGTCTGAAATTCTTGGGTATCCTTGGTTAGGGGACTGGAGGGGCTTTTATAAATATGGCATTGTCGCAAATGGCTAACCCCTTCCGCCACAGCAAATAACCCTTCGATAATCTACGAATCGCCATATCTAGACCACAATGGCACCCGCCGACCTTCCTTACTTGAAGACCAACCCGTCCGTGATCTTCTTCACGGACTTCGATGGCACAATTACACTTGAAGACAGTGAGTGACTCAGATCGTGCTCTCACAGCAGGCGCTGACGGCAGTCTAAAGGCAATGACTACTTGGTACGATATATAATCTCCGAATGAACCTTCGCATATGCTGACAAAAATATAAAAGACGGACAATCTCGGCTTTGGACAGACGAAGCGTCGCAAATTGAACATCGATGTTCTCGAGAAGAAAACCAGTTTCCGGTATGATGCAACAGCGTGGGCAGTTTCGCTCCGTTTCATGAGAGAGGCTAACTGTTCTCGCTCCTGTGTTGTTAAGAGACGCTTTCTGGCAGATGTTGGGCAGTGTTAAGACCCCCTTCAATGAATGCGTCGAGACACTTTGCAAGGTAATGAAGCTGGACCCTCACTTCGTCGAATTCTATGAGTGGGCCAAGGCAAACAACGTGCCGATTGTTGTTTTGTCATCCGGAATGATCCCTATCATCAGGGCTTTGCTTGAGAAATTGCTGGGTCACAAACCTGACCACATTGTTATCATCGCCAATGACGTGGAAAGCCGCGATGGCAAGCATATCAACACCCCAGGTGGTTGGCAGATCAAGTACCACGACGACAGGTAAGTCGCAAAATTTTCTGGCTCTGAAGAGGGTATCAAGATATTGATCAGTACTATTGCAGCCACTTCGGCCATGACAAGTCGTTGGAAATCAAGCCATACGCCCAGTTGCCACATGATGAACGCCCTACATTGCTGTACGCTGGAGACGGTGTCTCTGATCTTTCTGCTGCAGCCGAGACTGATCTTCTTTTCGCAAAGAAGGGGAATGGTACGCTCAATACAGTTACCTGCAACTTGGTTGAAACGCAAGCTAACCGAGACTAGATTTGGTGACCTTTTGCGAACGCGAAGGAATGCCATTCACCACCTTTGAAGATTGGAGTTCGATTCTGGCCACCTCTAAGGATATCCTAAGCGGCAAGGTCAGCGTCAAGAAAGTAGCCCAAGAAGGCCTGGAAAAGGAGCAAAAGGATGAGGCCTGAGCAGATGCCTATGACAAATAGACCGGATAGATGATAGAAAGACTCGGGATACCTTGCCGACACGGTGTAGATAATTTAGTACTCTGTACAAGCGATCATTAATCCACGAACATGATAACTGTGTACTCCGTAGTCTTGGGTGACAGCGAATTACTGGAAGCAGTATAGCGTGCCTGTTTAGGTTTAGTGTCTTATTGCCGCTTGGCATTGCTATGCATGCTCTATAAAGTCGCCCTCCATCGCTGTTTCAACTTCAACCAAGTTTTTGTTGTTCTTCCTTTCACCTTTTGCCCCTGCTGCCTATGATTCTGGTGAGGCATTTTTGCTATTGATCCTCTGTGTATATGATGAGCGCGCAGGAATTACTGGCGGCCAATGTCTGTGCCACCGCGCAGTGGGTGATCCATGCCCGGGGACTGATGTGGGATGATGCTCGGATTGATGATACTCGGAAGCACTCTAGTTGAAAATGCAATTATCCCCCCTGGAGACAATACAAGTTACTCTACATGTAAGCCAAGTGAATAACTTCTGTAGGCTCGTTACTACTTTCCAGTAACAATGGACCTGATCCATTCCATCCATCCCACTTCTTGGATCTGAGACTGAAGCCGGGCCTGCTTCATTTTACTGTCCAGGATCATCATCTGATCTGGAGTAAATATTTTCGCGAGAAGCTGCCTCGCTGGCGCTTGATGCTTTTCAACAACGACCTGTGTTTTATACCGCGCGGTTGTCCCTAGGTGGGCTTGCATTGAAGGGAAACGTACAGTCTGATCTAAATCAGCGCCACGTTCGACCAGCAGGCAAGCGACCTCGAAATACGGGTTGTCTTCGTGGCTTAAATGCCCATATCGCTCATGAGCAAACAGTACAAATAACTCCCATGTGGTTTGGCCACCGTATATGTAGATGCGCTCGTTGGGATCAGCGCCTCGAGAGAGTAGTGTTGTTACAATATCGGCTTCGATCCCTGCAACGTCTCGCTCCCGGTAATATGGAAGGTCACTGGGCGTGACGCGGGTCGGCCGAAGGGCATAGTCTAATAAGGGCCGGCCTTTTTTCTTTATCCTGGATGGGTCGCGGTCCAGGGCATGCTCAACGTAGAGTCGCAATCGGACCTGCGCCGCCAGCCCCAGGTAGGAACACTGGCCTCGTTCGATCCATTGGACATATTTGGTGTTTGTGGGTGAATCTCTCCCATTGGTCCAGTGGGCGCGCTCCTCTTTGGCGTAGATAGACATAACTCTGTCGATTTCGTCCAACAAGGGGAATTGGGAGATCGCTTGACCAAACTGCTCCAGCTCATAGGCATAGTAGAGAAATTCATCTACCAAGGTAAAGAGTCCGTTTGAAGCCTGACGAAAATTTTCGATGGGGTAACTCTTTATCAAAGCCAAGAGCATTCTGCATAACGTTTTCTTGCTGTTGAAGTTCTCGGGGGTTCGATTGTGTAGTGCAGTATGGTGATTGTCCCGGAGAAAATCTCGCACAGTCCGGTGGAGAAAGTCCACGGAATGTTTGAAAAATGCATCTTCAGAGTCATCTGTACGAACGAGGAGCAGGTCCCCGCATCGGGCTTGTAGCTGCAGTCTCCAGTCGGTACATGTTTTTGATATCTCGTCCATGGCCAACGCTTTCACGTTTGCGTTAAGAGCGTACTGTTGGTCTTTTGATTCACTTTCCAGAAAGGTGAGTGCAAATAGTGGGAAAGGTCTAGCTGACTCGACGGCGATGAGGAAGATGCGTGCTGTATCTTTTTGGAAGAAGGGATCGATTCGATCCAAAATCCGGGTAAAATACTGGCTTAACTCTTGTGGCAAGCTTCTGAGGCGCGCCTCCAACGTACTGTACGTTTCTCTGGTGTTAATATCTCTCATGAGATCTCGCACAACGAGAAATACCCAAAGCCACACACCATTTGCCCGCTCTGCAATTGCCGTGACAAGATGGTAGCATCGCGGATCTTTTGTCGCTAGGTTCCGGAACATGTCATTATCAACAAGCATGCTTTTGACATAATTCTCCATATCCTTCCTGGTGAACTCTTGCAATACGAACATGCGGCCTGGGTTGCTAAGCTCTTTTTCGAAGGCTACCCAGGGCCGACTGGATGCGCATATTTTAACCTTCTCGGATCGCACAAGGCTTTTCAAGACACCAATTATCTCCCATTCACAACCGTCGTACTCATCAAGGCCATCGATAAAGAAGCAAAAGTTTGCTAACGGCGTGGCGTAAACTACTAAGCGAACGAAGGCGTCCCTTAACTCTGCAATATCCCACGGTTCTGACCCCTGGTGGTCGGGACACACCTGGGAGACCAGAGACGGGTCAAATCGGAGAATCTGATACAGCATACTCTGTAAGAGGCCCAGCTGGGACTTTTGCATGTCCACTCCTGCATTCCAGAAATAAAAGCTGGCGACAAATAGCCTCCCGTCACCAGCCCAGCGCTTCAATGCATCCTTTGCTATTTCATTTTCGGATATATACTTCATGAGAGTGGACTTGCCGCTACCTGCCTGGATTGGATGTCAGCAATGGAATAATCTAAGGTCACAAGAGACACCTTCCCATACCTGACCGTTCACCCAGTATATTCCGCCCTGCTCTTCAAGCCATTGAAGTAGCGTTGTTGTTGATCGATCCAGGACCCAGCCCAATGTGTTGAAATGTGCAGCGTTGATTTGGCCGTGTCGTTTTGTCATAGTCTTGAACATCAGACTATGGATTACCTTCTGTCGGTGGTCAACGAGCCTGCCTTCATGTACCAGGTCGATGAGGATTGAGCGTAGGTCACCTAAGCCAACTCCATATCCTTTCCCACCATTTAATGCTGTCGATGCTGCTGCAAGCGCGATGGCGCTGCGGCGATCTGTGAGCTTGCTGGAAGTTTGATTATCTGCATGCTCGTTTTCGCGATGAAGACTATCTAAGAGCAACATGATGCTCGAGTACTGCTCTCTCTGAGCCGCTCGCGCGACTCTTTCACGCAGCTGCTTCTCTATCACACACAGTCTGTTCCAAAGTTTCAGAATATCTTTGTGCCGCATGAATGCTGAAATTGAAACTCGAACACTATCCAGCATGCGATGCTTTGCATCTTCGCGGACTTCTAGCGGTTTCAGCTCGCTTAATAAACTGTCTGCAAGCGCGTCGCATTGCTCAGCAAGGGCACGAATCGCAAGATCATCTTTTGATAATGGTGAAGGATGTGGGCTATAGGTAATCTCTTGGTTGAGGTTTTTGATGTCTTCCACAACCATTCGGAGCTCCGCCACATCTTGCTTTGTCCCACTGTTAGACTCGTAGATTCCTTTGGCTTCGTGAATCAGCCGGAATCCTATATCAACGAACTGAGCGATGGCCGCAGCCAAGCTCACGAGGGAAAATGGATCGGCCATGGGTGCACGCTGGTTACAACGCGATGAAAGGGGATGCAGTCTACATTATAATCAGTTGGGAACAATCCAAGGCTGCTTGACACGTACCCGATGATTCCTGTCGTGGCGGTGAGGCTGTGCAATCCTTCAGCCTTGTCTACTCCCTACCGCTCGGAGACCTTTTCTCGAGTGTTGTCCTCACCCCGACTATCTCAAAATGCACCCTGATATTAATTTCGAAGGGAATGAGCATCGAGAATTGCTGGGAAACAACCTCGACAGTTCCATTCCATGGTCAGAAGATGATCGCTGGTGGATTCACATGCCAGCACGGCAGTTGCTTTCGCTGAGAAGCATTGGCCAAAAGATAATCCAGGCCATACAAAAGGATTATACTCGAATACTCCTCGTGTTTGTGCCACTTGGGCTCCTTGCAGATCAATTGTACTGGGGGGATACAATGAAATTTGGCTTTAATTGCCTTGCGTTGTTAGCTCTTGAGTCAATGTTCATTTCCACTGCAGAGTGGATCTGGCTGTTCGCGAGTCAGACAGTCGCGAATATTCTCACTGAGATGCTCCCTAATGTCTTCCCCTTATTGGTAGGAGGCTCCAAATGTGCCGAGAGGAAGTTGGCTGACTAGTAACTAGATTGGGATAGCTTCCATAATTCAATCTCAATTCATGCTTCTGCGATCTTTTATCATTGGAAGCGTGATAATCAACTTGCTCGCGGTGAGCACGTCATCCTTCCACCTTCTTGGGGTTATTCGTGATCTGACTGATCCAGGGCACAGGCTGTAGCTTTCTTATTGGGGGTATATACCGCTCTCAGCAAGGTGTCAACCTAAACACCACAATCAGCGTGTCGAAGCTCACATTGGTGATTCTGTTCCCTTTCATTATACCAAACACACTATACTTCACGCTGCGTAACATTACAGGCTCGAAAGATCGTGTAGCGCTTATTTCCTTGCCCTGTGCGGGCGTCCTATTGAGCTTCCACGTAATGTGGCTTATTTTCAAGTACAAAAGCCACGCTCACCTCTTTCGAGAATTGAACGAAGCAGAAGAAAGTGACGAAAACGAGAACGGCCTAACAGCCTCGGAGCATGTGGAAATTCCTCTTCGATCTCGTGCAGCATATCTCCTCTGGCTCACAGTAGTCTTCATTCTTGCCATGCAGTGCTTAAACAACCTCATCAACGCCCCGGTCCCCTCCTCCACAACCCGCATTTTCGTTGGTGGTGTACTTCTTCCATTTGTCACCAACGTTTCGAACATTATCAAGACATGTCTTATCGCAAGATCAAGTCGGATGGAGCTGGTTCTCCACCTTACTGTTGAGACGGCAATCGGACTCACCTTCTTTACACTTCCCATTCTTATCATCGCCAGTGCCACTGTAGGCTATCCTCTTCTTATATCTGGAGTTCCTATGGTACTGAATGCGATTTTATTTATCAGCGTGCTCGCAGTCGCCTTCTTAATCAAAGATGGAACCCTGACTTATCTAAAGGGTTGCATGTGCTTGGCCCTGTATGATCTTACCCCATAATGAGCTGTGCTACCAGACCTAATACTCTTGCAGCTACTCTATTATTGTCCTGGGCTTATATGTAGTTCCAGATGAGATCAACTAAGATCTGTGACGGGCTTGACGACTTGATGGGTTTACACCGGAATGCCTTAGCGCGACATCAGTGAATGAGACGAGCAGGGTATCAGCCTTGCCACACAAACGCCTATAAAAACTGCCTGTTGCCTAGATAGATTTCCTCCTCTCCGTCTTTCCTCTCCAGATTCGATATTCTCGTCGTTAGGCTACCTAGTCTAGATATGAATATTATTCGCTTTATCTGCCAGTTTCCGAGCCCGTGACATAATTCGGCAATAACCCAGAGTGTGACGGCTCAGCGCCTCAACGCCGCTATGCAAGCAAACGAAGAAAGCACTTAGCGCGCTCACAGAACCCATATAGACCTCGTTAGTCGCGGATAATCGACTCCTCCGGACCTCCGGCCCCCGATCCCCATTTCAGCTTTGTTGATAAATTCGGCGTCACCTCCTTTCTTCCTTCCTCATGTTAATTATTCTCGTCGATAGCTACCTAGGTAGAACCCATGAGTTGGATGTTCCATTATCCTAGTAGAGCGCCGTGACATGAAGCAGTGAAACCTTAGAATTAAATTAGAAGCCAAAGAGCTATACACATGTCACAGGCTGCGCCTGTCGCATAAGCGATATGTTAGTCAGGCGGAGAGGGTATCAGAGGAACTGTTTACCCGCACTGCGCGCATGTATATAGAGCCGCCCGATTGGGCATTTTGTCCGTCTCTTCTCCAACGAAATCTTTTGTGCCAAAGCTAGTCATTAGCATCTCCGGGCCTAGCCCTTAAAAACACAGTAGCAAAGATGCACCTTTGACAATTGCATCACACAAGATGCATATTTCGTTTTGTTGATCCAGTGAAATTACTCTTGAAATGAACATCAGGCTGTTGGACAAAGCTGTTCCAGTCTACCTGGCCTGCTGTTTTTGTTTTGCTCTCCCGAGTCATTGGTCTGGCGGTATAATGAACTTCTTTCAGTGACAGCGATGCTTATGTATGATCTGGGAGTTGTAGAATTTGGCAGGGTTTCTTGGATGGAAGGAAAAAAGAGATTAAGAAAGGTCATGTACAGGCAGACAGTGGCCATTTTATCTTCTACACTCATGATGTACGCGCGAGGTATAGACCTAGATATAGAACTTGGATGAATTTAGTATAGTCAAGAGTCGCTGTTAAAGCGGCTACCCCAAGGTGAAAAGACCACGGTTTTTAATCCAAACACCACGCACAAGTGTGTCTTTTCCGCCGTCACCCAGAGCTACTCCGTAGTATATGTCCCAAAGAGGTTTAGTGAGCGGCATGTGACCGCCTTCCCCGGCAAAGCGAGAATCGGGGTAAGAAAGCATATTGACTTTCATTCTCGCAAAGGCCTCTTTGAATTGACCCGTTAATGGTCATCTTGGAGTGTCTTTACAGTGTTTCCTTATTACAATTTGAATTGCATCATGATCCAGCGCCCGGCGACTTATTATCTACCGAATAGTTGCCAGGTGTATCGGATGCCAACATGACACGCCGAATTGTACGAGCCCCTTTCCCTGTCTTCATGAGGCAATTCACAGGCAAAGAAGCTTGCTAATGCCGCTATTTCCATATAGGTGCGGGCAGGCGTACAGCTTGCACTATTTGCAGGTTTCATACTGCTCCTAGTCCTATTTCTCGATAGCCGGTATCGCGTCCTACCGGCCTCGATTCACGGCCACCTACCCACACATTACTCCGGCCTCGTCGTTACCGATGTAACTGTCAGTACCTGCTCGTCATTTAACGTGTTTTCCAACTGCAAAGTCAACAAGGACACGTGGACTCGGGTCGATAAGGATCTCTACCTGCGCACGGGATGGACATCAAGCGCATACATTCATTTTGAACGAAAGAGGGAGGAGGAATTGCTTCCGGCGGACAGAGTGGTCCTTGACATGAAGATTGGCCGACTTAATCCCCAGTTAATGGAGGGTGTTTCCAAAAGTGATGTGGAACTATGGGAGCAGAGACCGGGAGGTATATGGTTGAAGCGGACGGCCAAACGTCACGCGAGCGATTCACAGACCACTATAACCTCGGTCGATGTGCTCTTCGGTGCTGATGCGGTTGAACCGCGCCTTGGTTGGGAAGTCAGGGATACTCCGTTGCTGCTGAACAGCTGGACGGAGCAATTGGAGGCTCGCGTTACTGTTCGAAGAGGTGACCCACAAAAGACCAAGAGGGCCGTTCCGAGGATCAACGATGATGGACGATTTAAGATTATGCAGTTGGCAGATTTGCATATGAGTACTGGTCTGGGCGCTTGTCGAGAGCCAGTGCCGGTCGAACTTGTACCTGGTCAGTCGTGCGAGGCTGATCCTCGAACTCTAGATTTTGTGGAGAGGCTTTTGGATGAAGAGAAACCTGACCTGGTTATTCTCAGTGGAGACCAGGTGAACGGTGAAACCTCGAAAGACGCTCAGAGTGCGCTCTTTAAACCTGTCAAGCTGTTTGTGGATCGCAAGATCCCTTATGCGGCCATTTTCGGCAACCATGATGACGAGGGTGACCTTAACCGGTTGGAACTTATGGGAATTTACGAAGATCTTCCTTACTCCCTATCCTCTGCTGGCCCTAATGACATAGATGGCGTTGGGAACTACATCGTTGAGGTTCTTGGTAGCGGGAAATCGGCCCATTCTGCATTGACTCTCTATCTCCTTGACACACATTCTTATTCGCCCGACGAACGACAGTTCCGCGGATATGACTGGATCAAACCGAACCAGATTCGGTGGTTTCAGAACGAAGCCCAGGGTCTGAAAACGAAACACCAAGCTTATACGCACATGCATATGAACATGGCTTTCATTCACATCCCGCTTCCCGAATATCGTGATAATCACAATTACTTCCGAGGCGGTTGGCCAGAGGCGCCTACGGCGCCTGGGTTCAACACTGGCTTCAAAGATGCGATGGAGGAACAGGGTGTTCTTTTCGTTAGCTGTGGACAGTAAGCCAACTACCCATCATGTTGTTGTGATATACATGACTAATCCTTTCAATTAGCGATCATGCCAATGACTATTGCATGCTTAACAAGGATAAAAACGGCAAGCCTTCCTCATGGATGTGCTATGGTGGTGGCTCAGGCCTTGGTGGCTACGGAGGATACAATGACTATGTTCGACGAGTGCGATTCTTCGACTTTGACATGAACGCTGGACGGGTCGTGACATATAAGCGGCTGGAATGGGGCGAAATCGAGTCCCGGATCGACGAAATGATGATTATTGACGGCGGCACAGTGAAAGGGCCTGATGGGGCCAGTTAGGATATTCTCTTCAAGTCTAGTTGGCGTGAGGTTTCGGATTTATATCATGGCCATCATTTTACTTCTGCTGTGCAATATTTGGTTGATACATGGAAATCGGTCTCAATCCTGAAAAGTTATTCTTATTGAGTTATCATTATCATATCCGTTATAGTACTATATGATTATCACAACGGTTATCACCACCACTTCTCGAAGAAAATTCTCTCCTGCCCATCTCCAAGCAGCCCTCGAAGCATACCAATAAACTCATCCGTCATCCCCGGCGGTCCACACAAATAACACACTGTCTCTTCCGGCCTAACACTCCCATCCGCTCCCTTAACAACTACCCTAAGATCCTCACGACTGATCCTCCGTGGGTGAATAGAAATATCGACCGGCGGAGCAGTCCTTAGTGGCGAATCTTTTGGTAGATCCGTGATGAAGAGATCAAGCCCGATGCGCAGACGATGCGACTGGCATTGCGACTGGGTGATATGGCGGAGACGCGAGAGGAAGAGAATTTGGTCGAGTGTTGTTTCGGTCGAGGATGGGGTGGGGTTGGGGAGGCGAGTGGAATAGAGGACTTGGATGTTTGTTGGATTGGGGAGGATGGTGTTGGATTCGTTATTGTTTAGATGAGAGAGGATGGAGATAAGGGGGCTGGACATATTAGTTTCTCACCAAACATGTTAAGATATATCAATGCTCACTTGATGCCTACACCCCCGGCAATCAAAATCACATTTTGGATACCATTTAGATCAATCCCCGACGGCGGCCAGACGAAGCCACCGCCTACACGAATTCCCAGTTCCGTACCCAGTATCTCATCCTTGGGTTTCCAAAGCCATGCGCTGGCCGGATTCGACAGCGCCTTCTGCACAGCCAATTCGACGTAGGGCGGTCTGCCTGCAGAGTCGACAGGTGGGAGGCCAGGCTCCGCGATGGAATCAAAGTGCTCTTTTGGCGGATGCTCAGGAATTGGTAGGACGTTTGCATCTGCTGGTGTGGAGGTAATGCTAAAGCCGCCGGCACTGGGAATGGTTGGGATATGGACGTCTAACCATTGGCCAGGGAGGAAGGTTAGTGGTTGGGGGGTTTTGTCCTCCTATAACGGGTTAGTCCGGTTTATACAGTGAGTGGTCTGTCTTGTACGTACATCGCCACCTTGAATGTCGTTCTCTAGACTCTGTACATTAGGCGGGATTGTTAATTGGAGCAGGCGGACAGTCGGGTTGAGCTCGTCAATATGCGTTAATCGCACTGTATATAACCTATTCTGACGTGGCTCTGCTGCTGTGCGTACTTGGTGCGGTACGCCTGTCTTGGGTTTGAAGCTCATCTGGCGATACTTAGAAAGTGGGAAATGATGTCGTTGTACGAGGGTTCTGGTTAGTATAAACGGTGGTCGGAGCAGATGATTGAAATACAGCCACTGGAGGCTCTTTTTATGCATGAATGATCCTATTATGAATCTCAAGCTGAAGCTGTGTACAGTAGTATATAGTGATGGTAGTGGTGATTGTGATCTGGTGAGGTCAGGCTGACCGCGCAAAGGTGAATGACGTAGCTCTCTGTCTAGATGGATATATAACCGTCTTAACAGACGCCCGGTGCCTTTTCGCATTCGATCAACGAGACCACAGAGAAGATTAGCATGGCCCCTGCATAAGGATAACACGCTTCTAGAAGGAGCTACTGATTTTCTTTTTTATACTCTTTACAGGTCGAGTCTTTTTTGTGGAGCTCCGCGATAACCTCGGTGTCCTGAGTTCGAAACACTTTGTCTTTCTTTCTTTCCCCTCTGCCTTTCTTTACCCCGGCTTCGTGCTATCGAACACTGCATCATGGATGATATTCCCCCCAAAGATGGTATCTACAAACGTACAATATAATCATACTCAATATTCGTATTTTGTATTGGGTGACTATGGGGCGTTGGTGCAGATACTCCACCACGGCGCTTAAACCAACAAGACGCACTCTGATTGAACAGCAACAAGAACAGCTCTAAGCATGGTGATATCTTAACGGCCTCGTCTGATTGCTTTGACCTGTGCAGATCGAATCCGCATCACACCCTCTAGTGCGTGTGACGACCATCACACCAGCGCGTTCTCGTTCCCAGCCCGGCCAGTCCCATTGGCGATGGCTCTGGGCGCGAGCGCTTGATCGAGGCCCAGCATTGGCCAGACGCATCTTTGGCTTTTCTCTGTCACTCGTTGCTTGGTTCCGGGCATGGATGGGACATGGGTTTGCTAGGTGATGACCCCTCTTTTGGACATGGTGCGGCGGCGTCTGTGGAAGGTTTTACTGTGTCTTTTACATATCTAGCTGCTCGTCCCGGGGAATCAACGAGAAGAAAGGCTTTGCTTTCTTCATTTAGACAGTTTAATTTTTCGTGGTCGCTTTTCAATGCGTGTGTGAATGAATGTCCAGCCAGCCAGTCTGGCCTCAGCGAACAGAATAATTAATTAAATTATATTCCAAAACGGAACACGAAACTGCCGGGAAAAATGTCTTGGAAACCCAACTTATTATATTTCCCGCGAAACCACCGGTACCATAAAGTGCTTCTTTGGCTTATGGCTGTTGAGCTGCCGTTCACCATCGTGATCCTAACGTTTACCGGAATTGCATCGCATGATTTGTATCGAACTCGACTCTGGCAGGATGGCGCAGACAACGGCTTCAATAGTGCCCCGAATGAGATACTATATGCCATGGCCAACTACCGACCATACAAAGTGCCAAAAGTTTGGAGCTCATTGTGCGTGTTTTATGTTCTCCCTTCGTCAGATCTCATAGAGGCCGAGAGTCTCAGCTAACAAGAAGACAGTACGGACAACTATAACTTAGCCCTTGGTGTTCTGAGCACTTTCTTCTTGATCACCAAAGTGCCCTTGCATTTCCTCCGCCTCTTCTACCCTCCTGTCTCGGCCTTCGTCCATGCGGGTTTATTCGCTGTCTATATCGCCTCAGCTTCGTTCCAAGCAGGCAGTGACATGTCCGACCCGAGACACCCACAGAAAGGCGCACCATGGTATATCGCAAAGAACTGCGATGTCGCCGCGCACTCGAACAATATCGAATACTGCAAGCAGGCGAAGGCAATGTTTGCGATAACCATTATCGTCATGTAGGCGACTTTCTCATGCCCCCCCCCCATTACTTGATGCTAATCCATGACAGTATTCTCTACTTCGTCGAGCTCGTCCTAAGCCTCCATAGCTGTGTCCCCACGAAAGAAGAAATTAACAAGCGCCGCGAACGCCAAGAGGAAAAGAGAACCATGAAGGAATACGAGGAGGAGATCCTCAAATCTCCCATCATGATCCCTATGACACCAGGGCCCAACACCGGCGGGTTACCGCCCATGACACCGCACAGCTTTGTTTTCAACCCGATGAGCAACGGACCTTCTGATTTGCCATTCCGGAACGAGCCAGGTTCTCATGCTTCAACGCACCAGGAATCAGCGGAAACCCTAACATCAGGGCCACATTTCTTCCCACCTCCTTCTAAGGCGGTAACCAAATGAGAGGTCTTGGATTATTATAAGTATTGATGGTCAATGGGATGCCGTATCGCTAGTGACTCGATGCTCTGTTTTGTCGTTTCAGATTGCTGTTTGCATGTTTTACCAAATACCCGCTTTCATGTCGTGTTGCATTTTGTTGCGTTTTGTTTTCCCGCGTTATACCTCTGGAATTTTTGTACAATCGGTTTACGAGGCTCAATAGTAATCAACATCTCCTACTATCTTGCCCATTGTCCAGTAAGAAGATTGATCATAAGACGAATGCTAAATCTTATACAATCCAAGAAGTAGCAAAACACAGGGGTATCTTCGCTATACACAAACTGAAGTCAAGAAAGAGCGATGAGCAGTATATCGAAAACAGAAACCTAGGTTGGTGCCTGGCGCCTCTTTTTGGCCCATCGTACTGGAGAATGCGTTAGTATATAGACTAAAAATATCCATCGGGAGATGACCTACATCCACAAGCATTGCACAAAGTCTTAGGTCCCTTAGGGCCCTTCCGCCACTCAGGCGAATCCGAAGTCCCACAGTCGCTACATCGATATTCCCCTTTCAATCGTTTCCTCCTATCGCTCTCTTCCATACTGCGGACTTGATGGTCTATCGTAGCAAAATCGGTGTCGCATTGGATGAGACGACCACGGCGGATGCCGGTACTGATGCCCTGTGATCTCTCTCCTTCTCCGTAGTTCAAGCCAGTCAGGACTTCAATTCCTTCGATATAAGATAAATCTTCAGTAGAAAAAGGCTTGAATTCTGGCTCGTCGAGGTTGGTGAGGGTGTCTGATGATTCGTATTCCTCTGTCGATGTAGTAAAATCTGGGGCAATGGTAGCGGTGAAACCAGCCGGGTTTGATGAGATGAAACGTCGAGGTTGGTTGAAGAATGTTTTGTTGGTGCTGCTTGAATGGTCCAATTTTGCATATGGTGCTTTGACCACCTTTGATTCCTCCTCTTCCTCCTCCTTGAGCCGTACGACCTGCTGCATCAATCGGATATTCTCGATCTTGTGTTCGAGGAAGGAGTCGAGTAGCTGGGCGCTTTTTGTGAGATACGGCCGGCATATGAGGAAGACTCCGTCGTAGGGTTTCCCATTTCCATCCGCGTTGTTCCCGTCCTGGCTCGACATATGCGGATGCCCGGATGCTTCCAAAATGCAATACGAATCAACCACGCGGTTGAACCGAAAATGCAGACGTAGAGCACATCCCGTTGCAACACATTGGCTTAGTTCCTCGGAGAAAATCGCGCGATCGTCTTGATGTGTGAAGTGGGACAGCGACTTTCCCTCTAACTGCTGCATAGTGTATCCCGTAACTGACTGGCATGATGGCGAAGCGTATGCTATTTTGCCATCTGCGCTTAAGAGCAGAAACATGTCCTTCATCTCAGCTATTGCGCATTGTGGCCAGCTTCTGGCACCGGGGTGTTGCACGGTTTGCGCCCCAAAATTGCCGGGAAGGGACTGTGTTTGTCGCATGCTTTGAGCCTGCATTGTGTAGGGATTGACTCCATCGGTTTGCAAGCCGTATGTTTGGCCATGTCTTTTAGGAGCAGAATCCATGTTCTAGTAACTGTAAATTCTGGCCGTCACTCAGAACTCGACAGTCGCATTTCAAGACCACATATGCGACAGCCGATCGCGCGCAGCAAATAAAAGGAAAATAGCAGGAAATGATGTCGAAAATCGCGACTCGGAAGCCCACATTTGACGTAGTATGAGTGGTCTCACTCTGAAAATAAAAGCATCGGCGCTTCGTAGTCGACAAATTTGGGCCGGAGGGCCTCAAGACCGTTCCTCTCTGTACGGAGACGCATCCTCGTTTCGCCTGCAGGCAATTTGCCACCTGAGCTGTGGATTGGAATTCCCCTGGTTAATCATTCGCCTGTCAGCAAAAGTGATCCATCTTCTCTCCGGTCGTACACGTGACCTCGCGCTTTGCCGCCCCGCGTCCGACGCGCAGACGCCGTAGTAGAGAAGAACAGGAGATAACTTCTTCGTCTGGATCGCACGCACTGGAGTTGAGTAAGGAATAGGGTGCCAGTGCGTCGTTTATTGCCATGTGAGTCGCGCTGATGATTTTCTTCTGGTTTGGTTGTTCTTTTGCTGACCGGTAGCTATCTTTAATCTAGGTGTAAGTTCAGCGGATCTCCACGAAGGAAGATCTTTATCTGACAGGTTTTCAGCGAAGATAGACAAGCTCTCGATTTTGGGGTAGGTTCCGTTTGTCATATATACAGATACAGCGGTAGGTTACTGATAGAGGGGATAATGCAGTGTCCGCTCATTCGACAACACTCGCAGCGAAACAATCCAGTTCCATACACCTCTTACATTAATCGTTGGATACAATGGCTCGGGAAAGACGGTAGGACTATATAACTGTATGTGCAGGAATCTCTTGGCTGATGGAAGGTTTAGACCATCATCGAGTGTCTCAAGTACGCGACGACCGGCGATCTTCCGCCCAACAGCAAGGGTGGGGCCTTTATTCACGACCCGAAGGTGCGTCTACTAAATCTGTTCAGTTGTTATAACATTTACTGAGATGGGATGATAGCTCTGCGGGGAGAAAGAGGTTCTGGCCCAGGTAAAGCTATCGTTTAAAAGTACATCCGGCGCAAAGATGGTAGCCACCCGAAGCCTACAACTTACGGTCAAGAAAACGGCAAGACAGCAAAAGACCCTGGAAGGACAGCTATTGATGGTCAAGGATGGGGAGAGAACGGCTATCTCATCGCGGGTCGCGGAGTTGGATCAGATCATGCCCCAGTACCTAGGCGTGTCCAAGGCCGTCTTTGATTCGGTCATTTTTTGCCACCAGGAAGAAAGCCTGTGGCCTATGAGCGAACCATCCGTGCTGAAGAAGAGATTTGACGAGATTTTCGAGGCGATGAAGTATACCAAAGCTATTGATAATATCAAGGCTCTGAGAAAGAAGCAGAACGAGGAACTCGCCAAATATAAGATTATGGAACAGCATGCCAAAGAGGACAAGGAGAAGGCAGATCGTGCGGAAAAAAGGTCTGTCAAGCTGCAGGAAGAAATCGAGGGATTACGAACAGAGGCCCACCAGCTTTCTGAAGAGATGAGACGGATTGCTGATCTTGCCGACAAAGCATGGAAAGAGTCTGAAAGCTATTCCCAAATCCTCGGTGCTTTGGAAGGGAAACGGATCCAAGCAAACAGCATCCAGGCGACAATTGATAACCTAAGAAGACACCTTATTGAGCTCGATGACTCGGACGAGTGGCTGAAGTCGAATTTGGAACAGTTTGAATCCAAACAACTTCAATACCAACAGAATGAGGAAGCTCAGAAGGAAAACTACATAGAAACCAAGGAGCAAATCGAGCAGGCTCGGCATAGGCTTGGTCTCAAACAAGCAGAATGCGGTAAATTTGAGAACGACAAAGCCAACTACGAGCGACAGCTTGAAAAACGCAAGAAGTTGATCAGGGAAATCGCACGAACTCATAATATCCGCGGGTATGATGATGATCTAGAACAGGCTGACATTGATGAGTTCATGCGGAAAATTCGAAAGTCACTGAAGGACCAAAATCAAACTTTAGACCGTACGAAACGTGAAGCACAAACCGAACTTCGTGAAGTGCAGATGACTTTGAACGAAATCGGCCAGCGAAAGTCTGCATTGCAGGAAAGCAAGAACGCTGCCAGACGGCAAATCGCCTCAAATGACAAGGAGGGCGTCTCAAATCAAGGAAAGCTTGACGAGATTGATGTCGACGAAGGTGTCCAAGCTGCGATCGAGTCGAATATCCAGGACATCAATTTCCGTTTGAATTCTTCCAAGGGACGAGCGCAAGCAGCTTCTTGGGATAAGGAGATCCAGGAAACCAACGCAGTGATTCGGAATCTGGACGATAAGGGTTCGCAATTGAATTCGGAGCTCATCGAGGCTACTAAAATGGCCGGTGATCTGGCTCGTCTCGACCATCTGAAAAAGGAATTGAAAGACCGAGAACGTAGCCTCGCGACCATGAAGGGTGCTCACGGCGAACGCCTTGCTAAACTCGTCAGCTCTGATTGGCAACCAGAAACATTAGAACAGGAGTTCCAACGGGTCATGGATGAAGAGTCTAAACTTATAGTTAATGCAGAGAACGATCGAAATGGCGCCAGTAGAGAACTGGAGCAAGTGGAATTCAAGCTGAAAAATGTGAAGAAGACACTGAGCCAGCGACAGAAAGAACTCCAGGATTGCATTAAGGAGATTCGCGAAGCGGTTGGCGATGAGCCTGGAGAGTATCTGGAGATTGTCAAACAACGGCAGGCCCAGCTTGACATCGCTAGAAAGGATGCAGAACAGTATGCCGGTGTTGGCGAGTACATCACCACTTGTCTCGAAACGGCCAATAAAGCCAAGGTGTGTCGACTATGTACCAGACCTTTCAGGAACGACAGCGAGTTCCAGAGTTTCAAAGCCAAACTGGAACAACTGGTCAAGAAGACGCAGATGCAAGCCGAGGATGAGGATGTTCGACGACTCGAGGAGGACCTCAATACTGCGCGTGAAGCCAATACTGCCTATTATTCATGGATTCGCTTACGGGAAACGGACATTCCTGAACTGGAGAAGGAGGAACTACAATACGGTTCGCGCCGAGACGAGCTTTTGTCAGAACTAGAGAACCACGACAAGGTGGTTGATGAAAAGGCCGAGAAGAAGAGAGATGTCGAGTCTCTGTCCAAGACGGTGAACACAATTGTGAGATACGATGGTGATATCAAATCAGTCAAGTGTCAGATCCAGGAGCTGTCCTCGAAGCAGCAAGATACTAGCGCTACCCGCACTCTCGAAGAAATCCAAGACGAGATTGCTTCGACTGGCGAGAAATCCAGAGCTGTGAAGAAGACACTCACGAAGCTCACCCATGACAAAGAGCAGGCACGTATCGAAATAACTACACTGGAGCTGCAGCTCAGAGATGCGAAGAGCAGCCTGGATAATACCAAGTTCCAGCTGGAGAAGAAAACCGATCTCCTCGCCCGGCTGGAGGAGTACAAGAATCTCAACGCCCAGCAACGAGAGGCCATTGAGAAGGCTGATCGTGATATTGAAGGCCTCACGCCTGAGCTCCTGAAAGTTCAAGCACGATATGATGATATTAGCGAGCGTTCTGAAGCGCATGAGAGGGAGTTGCAGCAGACAATCTCTACTCTATCAGACGGTGTGAACCAGCTCCATTTAGCGAATGACGAGATCAACTCGTATAATGAACGAAACGGGACTGGTCAGCTCGAGAGAGCTAGGAACGAGCTTCAGCGTATTGAAGGCGAAATCAGTCAGCTCGAAGCCGAACTTTCAACTATCACCAAGGAAATAAACAAGATATCCGCACAGCTGAAGGACAGTGAAAATACCAAACGGCAATACTCTGATAATCTGACATACCGCCAATCTACCAGAGCATTTGATGCAGTAACGGCAGAGATTGAGCAGCTCGAGGCACAAAATGCAGAAGTGGACCGGAGCCGCTTCAAGAAGGAATCGGAACGTCGAACCCGCGAACACAATGCGCTTGCTGCCCAACAAGCGAGTAAGATGGGAGAGATGAAGTCTAAGGACGACCAGTTGATGCAGCTTCTCGCAGACTGGAACACGGACTACAAGGATGCAGCAATCAAGTACAAGGAAGCCCACATCCGAGTAGAAACCACCAAAGCTGCAGTCGATGACCTAGCCCGCTACGGAGGTGCGCTCGACAAAGCCATCATGAAATACCATAGCCTGAAAATGGAGGAAATCAACGCTATCATTGGCGAACTCTGGCAAAGAACCTACCGAGGTACTGATGTCGACACGATCCTCATCCGCTCCGATAACGAAAACGCAAGGGGAAACCGTTCCTACAACTACCGCGTCTGCATGGTCAAACAGGACGCAGAGATGGACATGCGTGGTCGCTGCAGTGCTGGTCAAAAGGTCCTCGCCAGTATCATCATTCGTTTGGCGCTGGCCGAATGTTTCGGTGTCAACTGCGGTCTTATTGCGCTAGATGAGCCGACAACGAATCTTGATCGGGATAATATCCGGTCTCTGGCTGAGTCGCTGCATGAGATTATTCGGACTCGTCAGCAGCAAGCTAACTTCCAGTTAATTGTGATTACGCACGATGAGGACTTTTTGCGGCATATGCAGTGTGGTGATTTCTGTGATTATTATTACCGGGTGTCTCGTAATGAGAAGCAGAAATCGATCATTGAGAGACAGTCAATTGCAGAGGTATGTTGACTCTATCAACGTTGTCTGAACAAATTGGGGTTTACTGACTTGTTTCTAGGTAATGTGATCTTATATTAGCAGACACTGGAGCATGGGGCATTGTTACATTTTCGTTAGGAAGGTCAATACGTCTTGCTGTACTTAAAGTTGATCTAAGCATACTCTGGCGTTGGTGGAAACAGGAAAATACAATACTATTGCTATGATACTAAAACAGATCCTTATTCATCAAATTCCTCTTCCCCGTCTGTAGGCTCGACCTCTGCCTCATTATTCTCATCAAGCAACGGCACAAATCGAAAATCCACAAACGTCACATTACCACTACTGGTACTCGTATTCTCTCTAGATGGCTTATTCCTCTCATCCAACTCGATCATGAACTGAAGACTCAGAACACCCTGTCTATCCCCACGAATACTCACTTTATTCGCAACCGCCATGGCTTGAGCCGCCTTCCGAATAAGCGGGAACCGATAGTCCTGCACGATGCGAGAGCCTATGGAAGATGGCGGACTGATGAGGAAGGTCTCCGTGACTGTAGGGGCGAGTTTGGCTCTTCTTGCGCGTGACCGAGATGTGCCATCATCGGCTAGGACTTTGTGGTATGCTTGCGATTGTTGTTGCGCACCGGTTTGGTTTTTTTGCTGTTGGTCGATGGAGAATTCCACGACTGATTCGCTGAATGGGCCGCCAGAGGCTGAGAGGGAGAAAAATGGGGCTTTTGTTGCGGAGGCGGAGACCTTCAAAATTGTTGGGTCGGTGGCGTCGAGCTCGGTAATGGCGTTGTGTAACCATGCAGAGCGCATGATGATTTTCATGATGATTGCGTCGCGCTGTAGGGGAATGTCGAGTTCGCCGCCGTCGGGTTCGTACGTTGTCAATTCGCAGATGGTCTTCACGCCTACCTCAGTGAGGGTGATGCTGAGTGGAGAGCCGTATTGGAAGTATTGTAGGGTGCATGAGCGATCCAGGAGCAGCGTAGGAGTTGTAAAGGCGCTAGATGCAGCGGGATTCAGTGCGGCTGCTTTATTGGTGCCGGACGAGTCGTTGGTACCGAAGATTTTCAATGTTTCTAGGAGGGCTGAGAGCGAAATGACGAAGTGTGGATAGTACGTGGATTCAGACGAATCGTCGTTATCTCCGGATCCTCCATTTCCATTATTTGTTTCCGTCAGATGATTGAACGTGTAGCTCGTGAATAACGCCTTGTCGAGAAATGCGAGACCTTGTACAACCCGGCCTTCCTCCACTGAAACTCGGAGTCCATCTGGTGTTATCTGCACCGTGGCCTGTGGTGCGAATCCGATGCATTGCAGCAAAATGTATAGATGGTGAGCGTTGCTGGAAACAGCAGAGAAGATGGGTTCCCCGTCCGCCATTGTTCCAACTGGTCTGTATTTATAGCAAGGAAAGGAGGATGGATTAGGACACCGGGACCTAAATTATGAAACGTGCGTGTCTAGCTCAGCTTATGGTACATGAAGGGATTCGGAACACGAGTGTCGCTCTAGACGTAGACCCCGACGGCACAGATCATGTACACAGCTCCGAAACTGGATGTATAGCAATAAGTGTTAGTGAATACCGTAGAATAAAAAAAAATTGCATGGCTATAACATACCCGAGTGCCAATGAGGCTGGCACGCCGAGGGATGCGATACTCAGGAAAGATCGATCTGTTAACCAAGTGTAAGAACAGGAATTCATTTGTATACTTCAAGTAATGGGGACTAACTCAATCCGAAAAGTCCAGACAGGAAGAATGCTATGGCGGTCAATCAGTAAAGGGTTGGAATCTCATCTGGATGTGGATGCGGTCCTACCAATAAGCAGTAAACTGAAGCCGACAGAGAACTGATTGTCTTTGGGGACCACGGGAGAGAAAGGGTGTGCGGAGGCTGCCTCCCAGATCTCGTTCAACGACATTAGGATAAATGTTTCTTGGAATTGAATTTCAGACAAAAGACATTCACCATCGACAAAACCGTACAGGGAGGAATAGAAGTAGATGCATCTGAAGCTATTCCGAATGATCTGGCCCAATTGGTATCTCGGAATAATTGTTCTGCCGACGCTAGGCCCCGTATCGGCAGAGCGTGGAGATTCCGTGGCGCTTCACGAGACGAAGAGAACAACATATTATCTCACCGAACGCATTATGGCTGCCATGGCGATTGATAGTGAGTCGCTGCCTTGACGAACTTCGTTTTGCAATTTGTCTAATCGATTACTGACCCCATATCCAGGCGCAAAGCGGAAAGCTTCCGAGGAGATCACTTCCCCGGATTCGCAACAACAGAGCAAGAAAGCGCGCACTGACTCGCTGGAACGAGAACCAAAGGTTTGCTTATGGTCCTTCTTCTGAGATACTGTAACTTTTTTTTTTTTTTTTATTGCGATCTTCTAACGATGGTTGGTTCTGTCTAGGTTGAGGAAGACGAAGACACCGGGAAGCCCCTCCGAATCGTCCCCTTTCCCGAGAAAGTAAGCTTCATCGATGAGAGTTCGCTTTGATGGAAATTATATTGACTGTCGCGTTATCATAGCCTGCGGTTTTAGAAGAGCGTCGAGGAGATATCGAGTTCCGGGTGGTCAATAATGACGGGTCGCGGGATAGCTTTGTTATCCTCACCGGGTTAAAATGCATTTTCCAGAAGCAACTTCCCAAGATGCCCAAGGATTATATTGCGCGATTGGTGTACGACAGATCACATCTGTCTATCGCGATTGTGAAGCATCCGTTGGAAGTTGTTGGGTACGTATGGAAGATTCGAAGAGGCTATAGTTTGCCACTAATGCGTCCCTAGAGGAATCACGTACCGGCCATTCAACAGTCGCAAGTTCGCCGAAATTGTTTTTTGTGCCATTTCTTCCGACCAACAGGTGAAAGGTTACGGAGCACATTTGATGTCACATCTCAAGGTATGAGTTAGATGGCCAATACAGAGAGCATATTGGATGTTGACGTGTTGCAGGACTATGTGAAAGCCACATCGCCCATTATGCACTTCCTGACGTACGCCGATAACTATGCTATTGGATATTTTAAAAAGCAGGGCTTCACGAAGGAAATTACGCTCGAAAGGTCTATGTGGATGGGATATATCAAGGATTACGAGGGAGGCACCATTATGCAGTGCACGATGCTGCCCAAGATACGATACCTGGAAATTGGGCGCATGCTCTTGAAGCAAAAGGAAGCAGTTCATACGAAGATTCGCGCGTTTAGTCGGTCACATATCATCCACAATCCGCCAAAAGAGTGGAAAAACGGGCCGTGTCAGATCGATCCCTTGAGCATCCCGGCCATCAAGGAATCCGGGTGGTCACCTGATATGGATGAGCTGGCTCGTCAACCACGCCATGGACCAAACTATAACCAACTGCTGCACCTTCTCAACGACATGCAAAACCACAGCGCTGCATGGCCCTTTACCCAACCTGTCAATCGCGATGAAGTGCCGGATTACTACGAGGTTATTAAGGAGCCTATGGACCTTTCGACCATGGAGGAGAAGCACGAAAAAGACATGTATCCAACACCACAGGACTTCATCAAAGACGCTATGTTGATATTCGACAACTGCCGGCGGTATAACAACGAGACCACCCCATATGCCAAGAGTGCGAACAAGCTAGAGAAGTTCATGTGGCAGCAGATCCGGAACATCCCGGAGTGGTCGGTAAGGATCCACAGTCCTAAGAACCTCAAATATATATGAGTTTGTTGTTCATTATGCTAATGACGGTTTGCTAGCATTTGGCTGATGGCCATTGAGATTGGGATTACCTGGCATGCTTTGGAGCGTAGGAGTTATTCGTGTGGCTGGCGTTTATATATGCATTTCCTGTGATTTATAAGGTTCCGTGGATAATACCCAAAGAGTGATTGATGAAGCATTGGTTCTGGAGGTTCGGTTTCGGCTTTATTTGAGTTTTGGGTGAAACTGGTATTTTTAGCAATTTCACTGTATGTATTGTGGATTACTGTAGTCCCTTGCTGGGTTTTCTAACGCTGGTACAGCTACAGTATGGAGTACAGTTCATAAATATAGTCCAATTGATAACAATCAATGTATGTAGTAGGGTTATCAACTGTCTGCATCATTGTAATTTGATTTTCACCACATCCTTCCTAAAGTATTGAGTTTTATCTTTGATGTGCCCGCTGTCAACCAAAACCAGTTATACCGGTCATACGGTACAATACAGTATTGAAGACCGGCACGTGTGGGTGCCTGACGGGGCTGGTGGACCTTCATCTCGGCGTAACGTTGAAGCGGGCCGTCTGCTTGCTGGCTTTTGGATGACAACCAAAAATCTTCCATTACTGGGATGATTGATTTGTGCTGGAGAGGCTGCTGGGCACTCGTCTGTTTTCACTTTATTCTAACCTGCTTGATGCATTTTTCTTGTATTTTATTTCCTTGATATCTCTCTGTTGTTGTCGCGGCTGTTTCGGAGTGGCTTGTCCGTTTGGATTTCGACTATTCGGGAAACCCTTACAGGGGGAGAGACTCCTGTCTGAGATCATCCTCACTTTACTATTACTATTCAATCTCTTCACTCCTCCAACTCTTCAGCCCTCCCTCTGTGGAGTGCTACTATTAATCAACTGTGACTGATTTTTGCTTTTCTAATCATCACGGAGAAGATTTGTGCAATATTTACTTCCGTTTTCCTTGACAATACCGACGGTTGACGCTCGCTCCCCCCTTTTTCCTTTGATTCGGGCCCCTCTTTTATGCTCGAGGTATTCGCGTGATATTTAACAATATTCTATCTCTATAATTGAACCACGCTCGTTAAAATGGCTTCACCTTCGCTTCTAGACGTGGAGCAGCGCAATCGCCTCCCGACGCTCTATGAAGTCCTGAGTCGCCGGACGCTCGCTCCCGTCGATCTCTTCTCGTTCTACATCTACATGCGCGATCAGCAACGGTCGGTCGATTATCTCGACTTCTGGTACGTTCAGGCGATCGCGACGACTACTAATATTTTGCTCTTTCTAACACAAGTCTCTTTAGGCTGGATGTATCGCAACACATGTCCCTCTGCCGTCACTATGTCCGAGAATTACGTCGCTCTGTTCTGGTGGCCACGCCAGAACTCGAAAAGGCTGAGAGCAAAGGATCATCGGCAGCAGTATTGGACAACATGGACACAATGGGCGACATCCCACTGGTAGAAGCTGGGCCTTCAAACACGCGCAACGATCTTCCCGACGAGAAGCACGCAGATCAAAGACTGTCGGCGTTTCTGCGCCTTGACGGTCACAATACCAACGGAAACTCTACGGAAGCCAGCCACGAAACCGACAACCATGGACGAAGTGCGTCAGACGAACAAGCTCGTGAAAGTTCCGAAACACAAAATGATTCGAATTCGCCAGGGCACACGGTAGCGCGCGCCGACATCCGTGCTAGTGCAGAGAAGGTCCTCTACACATACTTGTTACCTGGCGCGGAACGAGAAATTGTACTACCGGACGAAATGGTTTCTACTATTATCAATCTGGTTGAAGACGATGGCAGAGACGACCCAGAAGTGTTTGACCCCGCCAAGGACTATGTTTTTCAAGCCATGGAACGTGATGCTTTCCCAGGTTTCTTGCAGGCCAAGGCTCTGGGGAATCTTGTACCATTGTCGATTGTTTTCCGTCTTGCCTTAGCACTCATCAGCTTTGGTGGTGGCTTCTGGGGCGCCTTCTACGTTGTTCTCAGGCCCAAGCCACGGCACATTCGTTGCTGGGTATGTTATAGTTCGTCTAACCTAGCAAAATCATAAAACTAATGGTTGACAGATAATTTTACCATTTGTCGTGGCCGTATATTTCATCATCACTTACCAGTACAAGCTCGACCCGGTCATGGCCCTCTTAGGGTACAGTGAATACACCTTCATGAACTGGGCACCGATCCGCGAGCCCTACGTCCGGAAACTCCTAAATAAGCGTTCTACCTCAGTGCTATTTATCGGTGCTTTCATCGCTGCTGCTCTGAGTGTACTATTCATTTTCGTCCCTGGTACCTCGCTCTGATCTTGTCGCTCTTCATGCTCTTCGTTTTCTGCAACTAGCGTGTTGATTCTTCCTTATTAAATTTTCCCTCGTCGTGACTGTGTCTGCACGACGTCAGCCTGGTAATCTCAAGTGTTCTTGGGCTTGGCACGGTACATGACTTGAGGGCCTGCTTCTGGGAAGCAGTCTATCCCTCTAGACAAATATTGTCTCAAGTCGTCCCCAGTTCCTCTTTACAGGTGGGAGCCATCCCAATCAACCAATTACTGTGCGATGCCGACACTAGCATCCTATTTCGGGCAGTGCGACTGTTTACCTTCTTTTCTTTCGTTTTCTATTTACCATAATTCTCCCTCTGGTCATACCATCTTTGTCCATATTTCTTTTTTCTTTTTTTTTCTTTTTGTTCATTTTACCTTCTCAAATACCCATTTCTCGCACTATTTGTGTACGTTGGATGACATTTATCGAATTTCTTCTGATTTGGACAGTGAAGCGAATAATATATGGTAGATAGACTTTTACAAATGTGACTAATGCAAGCGGAAAGGCTTTTGGTACCATATTTCGTAGTCGAGTGCAGCTTGATAGGACTCAGCTAGTTCATAGATCATGTCAAAGGGTCGTCGATCAAGTCAGGTCATGTCATTTCATTTGTATCGTTCCGAAAAAAAGCAAGACGTAAATCTAATATTAACCTTTTTTCCCGAGAAGACGTTTCGCTTGTCTAGCAGCAGTCCGAGATGACCCTATGCCTTCGTCTATATCCATCCTCGAACCAGCAGCTCCCGCATCATCACTCCCATTCTCGAAATACCCATCGTCATCGTTATCATCGGCACTGTACTCGCGCTTGTTACCACTGCTCCCACCACCACCAGGTCCCAGCCTTCGTCCTTCCCGCATCCCTGATCTCCTCGGATGCCCTTCATCGCCTTCCCCCGGCCAGCTGTTGATAGCCTTGTTCAGCAGTTCCGCGCGCGTATTTTCCTTAGCGGCACGCTTCGCGGTATTCGATTTGATCTTCTCAATCTCAGCCTCGATATCGCTAATCACACTTCCGCAGCGGGACTCCCATTCTGTCAAGATTAATATCATACTCAGTAGGGACTGGGGTTTGACGTCGCGCAGCGGAGCGACGGAGGTGACGTTCACCGTTGGCGGATCGGAGGCGGGGGAAAGACGCGCGGTCATGAGGGAGGAGTAGATGGCTTTTGTCACGAGAGATTCGAGTTCGGCGGGAGTAGGTATGGAGAGGGCGTCCATGAGGGATTCATATGTGAGAGGTTTGATGGTTGGAGCGAGAGAGAGGAGGGAGAGGAGACGGAGTTTGAGGATTTGGTCTTGGTTGAGCTCGGGGAGGTTCGGTGTTGCTGTCTTGTTGTTAGCCAACACTTTCAATAGATATGTCTTGGTTAGGGAATCACATTGGTAGTCCTTCCATGCTCCCCAGGCGAAGATCTCGAGCAGAGTCAAATATCCTTGGTATTCCTCTGGGGTCTCCTTTGACCGGAGAGACTGGATGGCCGGGGTTTCCAGTAGCTCAGCAAAGACGTATGTCTGCGGGTTTGAGGTAGCATCATTGATGATTTTGGCGATAAATCGAGGAGACGTGGCACTGTTGGAGTTGGCAAGGTGAATGAATGATTGAAGAGCCTCCAGTGCCCGGGCGTGTGTGTGATCCATGAAGCTGCGATCCCTTATCTAGCGTCTATCTATGATAAGCTGTTGGTGAATAATGAAAGCGCCCGAGGAGTTGGTGTAAGCTGGACTGAGGGAATATTCCAGTTGCGTCTTCTGATTGTTGGAGAAGATTGTCAATGTCTATTTTGTTCTTGGATGATGATGATGCTGATACTGTATCTGGATGTTTGCATTGGGTGCAAACACTCCGCCATGGTGTCTACAATATTACTGTTTAAGGCCATCTCAAATTTTTTCACATATTGATTCCTGAGAACTGGAAGATATTGAAACTATATTGAATTTTGGAGACTCTGATCATTGTCGCAGACAAGCTGTCGGATGTCTTCGATTGCTCTATTCCATAAGCCGCTAGTAGCAAACATCACCAGCATTCTGACATGACACAAGCACAGCCCTAAAAAGGAAGGAAGAAAAAACGAGAGAACGGGCTTCGTTTCTGATTTAAGCAGACTGTTTAATTAAAATCTCTATATCATTTCCACTGAACTACGGTATTGTTATACTCAAGACAGCTGCCAACACCGATCATTCTAGTTGAAACCCGAAAACGACCAAACTAGATGACAGCAGCAAAGACCAACATCGCAGGTAGATTAAGGCACAGAATATATACGAGGATGAAAAATTACTTCGCCTGTCCTGCTTACGGCTATTTAAAACCTTCAAAACCTCCATTTACTGTCAGCATACCATGTGATCCCGTGACTTTCGCGCCTTATTTCGTCATCCCACTCCCTCCTTTGTTCATATTCTCTTCTCGCCATTCGTCCTTTACTGAATGAGATACAGCTGAATGTTGGTGATTTCATAATAAAAGCAGCAAGAATCGCTGACGATCAGCCCATCATCTCATCTTATCTCATCCGTGTCTTCCGCCTCCGGTATCCCGCCGAATTTACTTGGCCGGACCTTTATTGCCTCCCTGTCCTCGATTCGCTTACGACACTTCATACGTCCAAAACGCTTCGATGCGATAGTAACGCCATTTACCTCGCTTTACAGCTTCCTCTGTGTTGCTCGTTTTTTGTCATACCGACTTGGTCGCGATGGCAGAACCATCTTCCTCGCCCTTATTACGCGCCGGCGCTGAGGACAAGCCCTCAGCGCCCATGGCCACCACAACGGTTAAGGTGGATGGGATGACCTGTGGCGCCTGTACTTCCGCTGTGGAAGGTGCATTTCAAGGTGTTGAGGGTGCGGGAAATGTGTCAGTGAGTCTAATGATGAGCCGGGCCGTCGTCCACCACGATCCTACCTTATTATCGCCGGAAAAAGTCGCCCAAACGATCGAAGACAGCGGATTCGATGCATCCATTCTATCTACCGATACCTCATCGGTGAAGCAGACTGGGCACAATAATGAGGGGCCTTCGGTCTCCACGACCACCCTAGCGGTGGAAGGGATGACGTGTGGCGCTTGTACGTCCGCCGTCGAATCAGGTGTGAAAAAGACGCCCGGTGTCAAATCCATCAATGTTTCGCTGCTTTCCGAGCGCGCAGTGGTTGAATACGATCCGTCCAGCATTACTCCGGAAGAAATTGCTGAGGCGATTGAGGATCGCGGCTTTGGTGCGACGGTGATGGGAACGTCGCCCCAGGATAGTTCGCAAGAGATTGAGGGCCAGAACTCTAGGTTGAAGGTTACCACAGTTGCTATTGATGGTATGACATGTGGCGCATGCACCTCGAGTGTTCAGAGTGCCTTGAAAGATGTGGAAGGCCTCGTCCAGTTCAATATTAGTTTGCTTGCTGAGCGTGCGATAATCGTTCACGACCCAGCCGCCCTTCCGTCGGAAAAGATAACTTCTCTGATCGAAGATGGAGGTTTCGAAGCTTCTATCATTTCTTCGGAAGCACATGCTTCCACTTCGAAGACGATACACCAGGTCAACATGAGCCTCCACGGTCCACGGGATGCATCCTCGGCGATGGCTCTGGAGGATGCTCTCGTTCAAAAACTAGGTATCACTTCCGCATCAGTGAACATGGCTACCTTCCGAATGTCTTTATCGTACGACTCCACTGTCATTGGGATTCGCTCCGTGGTAGAAGCGATCGAAACTTCTGGGTATAACGCCTTGTTGGCCGATTCGGACGACACAAATGCGCAACTCGAATCCCTTTCGAAAACCAAAGAGATCCAAGAATGGAAGCGCGCCTTTTTGGTTTCAGTATCATTTGCAGTCCCTGTTTTCGTAATTAACATGTTTCTACCAATGTACTTGCCGGCTATTGACTTTGGCAACTTTGCATTACTCCCTGGAATCTTTCTGGGAGACGTGGCCTGCCTACTGTTGACTATTCCTGTTCAGTTCGGGATAGGCAACCGGTTTTACATCTCGAGTTACAAGTCTCTGAAGCATCGTTCGCCCACCATGGATGTTCTCGTCATGATGGGCACATCTGCTGCCTTCTTTTACAGCGCTTTTACCATGATTGTCGCTCTGTTGTTCGCCCCTCATAAACGGCCCAGTACTGTCTTCGACACCAGTACAATGCTTATTACTTTCATCACTTTGGGACGATGGTTAGAAAACAGGGCTAAGGGTCAGACATCGGCTGCTCTTTCCCGGCTCATGTCATTGGCTCCATCCATGACTACCATCTACGATGACTCGATTGCAGCTGAGAAGGTCGCCGAAGAGTGGTATAGCACCAAAGCCAAATCAGATTCAAAAACAACAAGTTCAACGATTGACGAACCTTCGGGGCCAGGGCTCAAGTACATTCCCACGGAACTCATCGAAGTGGGCGACATTGTTCTTCTTCGTCCTGGTGACAAAGTTGCCGCAGACGGTATTGTTATCCGTGGAGAAAGCTATTCCGATGAGAGCATGATTACTGGTGAAGCTCTCCCTGTCCATAAGAAGAAGGGTAGCCTGGTCAATGCTGGAACTGTGAATGGTACTGGCTCCGTGGATGTTAAAGTAATCCGTGCTGGCAAGGACACGCAGTTGAGCCAGATTGTCAAATTGGTCCAAGATGCGCAAACAAGCCGAGCTCCCATTCAACGCATGGCCGACGTGGTGGCAGGTTATTTTGTTCCCAGCATCATTACGCTTGGGTTAGTTACGTTCTTTGGCTGGATGATAACCAGCCACCTGTTGCCAAATCCACCTAAGATCTTTGTCTCAGAGGGCGGTGGAGGCAAAGTGATGGTTTGCTTGAAGCTTTGCATCTCGGTCATTGTCTTCGCTTGCCCGTGTGCATTGGGTCTCAGTACCCCTACCGCAGTCATGGTCGGCACTGGAGTTGGTGCACAACATGGCATTCTGGTCAAGGGTGGTGCGGTGCTTGAAGCTGCCACTAAAGTTGACCATGTAGTCTTCGACAAGACAGGAACTCTGACTTCAGGGAAAATGAGCGTGACTGAAGCTCAACTGGAAGCCGTTTGGAAGTCGAGCGAGTCTCGTCGTCAGCTTTGGTGGTTGATTGTCGGTCTCGCAGAAATGAGTAGTGAGCATCCTATTGGTAAGGCTGTTTGCTCTACCGCCAAAGACGAATCCGGTCACCCAGGAGAAGATGGAATGCCCGGGAGCGTGGGCGAATTCGATTCCTGCACAGGAAAAGGTATCTCCGCTGTCGTGGAGCCAACTTCCAGTGTTGGACGCACACGCTACCGCGTTCTGCTAGGAAATATGCCATTCTTGCGATCCCGGGATGTGCCAGTTCCTGAGAGCGCCGATTTTGATTCGCAAACTTCAGTCGACCGAACGTCAATAAGCTCCAAGCCTGGATCATTTGCCGGTATCACGCAAATCCACGTTGCAATCGATGGCCAATATGCCGGTACTATCTCCCTCCGTGACACCATCAAGGTCAGCGCTGTGGCGGCCGTTGCGGCTCTCCATCGTATGGGGCTCTCAACCTCCCTGATCACCGGAGACACGCATTCCACCGCTGTCGCAATCGCCACAGCAGTCGGTATCCCAACCAGCTCCGTCCATGCCTCTGTCTCCCCCTCAGACAAGCAATCCATCATTGCCTCCTTGCAAGAATCCGGAGAGCGCGTAGCGATGGTTGGTGACGGCATCAACGACTCCCCAGCCCTGGCTACGGCTTCAATCGGAATCGCCCTCGCCTCAGGCACAGATGTCGCCATGGAAGCCGCAGACGTCGTCCTAATGCGCCCCGACGACCTCCTCTCCGTACCCGCCAGTCTCTCCCTGTCCAAGTCCGTCTTCAACCGCATCAAAATGAATCTCATGTGGGCTTGTTTGTACAACCTTATCGGCCTCCCCTTCGCCATGGGCCTTTTCCTCCCCTTTGGCGGAATGATGTTACCCCCTATGGCCGCGGGAGCTGCCATGGCTGCCTCGAGCGTGTCTGTCGTCGTGAGCAGTCTGCTCTTGAAATTTTGGAAACGGCCCCGGTGGATGGACGCTGAGAAACTGGAAAAGGAGTTTGAGATGGGACATGCCCAGATTGGTGCTCGTGGATCCCAGAAGAAGAGTTGGTGGACGGCTGCACTCTCGGTTACAGGATCCCCTCGGAAACCCGTCTCGCAGCGTGTCAAGGGTGCGGGACTTGCTATCTGGTCACTTGTTACTGGCAAGAAGACCAGGGCGGGTGATGATGAGGGATACGTTCCGCTGCAGACGGTTGAGCCTGTTTAAGCTTATTTTTCATATTTATACGTGATCTTTCACTTCTCATATTTTGATCTACTTTTGTCGAATGGCGCTCGTCAAATCGGTGGTTATGCATGTTACGTTCATTTTAATGATGATATCCTTGATACCTTTCGTTTTTGCAATTAATTGAGATTTACAATAGAGCGATTCACTCTAGGTTTATATGGTAATGATGATAATTTTATGTGCCGTTACGAAGGGAACGGGCCATTGAAAAGTTTTAAATGATAAATCTCGTAACAACAGTACATTCATCATTACAAATTGAGAAGAGGAAGTATGTAGTCAATATATTCTCGTCGTCAGTCGTGAATGGAAGATATTTAAGCAATAGGTCAACTCTTAGCAGGCTCTGGTTCCGACTGCTCTTTCCCTGGGGACCCTGTTGCCAACTCATTATCGTTCTTCTCCTTCGCATCATCCAGAGAGATATCTCCGTCACCGTCCCTCTTTCCTCCCTCGCGGGATTTAGAAGGATGGTCTTGTTTTCGATTCTCGTCATCCTTCTCTTGCGCCGGTTGTTTAGTAGCATTGTCGTCTGGTGGTGCGTTACTAGCGCTATCGACATTTGACAGAGGCATAGAAATGCCCTTTCCATCCTGCAGCCCCATATCTTCTACCCCTACCACAGGTGGGCCGCGAGCATGTGGCACCTCCTCGGAATCGGCTGGCGGCGGAGATTCAGTGCCTCCCGGTGCTTCGTTTCCGATGGCTGATGTCGTCGTGTGAGTGGGCAATGTGGTTTCCTGTGTGATTGCAGTTGTTTCGATTTCGTCTTGGGTTTGTGGTTGCTGCTGTTCGCCCTGTGACGCTTGCGATGACTGTTGTACCTCGTGATTTACGGTAATAGAAATCGATTCGGTGCCTATTGCTGGATAAGAAGTTTTAGCAAAGAGATTTGAAGATTAATAGAGTATAGTTGATCAAGGTACCTTCCATAACAGTTTCTCCAGTCTCCTCTTCAAACGAAGCAGCATTCAACCATGGAATCGGGGTGAGAAGAGCACCGCCCAACGACTCGTCGCTTCCAGGGGCGTGATCAAATAGCAACCCACTGCTTCCTCCACCATTGGTTACACCATTCGGTTGACTTGTGCTCGCTTGCACTTGTAAAGGGAATATTTCTGCGCTACTTGTAACCGAAACAACACGATCAACAGCTCGCAGGTAGGCAGGGAGGGTTCGATAATGCGCATTGGGGTGAAGAATAAGCTCCGAAAGTCTCTGGATTGTATGCGGTGGTTTCGAAGAGAATAGGGATCTCAATGTGGATTTGATGGAGTCTAGCAGTGATGCAAGTGGAGAAGGGAGAGATTCGTTCGTGAGACCTGCGAATGATTGAGATTGCGAGTCTGGCACCCGTTCGCTCAAGGGCGAGGTCGCTTGAGCGGTGGAATTTGCTGTAGGCCGTGGATGGGTCTGTAAGTCCGGGATGTTGTTTTCTTTGTTGCTGCTAGACGGTATCGAGGAGTCTTGCGAGGAGGGATCGGCGGAGGATGGCAATTGATCAGGGATGGAGGACGACACGGCTTCGGGAGGCATCTTGGGCATGGGGAAAACATTGTAAACGATCTATAACTGTCAGTACAGATATTATTGTAAATGATTCGGGAGATTGCGCACATATTCTAACCGTTCGACCAAAGGTTCGATCAAGCCAGCCCATTTCTCACTGGAGAGAGTCAGCTATTCGATTCCAAGCACGCTGATTAACCATCGGCTCAGCATACGATTCCATCAGGCCGCCTTTAGCGACGGTTTGTAAGGCTTCTTCATCTGTTAATGACGGATCGTTAGCTGTTGGGAGTTCCAGTATAAACAGGGCTAAATGGCATGATGAAGCGATCCAAGTCAGCTCCTCGACTCAGACAACAAGAACTAACCTAGCGACATTCTGCAGGGGTGCTGGAGCCCAAATCTCACGAAGAAGCAAATAAGTTCCTGGTCACAACCGAGTCGTGCACGATGATTCGAAAACGCCAATGCGACGAGGCACTGTCTGCTAAACGCGCGCGGCGGGGCGGTAGTCGTAGCTTCCCATTGGCCTGCTGGCCCTCCGCTTATCGGGACCTCACGTGATGGTTATCGGGCCAATTTTTTAAACGCGGGCGGATCCACAGATTTGGATGGAGGGGCTCTTGTGAATCTCTTCTTCTCACTCCACACTTCAATCGCAAGCCGATCACTAAAACGATATCACGATGTGGAACTCGCGCAAAGTCGGAATCCTCGGAGGCGGCCAGCTGGGCCGTATGCTCGTCGAGTCCGCCAACCGACTGAACATCCAGGCTAATGTCTTGGATGCGGAGAATGCCCCGGCGAAGCAGATTAGCGCCCACAGTGGCCATGTTACGGGCTCTTTCAAGGAGCGGGAGGCGGTGCGCGAACTGGCAAAGGGATGCGACGTTGTGACTGCTGAGATTGAGCATGTGGACACCTATGCGCTCGAGGAGATTGCGTCGGAGGTCCGGATCGAACCCAGCTGGCAGGCTATCCGGACAATTCAGAACAAGTTCAACCAGAAGGAGCACCTCTCCAAGTATGGTATTCCCATGGCGGAGCACCGAGAGTTGACCAAGAACACTCCGGAGGAACTTGCGGCGGTTGGAGAACAGCTTGGGTACCCTCTGATGTTGAAGTCGAAGACTATGGCCTATGATGGACGGGGTGAGTCATCGCATTGAGAATACATGAATACATGAGCTAACATGGGGATAAACCAGGGAACTACCGTGTGAACTCGAAGGATGACATCCCCGACGCATTGGAAGCACTCAAGGACCGACCTTTGTACGCAGAGAAATGGGCTTATTTTAAGATGGTTCGTTACAATTATCTCATGGAAGCAGACAATGTCTAATATGTTATATTGGACTAGGAACTCGCTGTCATGGTTGTCAAGACCAAAGACGAAGTCCTATCGTACCCCACCGTCGAAACCGTCCAAGAAGACTCGATATGCAAGCTCGTCTACGCCCCCGCACGGAACGTCTCGAATGCAATCAACCAGAAGGCTCAGGAACTCGCTCGCAAGGCTGTCTCCCCCTTCGAAGGCAAGGGTGTATTTGGTGTTGAGATGTTCCTCCTCGAAGATGACAGCCTCCTCCTCTGTGAAATTGCCAGTCGCATTCACAACTCCGGCCACTACACGATCGAGGGATGCCCCTTGTCCCAATTTGATACCCACATCCGCGCCATCCTCGACCTCCCCATCCCTCCGCAAAGCCTCGAAATCCGCCAACCTTCCATCATGCTCAATATTATCGGCGGCGCTGAGCCAGACACCCACCTCAAGGCCGCAGAGCACGCGCTCTCCATCCCCAACGCCAGCATCCACCTGTACAGCAAGGGTGCCGCCAAACCAGGCCGCAAGATGGGCCACATCACTGTGACCGCTGCCACGATGCACGAGGCCGAGGCGCATATCCAGCCGCTCATTGACGTGGTGGACAACATCCGCGCACAGCGCACGGATGTGAAGAGCAAGGCCCAACCGTCAGGCCCCTCGAAGCCTGCCCCTTCCGTTGCCGTGATTATGGGCTCGGACAGTGACCTCAAGACTCTTGTGCCGGGTCTTAAGCTCCTCCGTGACTATTTTGGTATCGAGCTTGCTGTCGATATCACCTCTGCTCACCGCACCCCAACTTACATGGCCGAGTACTCCGCGGACGCCGCCGCACGAGGTATCAAGGTCATCATCGCTGCTGCCGGTGGAGCCGCTCACCTGCCCGGTATGGCAGCGGCCCACACTACCCTCCCTGTGATCGGTGTCCCGGTTAAGGGTAGCTCCCTTGATGGAGTCGACAGCTTGTACAGCATCGTGCAAATGCCCAGAGGTACGTCCTTATTCCCCTCCCGACAAAATCAACCTGTAGCTAACATTGAAACAGGCGTCCCCGTCGCAACCGTCGGAATCAACAACAGCATCAACGCCGCTCTCCTGGCAGCGCGCATCCTGGGCTCATTCGAACCAACTATCCAGCACAAGGTCGAGGCGTACGCGGAGAAGGCACGCGCCGAGAACATGGAACAGAAGGGTGTTAAGATGCAGGAACTTGGGTGGGAAAAGTACTTTGAGTCTATGTAAGGGGGCATAAGATTGGATATAAGTATTCAAATGTAGATATGTTTTATTTTTAGATGAATCAATGATCAAGATTTATAGTATCATAATGTGTAGATGTCAGTCTAAAGCCTTACAAAATGACTCGTGCTGCGACTTCCCCACGAGACTACGGAGTACTGCACAACATATTTATGCTGAGACGAATTCTTTGCCAATGGAAGGTTTACTGCGTATACATCTGTCTTTTGGACACACAGATAGACGGACTACCATTATTAAACAATAATCATACAAAACGAATAATCACAGTATCCAAGAGATATCACAAAGACAGATAGTACTAAGAAACACATGAGAAAATAATATCGACTCGCGTATATGATATCTGAACAAACAAACAAAAAAAAAAAAAAAAAAAAGGATAAAGAGGGAGAGAGAATTAAGAAACTCATTAAGAATTAAGTGATGCAAGTTCACTTAGATCGACGTGTTGACTAAATTAAACCGTCTGGGGGTTGAAGGCGGCGGGGGCACCAGGAACAGTAGTTCCATCAGCGACGTTCTTCGCAGCGCCGTTGGAGCCCGCGGCCACGTTTCCACCCTGAGTGCCGAATGCCTGGTTGATTTCATCCGAGAATCCACGCGACGGGTATCCATCGGGCTTGGAGACACCATCCGCGCCGTTGGTAGTGCCGTTAGCGGCACCAGCGGTTTCAGATCCACCAACGCTACCAGCACGGTGTGGCTTGCGGGTGATGGGCGCCGGCTTGGGGACGTCGGTGGACTCGGAGGCGTTGCCGAGGCTGAAAACAGGCGACTCCCAGCGCTCACCCTTCTCCGCGAGATCAGCGTACTCAGTGGCCTTGGTGGTGACGCTGCCGGGCAGCTTGATTTCAGGGAACTGCGAGTCGCGCAGGGTGGCGGTGGTCTGGACCTTGGTGTCGCGCTTAGAGGCCTCTTCCTGGGCTTTCTTGCGCTTGTCAGACAGCTTCCGACGGCAGACATCCAGGTAGCGGGCGTAAATGCTGGTCTTGTCCTCGGTGTCGTTCTTCTTGGCGAGCTCCTCGGCCTTCTGGGCTTCATTGTGCACATCGCGGGCAAAATTGTCAGCGGTGATGAAGGACTCGCGGATCTTTTGTTCGAGGACCTTCTCGAGCGTTGGGCGGACGATCTTGAAGAGGAGGGGCTTGAAGGTTTTGAAGAGGACCTTGTGCTTGGACTTGCGCAGCTTGATGTCCATGTTGTGGATGTCAACAGAGACCTTATCCACCTTCACAATGTGCTCACGGTCTTCCTTGTTGGCAATGGAGGCGGCAATCTTGAAACCGAAGCCCTCGCCACCAAGGAGGATGTCCATAACACCCTTGTCCGTGACGGACGGGAAGCCCTTCTTTTTCTTGAGATAGTAGCTGACATCGGTCAGGTCGGCCTGAATACCAGAAGCAGAGATCATAAGCTTGTTGTCGCGCTTGCTGCTGATCTGCTTGCGGCCCCAGCGGAAGTAGTTGTCGCTACCAAATTCCAGGACATTTGGCATAAGGTTGTCGCTCTCGATGACCAGGTTCTCAACGACCACGTCGACCATAGGGTCGGAGACCTCAATACGAGGGATGGGAACATAGCGCACGTGCTCAAAGATACCAGGCAAAATCACGTTGCCAATGTCCTTCAGGAGATGCTTCTTGAAGGCCATCTTGCCCTCTGAGCTGCGACCAAGGTCCAAGAAGAGCTTGTTCATAGCCTCTCCGAAGGCCTTGTTCTGGGAATCCTCATTGTACTGCTCACCAAAGAACTTGATCTCGTCCAGAACGCGAGTGGTGTGGGATTTGTAGCGGTCCTGCAACAAGTAGCGACCGTGGTCGTATAGGTGGTTCCAGTCGCGGTTGCAGTCCTCCTCCATGACGTAGCCCTGCTCCTGCAGGCACTTGCGGACGAATGTGTTGACATTCTTGAACCAGCCCTTGAGTTCAGGGTCCTTCTCAGCGTCGCGGTAGATGGTCTCGAGGGAGTCAAAGAAGTCGTCCAACGACGTGCTGTTAGCGAAGCGCTCAAGCAAGACCTGGGAATGTTAATACACGAAGAACAAAGAGAATTCAAAGAAGGGGCTTACCCTGAGGTTAGTCTCGACCGTTCTCACGCTGTTGTGGCCGCGGACGTCCTTGATGGAACCAGTTCCTTGCTTGGACAAGTCTTGGGAGTGACGAGCATACTTCTCTGCCAGGTCTAGCAAGGTCTCAATAGCTCTTTGGTCTAACGTAGTTGTTAGTGACAAGCTTCGTCGATAGTCGAAACGAATTTGACTTACAGTCAGCATGGCCCTGGACTTCCATGACCATCTTCTTCAGACGCCAGATAGCCTGCTCGCGACGCTCCTTGGGCACCTTCTCGGATAGGTATTCCTTGCCCTTGCCAGCGTACTCACGAGCGCGTTCCTTGGTCGATCGCCGTGTAGACTTAGATACCTCCGAAGTGCCGTCGGCACTGGCTGAGGGACCAGACAACACGCTCTCGCGATCCTTTGCATGCGTCAGTATGTCATCCTTACTCTGGATGCATGAAGAAAAACTCACGCCCTTGTTCCTCTTGAGCTTCGCCTTGAGCTGCTCCTTATCAGGCTTCTCGTGCCAGGTGTTCTCTTCAGCAGCCTGGTCGACCTGAGAGAGCTGTTCCTCAGAAGGACGAAGCTTGTTGGCAGCACTCTGCGAGGCATCGCTAGCCATGTCACGGATGATGATCAAGGCATCGCTCACTGTACCGGTCACCAAGAGCTCCGACTCAAGAATGGAAGAGGAACTTACGGATCTTTCTAAACTCTCCGTTGGTAATGAGAAGCGTACCCAAGGTCTTCAGACCCTGCACGGCGTTGTTACTGTCCTGCTTGGCACCGTCCTTGTCAATAGGCGCATTAGGCCCCTTCGCCTCAACATCGCCCAGACGCTGAGCCTCCCAGATGAACTCCTGGAGCAGATGGCCATCGTTCTTGCTGAGAATCAACTTGCGCGCCTCGTCAATAACCTCACGGAGGTCCCCAACCAGCTTCTGACCTTCTTCCGAAAGGTCCTTGGAGGGGGAAGAGAGGGTCTTGGACTGGAGGGCACTGTTCAGAGCGATGTCGCATTGCTTGTTCGAGGGCAGCTTGCCATGCTTGAAGCCTATGCTCAAAATCCCCGGTCAGCTGCTGCGCTAGGGATGCGACGAAAAAGGCCAGGATATGTAACTTACCATGGTAGATTCCGTACAGTTGGAGCTTCTGATTGATGCTCTGCAGGAATTAGAGGGTTAGCAAGGGCTAAGCGAGATCAGACCTCTGGGGGTGCTCCGTACCTGCTCCTTCTGCTTGCCATCAACGGGCTTGTTAACCATTTTGGACGGCATGATGCAAAAAGCCGTTCAGAGTGGTCTGAACGGAGAAAGGTTATGTACGGAATATGTCAAGGGATAAGTATCTTCCGGATTTAACACAGTGATTCACCGGAACAACAGAATTAGAAACAAATGAGATGAAAAGAAACGGGACTGATTGGGAATAGTTGAGTTGTTGTGATGATCGATCGCGTCGCTGGGGTATCACTGGGGAACGAAGGACGCAAACGGAAGAAGCAGTCCCTAGAGGAAAGAAGGAAGGTCGAGGGATAAAAAAAGAAGGGAATAAGGCAACTCGATATTATGAAATATGTATGTAGTAACAGGGACAAGGGGGGCAAATGATAATAATAACAGGGGGTTAAACCCGAAAGAGAGGGAAGAGTAGTGGTAAGTAGTAAGTGGTATTCCAACCAGAGAAAAAGAGAAAAGAAAAAAGAAATAAGAAAAAAATGGAGAAGAAAAAGCAGATTGCCAGTTTAAATACGATCCTAGATTAAATGATCACCATTTGTGTGTGAATCTTCTACATTGGAGTGCTGTACACATAGTACAGGCGAGTCGCCATACAAATTTAGTTTCCCTTGTTTACGGGAACGGATGGCGTGACGTCAGTGCTATCATCAGCGCATCAGAGCGTCTCCGTTCGGAAATGCAGAGAGAGAGAGAGAGAACAGAGAAAACAGAGCCACTATGTAAATCCCCGGTTCCTGAGATGGATCCCAATTCCTTCACTTAAACTTCAGGCGAACAATTATTTGTGTGGCTTGTTCCTATGATTCTTTCCCCCCTTTCCTTCTTTCCCGTTCTGTTGTACATCGCACAGAGACCTTATGAGCTCATGTCGCGCTCATTCTCAACTAACGGTTGTACATGAACCAGCATCGAGAAACGGCCGGATCTCTTGCCCCCCTTTTCTCTCAGTACATACTATGCACTCTGTATTCTGTATTCCGTACTACTATGCATTGCATCGCCTTTTTTTTTTTTTTTTCTTCGGGGCAGAATTCGCACAAGAGCGGTGATCATCCTTCCTGGGAAATCCTAATCAGACCATGTCTGTGGCAAAAAATGGAAAAATCACACTCCTCCCGACATAGCAATTTGGGTTATCTAGCGTGGGCTTGGATGGAGGAGATGCTTCCCCTTGTTAGCCCCATGCAGTATTTTAAATCATCCTAAGCAAGCTTCTTCGCTTCCTCATGAGTCACGGTCTCCACTGTTTCAACCTAACTTTTCAACAGACCCAAATAGACTGCATTCAAAGTTGTTCGGAAATGTCTGCTCCCCTAAAACGAGGACCCATCCGTACTCCGTAAGGAATGTGCTAGTGGGAATGTGTTCTCTTCGCAATTCCCGATTGCGGAATTATCGCGATCGGTTTGTTGGTCGATCTGGTCTAGTCTGGGCCACCGAGTTTGGTTGTTGTTGTTGGTGGTGGTGGTGGCTGGTGGTTCGATGATCTCGCTAGTTTGGCTGTTTTTCTCTGTTTTTCTATATTCCTTTTTCGTCGCTGTCGCCTTTTTCGTTCCCCGGGGATTTTGTATGCATGAAATCGAGAACTGGTCGCAATCATTTCCCGTGCATGTCACCCCCTTCTCCCACGGGGATGCTGCAATCGCCATCGCATCGACCAGCTGTGTTGTTGTTTGGGCCAGCGCCATGCGATTGCTGATCCCAACCAGTCACAACCCATGCGATACTCCGGTCGCTTGACGTCAGATAATTGAACCTTGTCCCGTACGCGTGAAAAATTGCCGTGTCAGGTTGCTCGTCATAAGCCGTATTAGTCATGGTTGATCCTTTGGCCATTGGATTTCGAGCAGGTGCTGTAAAAGTACGGTGATAGAGAAAAAAAAAAAAAATCACTAATAAGAATCGTTGCAGTGCCACCTGGTCCAACCATTTCGCCTTATTCTACTCCGCATACACTCTCCGTCATCGCACATATGTTTGTGTTGTCACCTTGTCAAACTGGCACTTGCAAGTTTCACCCCAATTCGACATAGAAAGCAAGGATGGTCCTCTGTGCGGGTTTTGTTGCTGTCAATTTCAGAAAAAATAGTGATGCCTGGCCCATTCGGTCGAGACCCGCGTGGCAAACTGGAAGATCATAAGGCAATGAAATGGATTCCTTTTCTCCCTATCCCCCCCCAAAAAAAGGAGGTGCTTTACTATCGTACAAATTGGCCCGGTTTGCAATAACATTGTGGTATCATTGAGTAAGAATACAAAAATCAAATTCAATTGGGAAGGCCAAACCCCCAAATATGCGTCCCTTTATATGCGTTGCACAAACAAAAAAAATAAGGAATGCGCTGAAGACGCAACGCAGGTTATCATATGCACAAAGGTTCCGTATAGGAACCCCTGAATTAGAGAGGGTCGTAATTGAATCCGGAATACTGAAGACCGTCGATGGATGGCGTCACGGTCGTGGGTGGCCCAGCCATAAATGCTCCCGATCCTGGAGGGAGATAGACTACAGAGGGCTGCGTCAACCACTTTCGAACAGGTGCCGCAGCCTGCTCATATTGTTGCAAGAAAGCATACATCTCCCATTTCCTCGCGCTGTATCGGAGAATATTCTGCATGTACGTCAAGCTTCGAATCGCACGTGCAGGGCAATTGGTTCGTCCTTCATTGCCAAGAAACGGAGGGTCGGCGTTTTCCGGCGGAGGTGCAGGCAAAGAGGGTCTCAAAACAACGTCGTAATCCTGACTCAAAAGGTCGAGGAAGCGTCGGCCAACTTGATATGCACGCTGGATGTCAAGAAAGGTTATGCATGGCAGCATGTTGGGATTCTCCAGGGTTTGGTGAAGCTGGCTAATGTAATCCATACAGCGATCGAATAACATGACTTTGTTGAAGTCACATAATGTGGGACAACGATGCGATGGAGAAAGAATGATGATGGTCGTATACAACACCTCGAGTCTATACAAAACAGGAAAGTGATGAGGGACGTTTGTAGGTGCACGGTCAAACCATTCTTGGGCTTGTGAACAGCGAGCCCATATCAATGGCAAAGGTTGCTGGGATGATTCACGTCCGCTAAAGTACATTTCTTGATACGCAGTCGACATAATCTGACGGATCCTGACGAGGTATAATCCAGGCTCTGAGCTGCGTTGGAAAAGGTGGCTCTGTTCGGTCAACGATGAGCCTAATGAAGTTGTGGCAGTCGGTAGAGAAACATTGATAGAGGCGTCTGAGAACGAAAAGGTTCTTCCCAAGGCTGAGCTAACCCCTCTTTAATTGATCCTCAAAAAGAGGGAAGAAGTCAGAAAATATTGTCCTATTGGAAGCGTGCAAACTTTCTGGGGCGGAAAAGGTAAGACATACCTATCCAAGCAGTAAGTACAGTGAAAGACTCTTCGACAGAGATCCAGCCGATCTCGATTCGACACCACTTCTTCTGGAGGATCCTGATGCAATCCCAAATCGACGATGAGCCTCACTGCCATACCAACCAGGTACCAACTCCGAAAATACATCGGATTGGCGAGCGAATACTGAGCCAGCAGCAGAATCGCTTGTATCCCGACAATGGAGCCTGGTTGGAGAACATCCTCGGCGTATTCGAGTGCTCCAACCACTAGAGCCAATGACCGTTGCTGGCTTTTATCATCACTCTGATACGATATGGTGGCAGAAGCAATCGCTAATACCATGTGCACAAGGAAATGATCAAAAGGCTTGGCAAAACGCCCACCAGGCTCATAGACGGATTCCATGGAAGTCCAGAAACTCTGTTCAACGAAAAACGGCAGCTGAGTATAAATATTGTCAAAGTAGAACTGTAAAAGAGGCGTGGCCTCGTGGCGCGGAAGCAGTGGCTGCGACGATATGTTTGGAAATGACTCGACCATGGCAACTGATAGCAGAAGGTTGGCAAACGACATTGTTGAAGTGATACCACGAAAATCTCGCGAAGTGGCATTAACAGACCTGAGGGCATGTTAGTAAGGAGAGTCCAACCGAAGATGTTGCGGGGAGCATAGAAGGCAGGACAGACAGATAACCAAAGTCACCCACAAGGTCATCAATATCAGACACCTCTCGACGATGTGCTTCAGCTACGGTACCCTTTGACGAGATAGCTGTGATCGAGCTCTCCTGCGGAATCCCGGCCTCGTTGATGGACGCATGCTCCTTACGACGATGAAGAGTTGCAATTTCTTTTTCGAGTTTCTCACAGTATCCTTCCAGGGAGGCGACGTAGCTCCTCTCTTTACCTTTAGCAAATTCGTCACTGGCGCCTGAGCAACTACTTGCTTTTCCAGCCTTTTCGCAAGCTGAGCAAGCTGGTAGCCTGCCATCGCATTTGATTTTAGCAGTGCGGCATCTTGAACATGCAGCCACCGGCCGGCTAACTTTCAGAATTGGGTGGTCTAAAAAAGAAGAGGACATGTTTGGTTCTTTCTCTTTCGTTCACATGATCTGTTTGCCTAGTTAGCAAGCTGGTGGAGGTTGTAAGAGCATTATTGAATGCCATAATACTCACCTGAAGGACAGATGATATGCTTCGACTGGCAGCACGATCCCGGATAGATGGCCCGTCACGAGTGAGTTAGATTCGGGTATCAACATGAAGATGCATCCGTAATTGTTTGATCCTTGCAATCTCTCTTCAAGTATTTCTATGTTGATTTCCGCAGACAAATAGCAAGGAAGCAGAAAGACTGCACCTGTAGAGCTGCCGTAGTAAGCAAACAAACCGCGCTTCACGGTGTGCGCAAAAGTACAAATAAGCCTGGAAAAAGCAAATTAATCCACAAGAACGCGGAGGGTCAGAAAAGAACTCGTCAATAAACAAGCGTCACCCAGATCGCAACGACGTCGATGATTTCCGAGGTCTCCGAGCGATATCCAAGTGTATCACTGAGGTTATCGAGTGACATGCAGGAGAAAGCACCACTTAGTCACGGTTTCGGGATCTCGCAGGAAGGCTCCTCGAATGACTACTCTGTAGAGTTACGGTTTCAAGTACAGTGAGTCGTCGTCGTCGTCGTCGTCGTCGTTGTTGTTGTTGTTTTTTTTTTTTTTTTTTTTTTTTTTTTTTTTTTTTTTTTTTTTTTTTTTTTTTTTTTTTTTTTTTCTGCAGACGGAGACGAGCGAAAGAGAATATAAGAGGAAGAACTAGGGAGAAGCCAAGAGAGGTTGTCGTCTTAGCTCCGACCGCCACTAACACACCCCGCGGTATGAGAATGTTGCAACCAAGAGAAAGGAAAGAAGGGATTGGATCGGTGGGAAGAGAAGAAAAAGGAATAATAAAAAACCTATTAAAAGAGACAAAAAAAAAAAAAAAAAGGAACAACTTTAGAGTGAAAGATTATCGATCCTCAATGAATCCCAGTCACGGGGTTCAGCCAGCCATGGTCTTGCCTTATTCGGTCTCTACTGATTGATACCACTGACACCTACTACCACCATCGCAGTACAGGGTAACATGGCAGCCAACGCCAAGCAGGGAAAATAGTTACCACCTCAAGACTGGACGCATATCTGGCATAATTATTCTATCCTTCCCCCAAGTTCTGATCATAATCAATAATAATATCAGCGCGCTTGGGTCGGCCTCTATAGTGTGTTATCATTTGTGATCGCAACTGGTGGCGATGGTTCCCTTGTAATCGGTCGTTTCAGCGAGACCCTGTCAGGTGTGCATTGTACAGAGTAAGCTCAGAAATTCCCATTATAGTCTACTATGTATAGCAATTGAATTCTGTTTGCTTCAGTAATAATAAGTATTATGCTTGGTCAAACTTGGTTCTTATATAAAAGAACTGCGCCAGTGGTCGTTCTGAGATCCCGTCGATCCCCGTTTAGGACAAAAGAGCCTCGGTCCTGTTCCCCTTTCGCCCCTCTCTTCCCTTTCACACTGTCATTTTTCTCTTTCTAGTTCGTTTCTTCTTTCATACTGTGATGCTCCAGGGTTCTGATAATAAATGCGGCATATAACCCCGTCAGCAGGATTCAAAAGTCCCAGATAATATTGTCAATCAAAAAGGTAACTATTTGTACCGTCAAGAGTTTCCCCGTCGCATGCTTGGCCTTCCGCGACAAGCTAACCATGCTCTCTTGCCAATTAGAACAGTGTTATGCATGTATTATAAAATACATAGTTACCCCATCAGACTACGTGGGACAGTCTGCTAACTCGAAAACAAAGATCATGTCGACTTTGCCATTCCATCGAATGTTCTGCCCGTCTTCCAGTCACATGTACCTCGAACGTTGAACCCTTCTCGACCACTACCATACACACACGCGCACGTACCCCCCTAAAAGCGAAAGAAATAGAGCGGACCCTTGTGATGGCGTAACTGTTTAACGGAATAATCTTGCGTTCAGAGTGCCAAGACCAAATTATTCGCGGTCCAGTGACTACTCGGGAGTTTCTCTTGGTACCCCATCATGGCGATGCCTCAAGTCTCGCCCGATGCGCGATCCCGTGTGAGAAACTCTTTGAATAGGTCATCATCTAAAGCACCGCAGCAATCGTTCGATGTGCCTGACAATAGGATCGCGCATACATTAACCGCTTGCGCAAGGTGTCGACAGGTATGATGATATCATACTTTTTTTCTTTTCTTTCTCTCTTCCTTTTTCTGTAGGGAGACTAATTCAGAGACAGCGGAAATCCAGATGCGATGTAGGAATCCCCAAATGTGCCTCATGCGAGCGCAGTAACGTCAAATGTGTCTATTACGATTCCGCCAAAAATGCTACCGTACCACGAACGTATATCATCTCACTGCGCGAAAGGGCTCGGGCGTTGGAAAGTGAAGTCGAAAAACTCAAAAACGATATTCAACATGCAGCAGATGCGGAATTGATGGTTCGAGGCGCTGGTCGCATTCGGTTCAAGGAAAACGATGAACCTCGCTATCTAGGTCCCTCCAGCGGCATTGCCATCACCCGTCTGGTCATGGAAATGGCCAAACAACATACCGACTCGAAGAGCATTAAAGATGTTGTCCCCGAATTGACTGCCCAGGAAATCAAATCTACTTTCTCGGAAGAGAGTCTCAAACCTACATCCAAAATTTACCCCATGATCAGCGACATTCCCCAGCCCAATTTACCCCCGCGTAATTTGACTTATCGACTCATGGACCTATTTGCTGTCAAGGGTATGTTTTCAACTTTGTCTTAGGCCTACCTGGCGTCTGGCTGACCCATTCTCTACAGCGCAAGCAATGCTTCCAACATTGCACTATCCCACGTTTCGTCGAGAAGTTGAGGAGGTTTTCGATGGCTCCGATGACCCTCGCCAGAACTTTCAACTTAGGATAGTGATTGCCATCAGCATGCAAAAACTGAGCACGGATTATGCCGGTTTGGCGGATAGCTACTACCTCGCTGCACTGCCATACCTGGAGCCGTCCCTGAAAAGAATGAACCTGGGAGCGCTACAATGCCTTGCCCTCATCGCCCAATATTCAATGCTGACACCTACGAGGACTGCAGCTTATTGGGTCGTCGGAGTGGCAATCAAATTGTGTCAAGATTTAGGGCTGACTGAAGAGTCTACCATCTCAAAGTCACCGACCGGCGAGTCTTTGAATTGCTTGGAAGTGGATATGCGGAGGAGGTTATTTTGGATTGTTTTGTCAATGGAATTTGGCCTTTCACATAGTCTTGGCCGTCCAAGCTGTCTCGCGGTCAGTCACGATCATGTCAACGTCAAGTTTTTTGAGCAGGTAGATGATCAGTACATCACACCAGATGGCATTCTTCCCGGGGCAAAACCGATATTTACCAAGTGTATTGCAATACACTTTTTGAAAATGCGGCTCTTGCAAGCGGAGATCAGACGGACGCTCTACCTGAACAGACGTGACACCCCGGTCCATGATCACGATCCATGGTTCACGCAAATGGAGGAGAAAATGGAGCATTGGGTGGTCACTTGTCCTAAAAACGATGGCGGTAGTGGGTTGGGTGAAACATGGTAAGCGCGAATGTCCACTGCCATAATTAGCATAGCTCTAACATTTTCCCCAAGGTTTCGCGGCAGACTGAATACAATGATCGTGTTCCTCTATCGACCATCGCCTCAGGTCCCCGAACCCTCTTCCATCGCTGCCGAAAAAGCCTACAAGGCTTCAATATTCAACGTTGGCATGCAACGACAGCAAATCGCGACTGGCTCAGTGGACTTGACTTGGATCTTCACACAGTCGTTGTTTATGGCCTTGAACACCATTCTTTGGTCGCTCTCATACCCTGATATTCGCAAGGACCATCCGATTGAAGAGGTCCAAGGCCATCTCGACGTAGCGCTGGAAGCCATAGTACTTGCAGCCAAAAGATGGCCTGGCGTCGAATCAGCTCTGCTCCTCTACAGAAGTCTGGTGGCCGCATGTCTCAAAGCATACAATACTGAAGAGTCGTTCGTCGTTCGCTCTCCATCCAACCCATCCAACCATGCCACGCCCGGATCGTGTCAAGACGTGATGAGTCCTCCTGATATGTCTAGCCCTTCAAGCATCACTACATCATTACAATCGCACAATGCCCGGTTCGGGAAACCTTCTATTACGGATGGGTCATCCACGGGCACGGTATCACGAGCACATTCAGCAGACCCTACTTTACCTTATTCGCATTCATCAATCTCATCTACGCCTCCCATTGGAGTAGCGAAGCCAACATCATATCAGATATGGACTCCACCAATGCAGCAACAACAGCAGCAGCAGCAACAACAGCAACAACAACAAATACATATATCAAACGACACCCCCGCCACACAGTTCACATCACCACCGTATGCTGCACCGGCGGCCGCTTGCGGAGGTTTGCAAATCGATCCAACCACTCCATTTAACATCTTCCCAACTGTGGTTCCAGGCCTGCAGGGCTGGGACCCTGATTTCAACCTTGCCTCCACAACAGCCGGTCATCTGGCCTATGTGGAAGCAGCCGTTGACCCAATGAATTGGACAAGCACCATTGCGGATCAATACTCGCAGTATCTCAACGCACCTCTCCCAGTTCCTTCGTGGCGTGAACGGACACTTAGCCACCAGGAGCAGGTGGAGTTGATGGCGTCCTTAGAAGACAACATACCCGATGTGTCTGCGCAACTTGTGGGCGATGCGTCGAACACTTTCTATCAATCATGATATGCTGTGATGACAACGACACATGACTTCCTCAGGGCCTTCCTCATGAGGGGTGGCCATTCGCTTGGGTGTTGTTAAAAAAAAAATCGTTTTCCTCTGTCTTATACATCTATCCATGCATGGGTCTGGTTACCTGTGCCTGATAATCATTCTTATTCTTAATAATAAACAATCATTGGGGGCATCCTCGGGTTTTGTATTTGACCATATTCTATTATAGTGAAAAGTCCTTTGAAACTACTCTGTAGTAACAGTAAGTATATTGCGGCAGTAGGGCATATATGGGTACAACCCTGGGTTCTTTTATTTAAACAAGGGTGTTTCATATAGGCGCATGCATTTGACTTGCATTTCCGGCAAATCGTACCCCTGTACAGAGTACGGAGGTGACTACGATGTTTCATCTTGTATTATTTCAAGTTGATAGATCCATTTGGTAGGGCTGCATTGCATACAGTAACACTGACTCCAGAAATAGACACTTGACGTCCAAACGAGCATACTGTTTATTCGAGATATTTGTAAAGATATTTCCTTTTTATCTTCAATTCTTTTAGCAATCGTTCCATGGTCCATGATCAGCGCAACTTTTTGTCGTTGTTACCGTATCATCTGGTACCATACCACTACTGTATAGAATACGCCATACCGTACTGTTTTGTACTGAAATTCTGTATCAAAAATGAAAAGGACGGTCACGTGTCGCCCAGGCTTTTTGCCGTCATCCAACATCCTCAGAACCGCCTCCCAGTTGAGTAACGAAAGGGCCGCGCCTCTTCACTTCCTCACCACCAGTCATCAGCACCCCATCGCCATTCCACCACCAACGATTACTTGGTTTTTCGACACTTTGGTGTGGCTCCCGGTGTCGAAACTCATTGGAATGTGTGACTTCTAGACGGTCGTGCAACGTCCTGCTCGCCCACTGGAGCGATTCTCGACCGGGCATCTTTTCCCTTTCTCCCTCGCCCCCTCGACTTTCCTCCTCCGCCTTCTCCGCCTTGATCAGTTTTTGGTGTCGACGATTTCCAGTCTGGATTGCCGCTTGCCGGATCGCCTGGGCTTGGTTCGCTGTCGCCAGCGGTTCCTCTCCTCGTTTCCCTATCCGCCCCCAGACCCGACTCCCATGTCTGATCGCGCTTCGTCTGCGACATTTCGAGTTGGATTTCCTTCACCTTCATCTCCTTCCGTTGGTTATTTGAAAGAAATCGACCAACCGTACATTTCATCGGATCACTTTCCCCAGACCCCGACATCGCCTCCGTTGATGTCGGTCAGCGCTCAGAGCCATGCCATTCACTTCGCATCCTCGCAAACGTCACCTAGGCAGGCAACATCACAGTCCGCAGACTACTCCTCATTGCCTTCTTCGGATCCGATGTCTTCCCAGATATCGCAACAGCCGACCTTGAGCAGTACGACGACTTCCTTTCCGACTCCGGCTAGTAGTGTGAGTGGTCATTTGGTGGACGCGGACAAGTCGACTGGTACTGGGATGCAGGAACCTGGATCAACCGCTATGGCGGATGCGGATGCGGCCCTTACACAAACGCCCCCACAGCACACACGGACAGACCATGACCGGGACATGGGCGGGACCGATCCCGGGACTGGAGTCCGCAATTCTGCAAATATCGACGCAATGGAGATCGACAACAATGACAACGGCGGTAGCAGCAATAACGGGGGTGCGGCCTCGTCGGAGAAGAATGGTTTCAATTTAGATTCCCTTCAAAGGGAATTTACCTCGGCCTACCATCTCTGCAAAAGCTGTAAGAGTTTTTCCCCAATTTCAATCCTCGCTGCAGTTCACCCTGCACCTGTTTGATTTCTTTTAGGGATTGAAATTGTTAACATTGCTCTACTTTGAACTTTACAGCCCATGTTGTGACTGGTCCAGACCCGTCGTTAGACCTTGTCTCACTGTACGGGCTCGGTCCGGCTGCGAAATCAGTAGCACGGATAGATCCTGTCACGGGAGATAAGATCAACCGACTACGGAAATCGTACGAAGGCAAGTTGAAAGGGCTTGGGCTGGCGGGCAGAAACAAGCCTGTCAAGAACGAGCCAGGCATGCCTGGTAGTCTGAGACACCTCACCATGTGGCCTGAAGAGGAATGGCAGAACCAGAAGGTCTTTGGAAAGCAAATCAAGGTTGCAGACATGGATTCGACATTGCAACAGTTGCAGGTGAAAGCCATGAAATTGGAACCAGGCACCGTGCCCAACAACGATTACTGGGAGGACGTGTTGGGTCATGAGAAGCCGTCGAAATACACGGGTGCAGGCGACGCTGGGAAAAAGACAGTTGCGCCTTCTGGGGGTGTTCGAGCGCCCAGTCAGCCGAACGGCATACCCGCTTCCGCAGAGCTGGAGCGAAGTCGGCCCAGTCGCGGACATAAGAGACGTTACGATGACAACAGCTTTATTGGTTACGGCGAAGGTTACGCAGATGACGACGACGAAGGCGCATTTTACTCAAACAGCGAAGGAATCGGGAAGAAAAAGCGCAAGAAGGTATGACGGGACTTTTTCTTGTCTCCGTATATCTTCTCTTCTTTTTATTACTCGTCCGGCAAAGATTGCTGATGCTTTTGGTCGTTTGTTTCGGCTTCGTTTTCAAAAAAGGATCACGTTCCGAAAGTGTCTACACCCTTTTCCGAGCGACTAGGGAATGGCATGTTTGGAATTGGCGCCAGATAATCAAGAGGTTCAGCAATATCGGTGGATTTAAAAAAAAAAAAAAAAAAAAAAAAAAAAGGTTCATCCCATTTTCATTTATTATACCTTCGTGCACAGATTTGAGGTTTCCTACAGGGGACTGGACTTGGAATTTGCTAGGGCTTTGCTGCAGCGGACTTTACGTGTAGCGATACTTGAGACACGGATCCAATGCATTCAGTTCTAAGCCCCTATCCTCGATCTATTTCTGGTTTCTCAGTACATTTTTGCATCATGGTGCTGGATATACCCGGCTTTCATTACTTTTTGATTGGAACGGCGTTTGGATGGAACTAATCGGACCAGACTTTGTTATTCTGTCTGCCACCTAGTTGGCACTGCTTTGGATTTGCAATCTTGTTGGAAAGTTTTAAGACTCAGATTTAATGTTTCTTCCATGTGTTTTTATAACCGTTATCATTGTCGTTCAGTTAAGGTCTATAATCTGCATGAGTTATGCTAGAGAAATGGACTGTCCTGTATTTTACCTACGATGACTTGGTAGCTATGTCACACTCCGTAGATGGTAGGATCCGCAGGTCATATCCCGTGGGGTCATGGCGGGGTCTGCTGAACCAATCCAGTATTTCGCATTTCATCTTGTCAATTCACCTTCTTCACTCCACCAAATTACACATACAAACCATTAGCAAACCAAAAGACAACACCACCAAAATGACAACCTCTTACGAGAAAGCCCTTCACCAAATCGACCAAGCCCATTCCGAAGACCCTCACCGAATCCCCTACCCGAACGCCTCCCAACTCACATCACAACAAGATGAAGTCCAAGAAAACGAAACAATCCCCTACGAACTCCACTACGCCACCAAAATGACCCAGTACCTCGATAAACGCCAGCCGCACGCATCCGATTTCCTCCGCCTCGCTATCCGCGCTCAACACTTTCGTCGCTGGGAGGTTCCGAGGAACAGTTATCCGATGACTAAAATTGGTTATCATTCGTGGAGGAATTTTCTTGCGAAACGGCAGGCTGAGCTTGTTGTTGAGATCTGTGTGGAGAGTGGGTATACACAGGAAGAGGCGGAGAGGGTTGGTGCGTTGGTGAGAAAGGAGGGGTTAAAGCGTAACCCTGGGGAGGAGGATGAAACGCAGGTCCTGGAAGATGTGGCCTGTTTGGTATTCTTGGATGATCAGTTTGATGATTTTGAGAAGGGAATCAAAGATGAAGAGAAGGTGGTTACTATTCTGAGGAAGACGTGGGTGAAGATGTCCAGCAAGGGACAGGCGATGGCAATTGAGTTGAGTGGGGAGATGTCGGAGAGGGCGAGGGGATTGGTGCAGAAGGCTTTGAGTGGTTGATACTTTTGGTTGATTTGGCTCTATTGTACATTGAAAAGAAAAAAGCCCGCCGTGCTATATGGTATATCATACATCCAACGCCGAAAACAAGAAAAACGAAAAAATCGAAGAGTGGAAGGAAGGTGGGGAGGAGGGGAGATGGTTAGGCGGTGTCAATCAACCTCACTAGAGCAATAGCAGCACCAGCAGCGACACCACCGACAAAACACATCTCAATTCCTCCCCGGATACCAGCGACGATGTTCTCCCGTCCACTCCATCCACGCACGATGCACGTCTTGATATATCCAAATGCCAATAACGTCACTGCCATCACGCCGATGCTATAGTATAGCGCGACCAGAACCTGGTTGAAAATGAAATACGGAATCAGCGGGATGAATCCGCCGACAAAATAACAAATGGCCAGGGTAATGGCCGAGATCCATGCTTGGTTGCAGTCCGGTTGCGATTCTTTGTGGTGAAAGGTTATGAGAAACTCGAGGAGGCGGTCATGAGAAGCATGCAGGGAAGCGTTAATTTGGCTGACGACGTCGGAGGGGATACCGTGGGAGGCAAAAATGTTGTGCACAATGGCACCAGTTTCGATGGGCGAGGTTTCGATCAATTCTTTTGTTTCGCGCACGGTGGTTTCATACGACTCTCTACTTCAATTAGAACCTGCATCCCGACACATGCATTTAAAGGAAAAACATACGCTTCACTCTTTGCGCCGACATAACCACCCAATCCCATCGAAAGCGCACCCGCCGTCAACTCCGCCAACCCTCCCAGAACAACAACCTTGGTGTTCCCCAGCGCAGACAAACCTGCACTCAGCGCAAACGGAACCGTCAATCCATCTGAAAGACCTAAAATTGCGTCCGCGACGATGCGCGGGTTGATGCGCGCGCGTGTGCTGCCACTGGAAGTACTGTTGGCGTCGTTACCATCATTATCGTCGTTTTCGAGGTTAGATGTGTTGTGGAATGTGCTATAGGAGCGTTGCGATTCGAGGTCTGAGTCGGAGGCGTGGAGGGTATCTGAGTCCTCGGGAGAGAGGAGTGGCTTTCCTGAGATAGGGTTAGCAAGGGTCTATGGAAATTGTTCGCGAAGGAATGAATACTCACTGCTATCTTTTGATTTGCGGTTGGTCTGGCCTGGAAAGAATCTTTGCTTGACGAATAAAAGCGCCATTTTGCCTTGACAGTATCTGAAGCTTCTCCGTGAAAATCGACAGGAACCGTTGAGCTCTGACGTCAGGGTCAAGTCAAGATTTTCTTTTTCTGACAGTCTAACGGTGACTTTGTACGGAGTATAGAACAACACGCAGTATTGGAAATAATAAGGAGAGATCAATCAACCTGAATAACTTAAGAGAGGAGGAGCCCGATCCTTTCCAACTTATATCTCCTCGCCTCCCAATGTGACAAAATTGCAACACTTGCCGTTTGGTAACAGATGAACTGACTTTCCTGGCCAATCAGGGCCCAGTCAAAAGTCAGCGGCGGAGATCTCTTCCATAATTTCCTATCGCCAAAATCAGCAGTGGCCAATGGATTCATAATTGTTGCTAATCCAGGATATGTGAGTGGTTGTTCTTGTTTTTCTAATGTTTCTCTATGATTGTTCTCTTTTGTTCTGCTTCTTTTTATTCGATGGGGCTTGTTATAGAAGGGTTAGGAGAGCTGTCATTGGTGTGTGAGTAGAGCGGAGTTATTAACCCTGTCAGCCCTATTACTGCCTATTGCCTACAGAGTATTCTCACTAACAAATAGAACAAATCAAGGTATCATTTACTAAAACCTGTACAAAAAGCCAAAGAAACTCCAAAGTCATAACATGCGATGCAATCTGATCATTTCGACCCGAATGCTTGATTATTGACAGACGAAGACACCTCCCTTAATACCCTTACAGAGCGAGGGCGAGACCAAGGATACCAGCGGCGCCAGCAACGGTGGCAGCCATGCCGGTCTGAGCGGGAGCAGCACCCTCCGAGGTGTCGCTGGCAGCAGCGCCAGAGCTCGACGAGGACGAAGACGACGAGGAGTCGTCAGAGCTGTCGTCGTCGTCAGAGTCCGAAGTAGAGGTAGAGGTGGTAGTAGCGCTGCTACCGGTGGAGGTAACAGTCGAGCCGGAGGTGGGGGTGGCAGAGACGCTAAGGCTGCTGTCGAGGTCCCAGAGGTAGCTCTGGACGCCGGTGGGGACACTGGACCACCAGTCTGGATACTTGCTGCTCTCGATGTCGTTGAGGACAGAAGTCTGGGCAGCGGAGTTGGTCAGGATGTTCTGAAGCCAGGTGCTGGGGATGGCGGTAGCGAGGACCTCGACGACGGAGCTGGGGACGTCAGGGATGTCGATGCCGGTGGGGATTGAAGAGAGGATGTCGGTTTGAGAGGCACTACGGTGTGTTAATCTTGATCTTCTTTCTGTCATTTAAATGTGAGAACTTACAGCGAGCCGAGGTCAGCGATGATGTCGGAGTCGATGTTGCCCTCCTGAGGGGCAGCCATAGCAGAAGCCGAGAGGAGGAGCAGAGAAAGAGTCTTGTAGTACATTGTGATGGTATGTAGAGTAGATACTTTTGCTTCTTAACAAAAAAGATTTGGGGTAACAAGAAAGGCCGAGAAAATATGCAAGAGAAGGAGGGTGATGAATCTGTGTCTGAAGAACCAACCTCAGTGGAGGCAACGGCCTCTTTAAATATCAACATCCTCCCATCCACCGTGGGATTAGCCCAGGAATACACGAGAACGCCTTGCCCGAACTCAAAGAAACAACCGAATCAGGGTCCATTGTGCCGCCAACACAAGCCGGCAGTATCTGGGCTAGTGGTGTTGGGCACGAGCCTTTCTCATTCGGCCCCCAACTCTCGTCGCCATACTAGCTTTGGTAGCGTTTGACTGCGCCAACCGGAGGCTGTCCGTGCAGATGCGCTGTCGACGCCGATCACCGGGCAATGCGGCTCTGCCTCGTATTCAGACAGGATGATGTTCATTAGTGAGCCTTACTGAGCAGGTACCTGTACAAAGTATACGGAACAGAGTACGGAGTAGCCCGTACAGAATACAAGAAGAGTAGAATACAGGAGTAAGCCAACCTAAGAAATGATTATAATACTATACTAACACAGTTTAGAAGGAATAGCCTGGCTATGTACTCCATACTTGTAGAGTCAGCCCGTCCACTCCCAGACAAGCTACCCCCATAAAATTACCCTTTCTGGTTAAAGCGAGATCCTTCTTGGCACTTAATTTCCCTCTCATTCTCAAACAACACTCGTTCTCACATTCTTTGTTCGTCACAAGAACCCTACGCCAGCGCAATCGAGTCATTTCCGCGGGTTATCCCTATTGCGCGATTAATCAATCGACGGTCAATTCAATAGCGATCGCCAATCTCGATGTCTAGCCCTGTCTAGCCTTATATTGTTCTTTCACCGTATGGCGTCCTGTGCCGCTGGACAAGGCAGACTAGCACTGATCGCGGGGATGATTGTGTGATGGGGCTGATTTTGGTGTTCTTCCGGCAGTTCCGGTCCCATCGCCTAGCCGGCCAATTAGAGGGAAGAAACTCCATGTAGGCGGGCATATAAATCACTTCAATGTAAGTTAAGTGCCTTCGGGCATTTGGTCAATTTGAAACGATACAGAGAAGATTAGCATGGCCCCTGCACTAAGGATGACACGCTCAATCAAAGAGAAGCTACCAGTTTTTTTATATTCTTTACTGGGCTAAATTGATGGTTTTTGCCTAATTGGGATTTATAAGTTGCAGTGAGAGTGCGTTCGAAACCGCTGTGCTGCAACCCACTGGTGCTTTTTTTTTTTTTTTTATTGTTCCCTACAACTTCAAGTACGAACATGGCCCAAAACCAGAGCCAAGTTCATCGGCCACAATTTCCAGGCGAACCCCAACATCTTTACAGGGAAACTGTAACACCCTCTCTTCCTCGATATCAATGTCACTCCGTAGAAAAAGATAAATACGCGACAGAAATGGGTCACCTCTTTAAAGGCAGGATGTAAATGCTGCACGCGCTCATAAATGCTGAACTGGTGCCATCGACCCATGCATAGAGTCAGATCATCTCTAGTCCAAGTTCAAGCAGCATCGTCGGCAGAACGGAGCGTAGATCAATTCGATCTCCTGAATCGAATCCCAGAAGCAGGAATACCGGGATCTCAGCACTTTGCAGACGAAGGATGTTCTTTCTTCAAAATCTCGTGAAATGGGATGTATAGCGCTTTACAAACCTCGCAAGTGAGGTATTCTTCATAGACGCGCGGGTAGCAGTCAAGGCCAACAGACAGTTTCTCTACGCTTTCACTGACTGAGCTTAGTGCGTGGACGATGGGTTCGCCTTTTGAAGAGCACTTTGTCGAGCCATGAACATGCTAGGCCCAGGTGGAGGTTCTTGGAAGTCTTCGTCTAACCAAGGAGAAACAGGACATCCTCTTCTGTAACAGTCGACCAGGCCAGTACCAGGGTGCATAGGTTCCCAAGGTTGCACTTGAACTTTGGTTGGCGTGCTTGTTTTAGTTCCATGATATCCCTCAGCCGGATAGCAGCCACATATTGGAGTGCCAGTAAATAAAACCACCCCATAAATTGTTCCTTGTTGTAGATGGACGGAAACCCTTCTATTTCCTCCAACTCGCCTGGTAGGTGACCGCATGGCTTTGAAAACGGCATATTCCCACTATAACCAACCATCTGAAGCGCCTTAAATTGCGGCAGTATGTTATTGACGCTAGAAGTGCATGCTTCACCATCCGACCAGGATACCCAGCTTGCCAAGCGAACGAGAAATCTAAGCAAATCGTCCTCAAATTAAGGAGCTTGGAGATACAAACCGTCCAGAAGGTATGGAGATCCCCTTCGTAGAGCGCCTGGATCCATCCATCTGCATCAGGAAATCGAGCTCGCTGGATGAGGTCGATTGTTTTGTCAACCACGTCGATGAGTACTGTCCGTTCTCGGGGCCAATCCCGCAAATGCCATGAATTCAGCCAGCTTAACCATTCAACATCTGTATAATACTGCCGGAAAAACACCACATGATACATGAAATCTGCTAATTCCGGTCTTGCGAAGAAGGTACGCAGGAGTTGGAGTGGTGAGCGGAGACGAGACGCATCCCAGTCTACAGTAATTCTTCGGTATAGAGAAGGCTCAGCAGAAGCTCGTAAAGCCCTGCAGGTCTGAAAATGTAGATTGGTTATCTAGTGGGAGGTATTCGAGGGTTTTTTTTTTTTCTTTTCCCAGCAATCTCAATCTTGTGGAAGTGGGTGGAATGTACCAGCGAAAGATGGCATTGGTTTGACGGGCAAACATTAGTGTAATGCGTTGATGATTTGGATACAATATGGATGGCTGATGGGAAACTGGTTGTTTGATGAATAGTGGGAGCACGACAAAAACTCACATGCCACACATTGGATGACGAAATACTTCTATCATTGAAAAGGTCTAGGAATACGATTTCTTACCCATATGAAATCACATATAGTAAGTCATTTTGACAAAAACACCGTTGTATATTAAAGAAGTGTAAACATAATTATCATGCAATACCTGTTTATCCAGTACAGTACAGAGTATCCGTTCGTAATTAATGTACAAGTTTTCATATGGAAAATATACAATCAAAACCCATCACATTGCGTCAGGTATTTAATCAAGCACCCCCCTCCCTCTTTGCATACTCCTCCTCCATCCTTTCCTCATACAACCGATCCGCCTCCTCCTTACTCAACGCCCGATCGCTCCCCGCATTCTCCAAAAGATCCGAATTCTCAGCCGCAATGTATCCGGGCGCCGTTACCACGCCACCGGAGCCAGTGCCCACGAGACGGCCGCTGCTATTGTTTTCCATGCCCGAGAGGGCTTCGATGGAGGCGTGGCCTGCGGAGCCAGAGGGGCGGGTTTCGTTGGAGGATTTGGTCTGGTCGTAAGTGGGGATTGGCATTTTGGGCTGTTTTGATTCAATGAGTGTTGTTATGTGGAGGTTTTGTATCTGTGCGTGTTCGTAGGAGTGATAATGTTCTGGGGATAGATGGATGAGGTAGCAATGTACAAAGTACGGATGTAAGTATATTTATATCGACTCAACTGTGGCGATAAGAGCGGGACGTCATTGCTAGATAGGAACGGTGGCTATAGTGGCTGTGCTATGACTGAGTCAATGCCGTTTATGGTAACGTTATTCATCGTCCGCCACTTCAGCCGTTTCGTTCTAAACATAGCGAAGCGACTAACATAATTTTTAGGCTACATCAAATACTTCCATTTTTAAGCCGCTTCTATTCAATTCCAAAATTTACAGATGCTAGAAACCTCTTCTTCACCCTCGAGCATATAGCTCAAGAACTGATGAAAAGGAAATGAAGAAATGTCCTCGAGAGGAACGGTGCCAAAGAATACGCCTGTCAATGACCCGAAGGCCGTTGAACGGACTGCTCCGCCGCGCTGTGCAATGCAGGGCCCAATCCGTGGTAAGCCGCCTACTTGAGCGCAGCCACCCAAACAAGGTAAGTATGAAGAAAAAAAAAAAAAAAGTCTAAAGGGTGGCGGGGAGAAAAGGTTTATATAAGGATGAGTGGGGAAAGGGCGATGCACTAGTGTTAAGCGAGAGCTAATTAAAGAATATTATTGGTGACTGTATACCCCTTGCTTATTCAGAATAAAATATGTTTGCAGTGTTTGTATATCACTTTGGGGCATTCGAAAGCCTTGTATATTGGAGATACGCTAGCTACCAAGGGCCGACACAGTATATACTCGAAAGTAAAAAGTATACGTAAATCAATAAGTATGTATCTACTCAGCGCTCAAGGCAAGACATGCATCCACAGCTAAACCAACCCTGTATACCGTCAGCTCCTACCCTATGTTGGTTAACCATTTACGGATCTACTTACCTCCCCTGCTTTATCTTGACCACATCGTCAATGACTTCCCGGTCGAGATTAGGAAACATGTTTGACAATGTTTCTACTACATCATTGTGCTCCACACGCTGTATCTGCCGCGCCTGTGCATCTTCCGCGCTGGCTTGACGCGCAGCCGCATCCTGTGCATCCAAAACACGTTCAAGATGCTGCTGTGCCCGTGGCCTCTCACCTGACCGTCGTTCCTCAGTACTATGACGAGGAGGTTGGTACACGTTAGGAGAAAGTCGCGGGGGTGCCGGAGATAAAGGTGATGCGCCAGACGGTGAGTGTCGATCTTGCGGCGAATCCGGCTCGTCTGAGAACATTCTTCCGATTGTCGACAATGGCTTCTGAATAGTCCGCAGCAACCCGGCGACCGGCGCCGTATCTTCGTCGCTGGATGGATCCTTTCGCCCCATGTTCCGCTGACCTTCGACAGAACTCCGCGCTGACTCTTGCGGACTGTCCGAACGCTCTGCTGCTTTCTGCTCCATGGTCTCGGTTTGGCGGTTCTGCTCGGCAATAGCAGATACAGCAGCCTCGACATTGTGCTCAAACTCTTCGTCGCTCACTGTCAAACTTGTCCTGTCAAGTGTTTCAATGAATTGAATGGCTCCAGACAATGAAGACAGATAGTAGCCTGCTTCCCCCCCAAGCTTCTCCTGGTTGCGGAAACGAAGAATATACTGAATGTTAGAAACCAAATGTTCAGGGTTGGCTCGTAGCACCACAAAAATCAGCAGTGGCACGAATGAATCAGCCGAAGTATCTCCTTTCTTGGAATTCCTTAGTAGACCTACAAAATTGTATCAGCATTATCCTTATTCGCGATCTGCGAAACCTGATCACTTACCAAAAATAACTTTGCAGCAATTCAAAATGCAAATAACCTTATCGCGCGGTGCCCGGTACCCGTTGATCTTCATGAGCTCTGCTCCATGTCAGGTATATGCATCACAGGATATAAAAGAAATATTCACCTTGCTGCGCTAGATTAAGAAATCGACGACCATGATTATTCACTGACGAAATATCCAGATGCTCTTCCCGTACCCAGCTATAGATCTTCATCTTCTGTGCGAGGACGTCATCCCGCTCAATATCTTCCTGGTGTTGACCTCGTCTCCACGGCCCATGAAGCCTTTCAAGTTCTCTCCGCTTGCTTCGACTTGCACTCCGCGGGATCGAGGGTGGTTGTGGGATAGCCGGGGAAAATGTCTGCGAATATAATCGATTCATCACAAGCTTCTCCATTCCCTCCTTGGCATTATCGAATTCATTGTCCGAAACGTCCCTCCAAACCTCACACATAGCCATCTTGTTCGTAATGAACGCCAGGAAGTCACTAATAATCTTAACCTGTTCATGGACCATCCATTGTCTCTTTCCGAATTCGTGAAGAAACGAGCGCAGGAATTTAGCAACAGGGTCTGCAGTACGATGACGTAGTTGTTCCAGGAATCGATGAAAGTCGAATCGTTTCTCAGGCTCAGGTGGTGGAGGTGCTGTAGAACTTGAGGAACGCCGGCTTAACATATCTTCATCGTGTATATGTGGGTTGCTAGGGGCGCGTGCAGGCTGCTTTTCGGACGAAGAGGGTGCTGTTCCAGCCGGGCCAGGGGCGACTTCGACTTTCTTTTTGTGGTCCAAGCTTGATTTGCGAGGTGGGTAATTACCAAAGAACTGTTCAGCAAGTTCCAAACGTGGCGAGATTAGCTGCTCTGGACCTTCCTGAAATTGTCCCATAATGCTCTGGATTTCGGGCTGCGAGGAGTCTTGGTCCCGGCCATCTTCCGCACCTAGCATTCCCTTGTTGTCACCTAGCACTTGCCCCCCAGGAACATCCGGCAGCTCTTTCTCGTTCCATTCCGAAGATAGATCGATTGGAGATTGCGGAGGATGCGTAGGTTTGTTGGTGTTAGCTGGGTTGAGGTAGACTTCGTCCTTAGCCGGCGGCGGAGGGGGTGCGTCGCTGGACGACGATGGTCGGTCTTCGGGTATATTAGTCGACACCGAAAGTCCCTTCATTTTCTCCGGAAGCGACTCATTGCGTGACGGCGTAGTGGGCGGAGCCTTCATGGTAGGTGCAGCCGTTTCTGGCTCGTGCGGAGTTTCTGGCTTCATCCCGGTCTCCTGTACATTCTCCTTTTCCGTAGTCGTGACCTCCATCACTGGTTCCTGACAGATCGACTCAGTCACCTGCTGCAATTCTTCGGTCCCTTCATGGGGAGGGGTTGGATAAGCATCTCCCTGCCCAGTAAGACTCGGGGAAGCTGGCGGTTCGGTGGTAGACATAAGCTATCTGCATGCGATTCCCAACGGTAAATTAGTAGGTGAGGAGCGCGGTTCAAGCGGGAACTTGGAGCATCATGAGGTGTGATCTAAAGTCTATCAGTGAGCTCTGCTGCAAATGCCAGACAGAGGAAAGAGTTGTTGTTCATTTCATCCTCGAGAATAATCGACAAAGCGCCGCGGCGGGCATCATGGTGGACCCACTTCGTACGGGGCTTGGATCATCATTGTCCCGGATAAGCCGACAGATTACTACGGTTGCCCCGAGGAATACATTTATTCAAACACGCCAGTGTCAATGTGTGGGATTTTTTTCTCCTTAAGCACGGCGGGACCCGTGCTCCCAAGTGAAGAGACATGCGATTTGCTACGGCAACGAGGGCCAGACAGTTTCCGAGCCCACAATGTTCACCGGGATATCCAGATCCATGACGCTAAAGATGATGGTCAACTCTTGAAGACTGTTCCTGCTCACTTGACCTTCATTTCGACTGTGTTGTCATTAAGGGGGGACCATTTTCACTCTCAACCCCTGGTGGACAAAGAAAGTCAATCCGTGCTCTGTTGGAACGGGGAGGCTTGGAAAGTAGCCGGAGAACCTGTTCAGGACAATGACACGAAATTGATTTTTCAACTATTCTTGCAGGCAGCTAAACCATCATCTGCATCTGGGGATGTTGTTCAACGGTTTGCGGATCTGATCAGTAGCATATCAGGCCCTTTCTCATTCGTGTTTTATGATGCTCTCAGCTCGAAATTGTTCTTTAGCAGGGATTGTCTGGGGAGGCGGTCTCTTCTGCTTGGTATCAATGAGAATGGAAGCTTAAAACTTTGCAGTTTGTGTGATGGCACATCTTCAACTGTTTTCGAGGAAGTTGATACAAATGGAGTGCACATGATTGATCTCACGGCTCCTGGTACGACTACAGCGTATAGCATTCAAACTCTACCTTGGTCGAATGATAAAGACTTACGAGCGAACTGCCCCGTACGTGACAGTCCTAGTGCTGGTGGGAATTTGTACTGACGGAGTGTAGATAAACCCAATCCCACCAATGAACAAATCCGTCCCCAACGGCAATCCCAGCTTAACCATAGAATCAACTGTCGTCGGTGAGCTCGAGCAAAAACTCCGCCAATCCCTCAAGCCGAGGGTCAAAAACGTCCCAGGCCAAGGTCAAGGCCAGGACGCAACAAAAGTAGCCGTGCTATTCTCCGGTGGCCTCGACTGCACGCTCCTCGCCAGACTCTCCCACGAAATCCTGCCAAGCAATGAAACAATCGACCTCCTCAACGTTGCCTTTGAAAACCCTCGTGTTGCAGCAGCAGCCGCAAGAAGCAAAGAAACCCCCACGGAATCAGTCTACGAAAGCTGTCCAGACCGTATAACCGGACGATCAGCATTCGCAGAGTTACAAAGGATCTGTCCAGACCGTAAATGGCGACTTGTTGCAATCGACGTACCCTACATGGAAACAATTTCCCATCGAGATCGCATAAAACGCCTCATGAGACCACATAATACCGAAATGGACCTTTCAATCGCATGCGCGTTATACTTTGCATCCAGGGGACAAGGTACGGCGTACGAAGGCGAAGAAGCATTCCCTTACACAACCCCTTCCCGTGTTTTACTCTCAGGGCTCGGCGCAGACGAATTATTTGCTGGGTACGGCAGGCACGGAGTCGCATTCAATCGCAACGGATATCAAGGTTTGATCGACGAAGTACATCTAGATGTCAGCCGTCTTGGGAAACGAAACCTCGGCCGCGACGATAGAATCCTCTGCACCTGGGGTCGCGAAGCACGGTATCCATTTCTTGACGAGGAGTTTGTGTCTTGGGTTTTGCAGACCCCGATCTGGGAAAAGTGTGGATTTGGAATGGCTGATTCTGAAATCCCGGAGTCAGAGAAGGGGCTTGATGCAGAGAAGAAGGCACTCAGGCTTGTTGCTATCAAGTTGGGTATGGAGAAGGTCTCGCGGGAGAAAAAGCGAGCTATTCAGTTTGGGTCTAGGACGGCTAAGATGGAGAAGGGTCGTACGAAGGGGACAGATGCATTGAGCTAATTCTATTGATACCGGATACGTATTGCATATTTATTGTGAGTGGTTGGATACTCGAGCGAAACTATAATCTCTGGCCTTCTATCGAGTGAAGGGGGCATGATATCTTAGTTTTCTCAATCTCTGACAGAAAACATAATTCGTGACGGGACAGAATTTCCAAACGTTCTCAGAAACTATCCGGTAGTCGAAAACCTGCTGCTTTTCAAGGTTTCAAGGACATGTCGGGCTTGGGATGAAGCTTTAAAAGGCAAGTGTCACACTAGACGGTGTCTTCCGTGCTTATGACTGAACTGCTATGAAGAAAGAGATGTAGCGTTGGTGAATAGTTCCACAGGCATCTAGAGTGGATATCCACTTATCAATCACTCAAGTTTGTTAAATGATGATAAGAAATCGATAATCTCGATTAAAGCGAAGAGAGTCAATCGAGAGCACCAAGGAAATGAAGAGAAGAAAGAAGGAGCTCTCCTTCCGATTAGGGCCACCCCAAAGCCCCAAATCCCACTAACCAACAACAGAAAGCGGTATACTCCGCCAGAACGCTCTGGCCCCTTTGATAGATCCTTCCTCTTCAGCATCCTCTACCTTATTTACACTGAGTACGATGCAAATGCAACGTACAAACCAGCAATGATGACAAAATTTCAGATACTTCCGAAACCTGCTCCCTGTCCCCTCTTCCACATTGTTTATCATTAGTTCTTGCTGCCTTTGACTTCGTTCATTGGCCTCCTTCACGCTGCAATTGTTGGTTGTTAGAAGAAGAGGTATGGATGGGTTGTTGGTCAGAGGATAGATGGTAAATGGTGTATCTATGGAAGAGAAGAGAGTTGGTTTATGAGGGGTTTAAAAGGCAAGTCTGAGCTGGTAGTGTGTACTTTACATCGATGGAGACGCAATAATAAACTACATGGAGCATGATCTACTTGTACGAATTTGATATGGACGTAGTGAATTGAATTCAAGTTGACAATCTGGTAGCGATAAAAAGTAAGCAAACTATTAAGCACGATCACGAGTCAATCGTACTACAACCGCAAAACAGTCGTAGGAGACGTCAGAACCGATCGGCCAACACGCAGAAAAACATAGAACCAAAAAAAGAAAACGATAAGAAACTTTTAACCGCCAAAACTGACAATTACGTCTGACGTACAGTGACAGGGCTCAAGGCTCCGCTCACCGCTCAAAAACCACATAATAAACAACCCGGAAAACAACACGCCAACACAGCGGGGATATAGAACTAAAAAGCAACAAAACTAAATTATGCCTTGTTCTGGGCAAGAGCCTTCCAGTATGCCTCACGCTTCTGCGACTCCTCAAGAGAACTTTCAAGCTCAGCAATTCGGTGTTCCAATTCATCCTGTCGCTGCAACTTGCGAGCTCGAGACTTGCGGGCGGCCTCGGTATTCCGGGCACGTTTCATTGCAACTGGGTCGTTCGAGTCAAACTTGATGACAGGCAAAGGCTTGCGCTGACGAGCATTTACTCCAGCGACAGACGAAGGTTTGGTAGAGGACGCACGCGAAGGAGAAGGAGAAGGAGCGAGTTGAGGTGCAGGAGACGAGGGAACATTGACCACCGGAGATGGAGGAACAGGGAGGACTGAAGCCTTAGGGGGAGGCATGGCCGCGGCGACCTCCATGGCAGTAGAGTCAAATGCAGCCGAGAAGGCATCGGTGTCATTAGTGGGGAAAAGAGGATCCCACTGCTCGTGGCCTGGCGGGAACTCCAACTCCGTGAACATGGGGGAAGGGTCTTGGCTGAAATATCCGGGCGACTCGAAGGACGGCGTGCTCAAATCCGTAAGAGAAGCCGACGGCGGGGCCGAGGCATCCATCATCAGATCCTGGGGCGAGATAGTGCCCGAGGGAGCACCAGCTATCGAGTCAGGAACTGGCCCCAAACCCGCAGTAGAGAATTGCTGAGGGGAGAGCACAGTGGTGTCGAAGTCGTTCCCAAAGGGGTGCGACGGGATATCATTAAAAAAATCAGACATTTCCAGGCCTTGGATGAGATTAGACTGCGACATGAGGCGGCGACGCTGGTAATTCTGAAACTGTTTCCACTGTAGCTGTTTCTGATACTGACGATTCCAAGTGGAATAACTACCGGAACTGTTGAAGAGTGGAACGGGAGGACGGGGCGAATTAAAAGGCACAGAGGCGGCGTGATAACGCGAAGCGTACTTCCGAACGGAAGTATTGGAGTGATTAAACGACGAAGACAATGAAGACTGAGGAAATCCGGTCGGCTGCGGAAGAGACCTGGTCACTAATTGACTGGGCTGCTGCTGAAGCTGTCGAAGACGATTCTGCTGGGACTGGACCAGGAAAGGTTCCAAGGCCGAGGGTTTATGGGTTGTAGTTGTTGGAGCAGGCGCACGCGAAGGCGTTGTCGTCGGCACGGGCGCGGGTGTTGTTGGAAAGAGCACAAAGTCCTCCTGAAGGGAGTTGTTGCCGCTGTTGTTGTTCTTGTTGTCTTTGGATTCTGATTTGGGAGCCTGAGGCTGCGAAGGAGATGAGGGAAGCCATGGTTGCTGATTGGTATCCGTGATGAACGACGTTAAGTCGAACGTAGAAATGTTGTTGTTGGAAGAACTTGAGCTACTCGAGGCGAGGCTAAAGTTCAGAGGTTCTGGGATGGGAGACTCTGAAGGAGGAATAGAAGAGGCACGAGGCTGAATCGACGTAGTCCGTAAAGGATTAATGGTGTCTGTCTCGAAGGAGAAAGACGGGCTCTCAAAGACTGAAGAGCTTAGCAGGAGTTCATTTTGACGGTGATTAAAGTCGGTAAGTGGAAGCTCTAGATTCTGAATGGTGAAGTTGGAAAGATAATATCAAATAAAAGGTGGTGAATGATAGCAGTATTTTATGCAGAGAAGGAGAGGAGTAGTGTGGAAGAATTGAAGCGAGAAAAAAAGAGAAAAATAGCGACCAGGCAGCGAGAGGGGGAAATCAGGCACTTCTTAAACTGCCCGTTCTCCCGTGCGCCCGTGACCTCACTCAGACCAATCAGAGTTTGCACTGCCCCGGTCAGTTTCTCTAGTCCATATTAGGACTAGTATGGCCCGTGCTTAGCGACACCAACTGTGACTCACACCTACTGAGGTCTGTAATTGGCCAATTCTGCACTTCCCCTAAAAGCATATACGAGGTACCTGCGACTACACGGGAAATTGCGTTGCGCACAAAGTATCTCAGAATATCGGTCTGGATGGATCAGTAAGGCCATAGTGATGAAATCAAGGCCATTGGCCAATAATAGATAAAATAATCGAGTACTAGGCATCACAGCGACAGTTCCTACGGCGCATTTCTGCGTCAACATTCAAGGCAGCCACCGGCTAAGCCTTCCCCATCATGCATCTGGTCCACGATCTTTCCCTAATTGACTCCCCGCTTGAGCCTCACTGCGGCTGAACCTTTTTTCAAGAGTTGACGTCGTCAAAAGCGCGTCCTCCGTTAACACTTGGGCACTTGTACGGATACATACACTACTACTCCGTCGGACTCCCGATCGAGTTAGCCCGACCGCTGCAAATCCCGCGGGTGTTCGGCGACACGGTGTTATCATCACTCCCCCTCGGCTATTCTCGCTGTTGTTCAATCGACCACGTAGGCAATGCGGTTCTTTCGCTTACTGTATTTACTACAACACGGGAAATACAAAAATAATGATAGAACAAGAATAAGAATACTCTATTAATTATTACCTACTGGAGATTATACATGGACCGACCGAAGCCAGCCCAACATTAACAGCGGTACTAATGATAATCGCGGTCAGTCAGAGAGGAGACATCCAAACACGACTGCATCCGCTTCTTTTCCCCCACAGGGTATCAACGCAAAAAGCAACCCAATAGCAACAAAACAAACAAACAACAGCAAGCCAACAACGCGTCACATGGTATCGATCTAGTCTGCGCACAACGGGAACACACAACGAGGCCGTGTCCGGGTATCGTTGCGAGGGGATATCATAAAGGAATGGAAAAAACTGACTTCGACAAGCAGAAAAGAAATGTCAAAGCAGCATTGGGTATCATTGACACTGTGCTCAATGGTGAGGTATCCAGAGAGAACATGCGCCAGTGCGAAAAAAAAAAAAAAAATCCAACAAACAAACATGAACTCTTTTTTTTTTCTGATTTTTGTGCTCTTTTCTCGTTCTCACTTGTTCGTTTTTAGAAATTATGCAAAACAGCTTCGTAGAATGCAAAAACTTCAACTCACGGTCGAGGCACTAAGGGGCAAGTAGGGTTGATCCCACCATCGCTCGTATTCCACGATGCGCCTCGGACGACTGATAGTTCATGCGGCAGCCTGGACAGGAGTGGAAGAAGTGACGTTGTTGGTCTTGGACTCCTCAGCAGGGGCCTCAGCGGGCTTGGATTCCTCCTGGGCGGGCTTCTCCTCAGCGGGAGCGTCCTTAGCGACAGGCTCGGGCTTGTCCTCAGCCTTGGCCTCGGAGTCGGCAGGAGTCTCCTCCTTCTGGTTGTCCAACTTCACAGCCTTGCTAGGCTTGCGGAAAAGACCGCCGAGCTTGTTGCCCTTCTTGCCCTCAGCGTCCTCAGTGTCGGAAGAGTCACCCTTTTTCTTACCAAAGTTGCCGAAGAAAGAGGTGCGGCGTTTGTCCTTGGGGGTCTCAGCAGGAGACTGGGCGGCAGAAGCGTCCTTGGCGGCCTCGCCGTCAGCGGGAGCGGTCACGCTCTCAGGCTCGATGGGCTTGCCAGCAGCACCCTCGACAGGGTTATCGAGCTGGGGGGCGGTGCTGGCGACCGAGGACTCAGCGGGAGCGGCGGCCTCCTTCTCAGTCTTCTCCTGAGAGGGGCTGCTGACCTTCTGAAAGAAGTTGCCGAACAAGGAGCTGCGCTTAGACTTCTCAGCCTTCTTGTCTTTCTTCTCTTCCTTGTCGTCCTTCTTCTCCTCCTTCTTCTCCTCCTTGTTCTCTTCCTTCTTTTCTTCCTTGTTCTCTTCCTTCTGCTCGGCCTTGTTCTCCTCCTTGTTCTCAGCAGATTCGACGGCAGGGGTAGCTATAACCAGTTAGCCTTATGCTGCTACGTAGTCCCAGTACGGTGTACTCACCCTCGGCAGGAGTCTCAGTGGCCTGAGCAGATTCAGCAGGAGCTTCGGTGTTGGCCTCAGTCTTGGCCTCCTCAGGCTTCTCTTCCTTCTTCTCCTCGGTTTCCTCCTTCTTGCCGAGGAGGGATCCGAAGAGACTAGCGCGCTTGCGAGACTGAGAACGGCTCTTGGCGGACTTGTCCTTGTTTTCCTTGTTCTCGGCGCTCTCCTCAGCAGGAGTGGCCTCCTCCTTGGGCTCCTCCTTAGCCTCTTCCTTGTTCTCAATGGGCTTCTTGGCAGCCTCAGCGCCAGCGGGCTTGTCTGGAAGTTGTTAGCTTGCAATCACTTAGGACTCGGGAATTGTCACTTACTCAGCTTCTCGAGCTCAGCCTTGTAACCATCGCTGCCGGTGATAGCCTCCTTCTCAGACTTGGCGTCGGCGATCCTGGCCTCGAGAGCAGCGACCCAGCTGTCACGCTCAGCAGCGTTGCCGGCCTGGAAGGTGTGTTTGGTACCGTTCACCTTGAAGAGGAACTCGGTGGCACCCTCCTTGGTGAGGTCGGTGGCATCGGCCTGTTCTTGTTAGAGCCAACCATCGAAGCTGAATGATATCGAGCACATACCAAGCCGAAAATACCAGCGGGGGTGGCCTTGTCTTCAGCGCGCTTGGTGAAGAAAAAGAGACCCTTACCGGTCTGGCTAGCCCAGGCGGCAATAGGGTTGGCAACAGCGGGCTTCTCGTGCTGGTGGAAGACAGCGAGTTGCTTGGCCTCGACAGCATCATCCTGGAAGTAGAAGAAACGCTTGGAGAAACGGAGAGACCTGTTCGTTATTAGTATCTTGTTCATTATGTTCTGGATACCTTCTAGAAACTCACTTGACCAGACCAGGGGCCTTGTAGCCAAGCTGGCCCTCGCTGGCAGGAGTCACTTCATCCTTCTTGTTCTCATCCTTGGACTCTTCGGTGGGCTTGTCGGCATTCTCAGGGGTAGCAGCAGCCTCGGTGGTCTCCTGAGGGGTCTCCTCCTTGGGAGCTTCGGGCTGCGCAGGGGTCTCAGTAGCGGGAGTCGACTCAGTGGGCGCAGGAGTGGTCTCGGTGGCAGGAGCAGCCGCAGGGGTCTCCTCGACGGTCTTTTGGGGCTCAGAAGACATGGTGGTGAAGATTAGGCGTTATTATAAGACGGTATAGAGGATTAAAAAGAGAAATATAAGGGAAGGATCTCGATTAAAAACGTTCGAGAAAAAAAAAAAAAAAAAAAAAAAAAAAAA